CGTGGAACGTTTCATCATGGAGTCTCAATCAAAGCAGCACAAAATTTTCTGTTATTTCTTTAGTTATCTGTCATGTCAAATTTTTCTCGTCCTTTCAAAATTTTCTAACTATTTATGCTCGTTACAGAGTTTGATAAAGAAAGACAGATGTGATGAAAATGATCCTTTGATGGCTGATTTTTATGATAAATTGGTCACCGCATATCAAGATCCAACTCTGATACCTATTCAATATTCTGGAAGCAGTGATGGTCACACCTCTCCCCTACTTAATACTGCAGGAGTTGGAAGCTGAAAGGTGCTTTTTCTTCCTCTTGTGCCTAAGTTTTAGACGGTAGCTGCATCTTTCACAGTGATAGAAGACTCGCAATGTCTTGCTGGGTGAAGGCCAATTTTCTTTGAAATAATCGATTATGAGATTTTGGTCGTCTGCGAAAATATGTCTTTTGTACATCTGTGTTGTGTCATTGTAATGTCCATCTGTATATTAGCATCTTGGCAATATCATACTATGTTTTATTTGTTATTCTTTTCCAGTTATATTTCAGAATCTTTGATTTTCTCATGTACCTTTCCTGCTCCTCCACTATCTTAATTCATGATAAAGATGGAGTTAGTACCATCTTTTTTTGGTTTTACTTTTACCCATCACCTGCAGAGCACAATGACATGATTCATGCAGCTGACGATTGTGGCAAAAGCTTTATTAAGTTGGATTGGATCACAACGAGTCTTTGTTTTATCAAAGTCAAAGTGGTGGAAAAAGTTGCCTCTCTAAGTTGCTGCTAGGCTCATTCAAGGTATAATATGGTATATATCTGAAGCTTAAATCTGTAAGGATGGGCTAATGACCTGTCATGCACCGGCTAAAAGGACGTACTGGGTACGTACGGTAGTGAAATCTTTTTACCGAGTCTTGTAATTGTATAATACGTCATTATGAGTTAGACCTTAGGCTTCTTGTTGGGTTTCCATGTGGAGGAATAAGAGGGAATGATCATTAACCTCTTCTTTCCACTTGCCCACACATGATGAAGACTGATTAACAAGTTGGGCTTAATTAGTGGTCTTTTATTAAGGTTTTGTTTACGTAAAAAACAACTGCAAATCCACGTGGCTGTGCATGTAGAGAGAGAGAGAGAGTAATTAGCCGTGCATGATGACGGGGGAGAGAGACTAATCAACTGTGCATGATTTTATATATATGTTTGCGTGTGTGTGTATATATATATATATATATATATATACATACATACATAGAGAGAGAGAGAGATGCTCCTGGTTAATTTATTTGAAGGGGATCAAATAAAAAAGGCAGGACAACCAACATAAAAAGGTGAAATTGTGGGCATTTGAGACGTATCGTCTCTTTCTTTTGTTGATTGTTTGAGAGTCCTATGCATTTCATCACTAAATCTTTTTTGTGCCCCCCTGTGTCCTCTCTCTTTTCTTTTTTGGTCTTTTTTTTTATAATCTCAAAATCTTAATGAATTTGTAGAGTTAACTCGGTCAAACCATGATTGGAGTACTTCTTAAAGCTGTACAGTAGATGTCCTCTTCCCAATGGCTCTATCTTTCAAGTTACCTGAAGCATATCGGCTGGTGAATGGAGGCGCGACAATTTTAACACGACATTGGTTACACACAAAATTAGCAATTTAAGGTAATATAAAACAATTGCATTGAATGACCAAGTCATAGCCAAATGGTACACCCACACTGCCCATGGGCTGATGAGGTGGATTCATTTGGTCGGGGGACTAGCCAATCATGTGGGGACATCCAGGTTCTTAAAATTATCATACTCGGGGTAAACATGTTTACTTGTTATATTATGAAACAAGTTTTTTTTATATATTTTTATTTTTTTGATTTTTTGTATTGTGTGAATCTTTACAAATTTAGAGAATCTTTTATTTGGTTTTGCAAGCATTTGTACTACGTGGATTTTTAGTTCATGGAAAATCTATAAGGAGTTAGTTTGATTGAGAGAAGAGTCGTAATTATGGAATTTAGTTCATAGATAGATGGATCAAGTGTGTAAACTTGAACATGAGTTGAATAGTATTTGACGCAAATGAATAATAAGAATTAATTTCCCCTCCTAGTGGAGAATTATTTGGGTCCACAAATATTATTTATTAGAGAAAATAAGTAGGAAGACTTGATACCTCTTCCTCCTCCTCCTCCTCCTTCTCAGTTCTGGAAAAAAAAATTGAAGTATTCCAACCTAAAAATCATAAACTCGACGTTGAATATAAATTATCTCTGTTAAATGCTGGTGATAAGCCCATCAAAAAACTTTTGATAGCCACAATTTAAAAAACGAATTCATGAGAAAAATAATATATATATATATATATATATTGTAGCTGTTAATTAATATTAAGAGCTTCAGCGGGCTTGGTATATGCTTATAGTGAGTAATCGTTTATGCTTGGCCTTTATCAGCAATGACAAAGGCAATCTTCTTATTATTTTTGCCGCTTGTTGATGGATACATTAGAGTTCTAACAAGGTGCATTCAACTCTTATGCATTTTTTGTTCAAAAAAATACTCTTATTCATTTCCTTGCAATTTAGTATTCGGATCCCTTTAGTTATACTTTTTTTATGATATAGTAACAATTTTGTGTTGGTCAAGACCACTTATATAAAGTGGGTCTTGGTTGGGAATCCAATGATGATTTTTTATTCATACTATTGATTGTAATAACAAATAATTAACTATTATAATTTTTGAATAATATATGTATAGTTAATTAATGAGAAAGTGAAAATTAGAAGTGAGTCATCCTAGTTGTATTTATTTGGAGATAAATCCTGTAAGGAAATTTATAAGGAGTTAAGTCCATATTTAAAATTATATGTAATGACTTAAGTCCACTTTTTTTTTTTATTTCAAAAATACCCTTCCTTAAAAGGAAGTTAATCTTTTTTCTCTCATATCTATCTATATCCATATATAGGTTAAGAATTTGATTAATATTAAAAAATAGTAACATTCAAATAAAAAAAAAAGTTACTATGAATTTGAATAGTAAAATTCAAATTCATGTTATTATTTTTTTATTATGTTACTGTTCATGCTACTGTTTTTGTTGAGTATGTTATTGCTCATGTACTATTATTTTTGAGCATGTTACTGTTTTTATTGAACATGTTACTATTATTATTTTCCTAAATATTAATATTCAATGTTACTATTATTTTTTTGAATATTTATATTTTTTGTATTTGAATGATACTATTTTTTGCGTTTGAATTTGATAGAAATAATTATTGTTAAGTATGTTACTATTTTTGTTGAACATATTACTGTTGTTATTTTTTAAAAATATTAATATTGAATGTTTCAATTAAACATTTTACTGTTGTTATTTTTTAAAAATATTAATATTAAATGTTTCAATTTTTTTTATGTTTAAATGTTACTATGTTTTTGTGTTTAAATGTATTATTTTTTGTGTTCAAATGATAACTTTTGTTTGTATTTGAATGTTACTATTTTATATAAGAGAGAAAAGATTTTAATGTTAGTCAAACTCTTAAGATTTTGAAGTTTTTAATTTTTAGTTTTATTTCACTTCTAAAGAGAATGAATAGTATGATAAAATTAACAAAAAATAGACTTTATAACAAATAAATTTTTTTAACGGACTTAAGTTCAAATAAGTTCGTATAGGAGGACTGACCTCCAAATTTTTCAACGAAGAGAAGCCCAAAAGAGGGCATAATAAAACCTTTAGATGGGATATAAGAAATCAACCTTTTAACTTCGACAAAGGTTGATCTCTTGGTTGAGAGGATGGAAGAAAAAGATTGGTCTCTTGGTTGACAAATATACTTGATTTGCCATGTTTGCAGAATGAAAAAGTCCGAGATTTTCAATCTTTTGAGTGATAGAAAATATCAATTATTTAAAAATCTCTAGAGTAAGAGCATTTGCGACTATGATTCAAATTTTTATTTAAATTTAAATTAATATTTGAGTAAAAAATTTGATTTGATATAAATAACTTCAATGAACAAACTCAAATTTAAAGAAGGAGAGACCCAAATTTAAATGGGAGTAAGGATGACCATTGGATCTTTAAAAGATAGTGAAATCTTACCATTAAAGATTTGAGTCTCTTGATTTGAGAAAAAAAAAAAAAATTTCCTTGATTTAGTATAAGTTTGAGTCTAAGGTTGGAACAAGTTTTTTAGAATTTTTTACTCAAATTTAAATTTAAGTCTATTTGAGTAAGAGTCAGAGATGCCCTAATAAGACCTGACTCATAAAAAAAAAAAAAATAATAAAAAGAAGTACAACAACCTGTAAGTCTATGAGATCCATGATCCTCCAAAGGTGGAGAGATAATCAACGGTTAACAATTAGAGTAAATCGAGTTGATTTCCAAATATTGATTTTAATTACTTAAAACAACAAAAAGGTGGTTAAATGGCCGCTTACATTCTCTTGTGGTATCAGAATACTACCTGCATTTGCACGTGATTTTTTCTGGTTTAAGAGTAATGTTATTTAGATTTAATTTGTGTTACTTAAGCGAATTCTATATAAAATTCTGATAAATTAGGTACATATAAAATTATTTTTGATTTAGGTACTTCTAGTGTTTATGCCTTACGATGGAAAGGGTACGACTAGTCTTTTTCGGGACAGCGATTACTTATCTGTGTGTCCCCTAGTTTGAACCCAAAAGATATTCATTCTTAATATCATTAAGCAATAAAATATCAGAATTGTTTATAATCAAGAAGAAGATTAGTAACCTAATCAGGCTTGCAATGTCCAAATGTCATACTCAAAACAAGTCTATTCTCCTAAAATAATAATGCATAGTTGAGAAAGCAAAGAACTCTACTCTTTGGCTGGGTCAAACCCTTTGTATACTATGCATAATGCCTCACATAACATGGATGTTTCATATATCTCTCTCTCTCTCTCTCTCTCTCTATCTCACACACACACACACACACACATCAAAGAGAAACCTCCATCTGGTTTGATATGAAAGCCCAAATAAAAATTAACAGGAAGGTATGAACAACAGAACTTGTACAGCTGGACTCTTTCAGTTTGACAGGATCTTCCATTCTCTACATGTATATATACCAGCCCAACAGAGGAGCAAGCAAGGCAAGTACCTTCACCATCATCATACATATGCTTTCATTCACTACTAGTGTACCAAGCCAAGAAAACTAAGAAAAAACAGATTATCTAACCCAAAAAGAGAGATGGCTAGGAAAAGAAAGGCAAGTGAAGGGGTGGATGAGAAAAATCCTGAAGAAGAAAATATGGGTTGGGATGAGATGGTGAAGGAAGCAGCAGCAGCTGCAGCACTGGGCGGAGCACGGCGAGCTCGAAAGAGGTTCGTCGGAGTTCGACAAAGGCCATCAGGTAGATGGGTGGCCGAAATTAAGGACACCATACAAAAGATAAGGGTATGGTTGGGCACTTTCGACACGGCTGAGGAAGCTGCAAGGGCCTATGATGAGGCTGCTTGTTTGCTCCGAGGATCAAACACTCGCACAAACTTCTGGCCTTGTTCTCCATCATCTAATTCAACTCCAGCTCTTCCTTCAAAAATTACTAACCTCCTTCTTCATAGGCTTAAAGCAAGAAATAATGCTTTGGCTCCTTCATCTACCTCTTCTTTGCCCATCAATGAACAACAAAACCCAGAAGAAGAGTATAAAGATGAAATGGATGAATTCTCAGGTACCCAGTTTACTGATTTCCTTAGAGATCCCGAAGAATTTGATTTTGACCCCAACAACATGGTCACTGGTGCTAATGCAAGTACTGGTGATCATTACACCACCAAAAGTTTTGACCCATGTTTAACTGAAAAAGATAATTGTGACGTGGGAGAAATCTATTTGGACTACAATTGGAGTGGTGCGGCTAACTGTTCTGTTGGTGGTGATGGTATTATAGGAGGGGAAAGAGAAGAAGATGGCGAAGAAGAAAGCACTGGTTTAGGGTTTGCAGAAGTTCACTCTTCTGGTACTCAGTGTTCTGGTGGTGATGATGTTGGAGGAGGGAAAATAGAAGAAGATGGAGAGGATGAAAGCATTGATTTAAGGGTTGTAGATTTTGAATTTGTTGATGAACTTGGTTCATGTTACTCTTCTCCGTTTGAGATTGCTGAAGAGATAGCAGAGCCCATTGTTGATCAGCAGGAAGGTTATTATGGGGATGAGCCATCAATGCTTAGTGAGGCCATGAAAAGGATGAAATATGAACGGAAGTTCTCAGCCTCTCTCTATGCTTTCAATGGCATACCTGAGTGCTTGAAGCTGAAGCTAGGATCAAAAACTGTCCACCGGAGAAAACAATTAGCTGACCACCGAAATGCCTCTAACAAGACTGAAGAGGAGAAGAAACTAGAAGATGATGATGAAGTGATGGAGAAGAAAAAGATGGAATCCCCACAAAATGCAGCAGAAATGGGATCATCTTCTTCGCTTAATGACGGTGAATTGTCAATATGGAGCAGTCTTGACCTCCCAACCATATGCTTCGTTAATTAGCTGGTACTGTTGGTGGTTCTTTGAGCCTTTAACACTTTATGCTCTAATCATGAGAAACAAAAAATAGTTTATACTAATGTATCCTTTGTTATTCTTTTTCTTCTTAGTTGTATCTTTTGATTGAAGATAGTCACTGTAACTCTTTGTTTCTGAGGATATTAAACATGGAACTTTCGTAAGAGATAAATGTGAGGAAGAATACTAGGGTTTATGAACCATACGAGAGTCCAAGACTCCTTGAGATTTATCTATGAATCAGATATAGACCCCTCAAATATTGAAAAATTCACAATCATCCTCTGAGATTTGTCACTTGGTAACAACTAATCCCCTCTTGTTACCCTACTTTGATGTGTCTTATCAATTTAAGAAGATGACTGCGTATAATTATGTATAAGAGTGGACCATTCATCTTTTGCATCTCAAGGCATTACCCATCTGATTTATGGACAAACCTCTTACCTCTGTGGGTTGGAGTGTAATTGATGAAGAGGTAAGAGGTTAGCAGAAAGATCCTTTTGCTATCGATCGAACAAGGATTATCCCAAACCTATGCCTGACGATGATTTTCACGTCTTTCATAACAAAATAAAATACGATGAGACAGGATGGAATAGAAACAAATACATAAGAAAAAGGGATTGAAAAAAAAATTCAGACTATGAACGAGCTATGAGAAAAAATCTTTGTTTTTTTTTTGTTTAAATGGTCAGAAGTATCCAGGCCAATTTACGTGTACCTCAACTAATCTCTCATAGTCTAAAAAATTGTCAAGATTCGAAGTCAAGACGTCTAAATTTATAACTCGTTTCTATTACCACTTGAACTCAACAATGCTACGCTAATCAATATTTCTTGCTAAATTTTTCATCCCAATTAATATAACATAATTTTTACCATCAAATAAGTAAATCCCATTAATATTTAATGATGGAGATTGTGCTACATCACTTGAGATGAAAAACTTAATAAACATAACATTAATAAAAAAAACGATATTGCTATATTCCAAGTATATCGGCATTAGCTCACTACCCACATTAATCTCAGCTTGAACATGGCAAATTCGGCCCCATTAAATCCCAGCAGAGTCCCATAACGGTCCCAATAAATAAATATAGTGGACTGAATAAGCTATGCATACAATTTCTCATTCTGGCAGAAATTTAGCAATTACATGATACAAACTGCAGCTTCAAATTTCACAGAGAGATTCATAAGATCCTTCAGATCAATGAAACAGAAGTTGCAGACAGAAACTGGAAGAAAGTCGTGACATAACCCCTTAGATCTGTGAAAGGTGGCAAAAATTCAGCGAAAAGAAACTAGTTATACACAGCACAGGCTTTTCTCCTCCACCATTAAAAGATATACAAAGAGAAAGGCGGACTTTTCATGGGTATCCTAATGTTAGAGGACCCGCAGCTGAGCAAGAAAGGCAGCACAAAGATCCAGGAAGATAAACTGTGGCCCCTGGACCCTCTGTAGATCAAGCAGATACTTCTCCTCGCGAGTTTTGTAAAGCTGTAAACACAAATCTGTAAGGTTTCAAGCGACAAACTATTGGCACAGAAACTAAAAAAAATGGGTAACATAAAGGAGCAGCATACGATATAATGGACCAAACAATGAATGTAATGAGCAAGGTAATTGTTGAGGCATGATTCAATATGATTGACTAAGGTAATTGTTGTCATTTTTGTGGAATCCTGCAGAGAATTCTTACATGACCACTCACTTGTCAAGCCCACCCTTGCACTTAATTTTTTTTTTTTTTGGGGGAGGAGGGGGAGGGGACTTGAACCCTTGACCTCAAAAAGGCAAAGCCTTCACAAGGCAAGAAGTACCATGAATGACATTCATGGTACAAATCCAAATCCAAATCCAAATATTGGCTTGAGCTTTACATTAGAACAAATATCAATTTATAAACCAGACAGCTATTGACATCCAACTGTGTTAAGTACAAAGCTTATGGTGAGGGAAGTGTTTGATAAGTAGAAATTATGACCAATTTTGAACCTTGTGCAAGCCCAACTCCCGACTACCCCCAAAAAAACTGCTTGCCATTGAAAGAGAGTTCTCCAAGCCCTGCCTTCTCTGACCCAAAAAAATCTGTAAAATACACTGTTTATATACGTAAGCTAGCCAAATCTTGCTCATCATTATCATATACAACAAGTGCAATAGACTCGCTGAAGAATAAAATGAGATAATTATGAAGTTTGCAAAAATTACATTTCCTTTACTGAACGGAATGGTAGGAAGATTAATCACCTGCACCTCAAACTTGACAATACTGGTTGATTTTGTAACATCATCATTCTGTATGATAGTGGACTCATCCCCAAAGTAATGATTACTGTGCATTGGATTTTTTACCATGCCCACATGATGACCAGGAATACCAGGTATCCACCTGCATTTCATGTTGTAATACCCTATCTTTTTCCAACAAACATTTAGTTCTTGCAAAGCTTTGAGAACCTCTGTCATAATCTCATGAGGATGAGCTCGAGACTGTCACAAAAAAGGGTCAAAGTTTACATCAATGATTGTCAAGAATTATGACCATAAAATACATGGATCATCAGATGATGCAAAGAAAACGTTTTAATCTGCCAAAATTGCACATGTGCAGCATTCCAATTGGGACTGAAAGGATTATCTAGACCTTTGACACTAATAATGGGTTCAACCAGCTTATCCCAAAAAAATTATTTCCCAATCAAAGCAGAGCATCATACAGAAGCATTGTGCTATTTGTGTGCCTTGAAGGTATGCTAAAAGTCTTCATTGCCACACCTATGGCAGGCTGGCTCATATATCCACCCATCCTCAAAAGAATGAAAAACTAAGCATAAAACTAACCTGAAGTCCAAGAGCCCATTTCCTCTCAACTGGAAACTGAGGTCTTGACCCCATAACTTGATAGTCCATATATCCTGGAAGGCGTTGAGCTACAGGTGAAGCTAAAGCCTCGTTCGAACTCATACTATTGACACCATATTCCTACAGAAATACACAAGACATTACCAACAAAGGACTTCAACATTGCAAAAATATATGCTGTGAACATTAATTACAACCCAACATGATACAAGAAATTCAGTCATGCATAGTCGAATCCAGCACAATTACAAATACTATAAACCTGCTATAGAAAATCAGTCATGTTCCTTATTCAAATAAGGTTATCTACAAGGTGATAAACTTGCACTTAGGTGAGACAACTAGTTCTCACTTATTTGAAAGAAGATCAACAACAGGTTATTAACACCATATATTCCATTGTGCGAAGCCATACACACCATGGACTCCAGAAATTCAGCTCCAAGATAGCCGTTGGAAACATGGAACCGGTTGTCTAATAGCAAATAATATGCAACAGTACCCTAGAAAATAGACCAGAAATTAGTAATCCTGTCATGCTAGTAGTGAAAGTTGAAAATACTTATCACAATAACTAAAAGTTGAAAAGCGTAAGCAGCCACCTCGTTTTGAAGCCGATTACGAAGAGAATCAATAAGATTATTCCTTTCAAATCCCATATTAACAACCTCTTGAAGAAGCTCTTCATCAATCTGCAATCCAAGAACCACTCAAATTAACCACACACACACACACACACACTAATGTTGCCGCAGAAATTCAGCCCCACGATTTCTCATTCGTCATAAAACAACTCATTTCATGTATGTTATGCAAGCAAAGAACAGGAAAAAAGCATACGACACAATACACAAAGAAATATGTCACCTGACTAATACCATTGCATCACAAACATATTTGCAAGGAAAGAAAAGTCCAGAACAGAAGCTTCTGCATGGTACTTGAGATAATTCCTAATTATGCCAAATTGAGCTTTTCGTAAAAGACGAGGCTAAGCCCCATACAGAAAATGGTTAGAAAGAAAAAGTATTTTTAAAAAAAAGGACCCAAACAAACAACCTCATGAGTTAATGACAAAATTGCCATTGTTATGAACTGATGCTCTTCTAATTTGTCCAAACTGAGAAGCAAGCACTAACAACAAGTTTCGACTCAATCAGCCACAGTACACAAGTATTCACAGAACATTCCCTCATACACTGCATATACCTTTCTTGAGTAGATAATTGTGGTGGTCACTTCACCCATCAAAGATAAATTGGTAGTAAAGCTAGATGAAACAAAACTGTGATAGTAAGTCATTCAATGCTTATAATAAAAGAAATTATTCGATATAACAAAGGCATACATCCCTCCATATTCCATATTGAAACAGCACCCCTCCATATCAGTTAAGACAAATAATATGAAGCAATAGACAAGCACCCCTCATATTCACATATTGAATGCACCACCCTCTCCATATCAGCTTAGATAAATAATATGAAGCAATAAACCTAATCCATATACTGATTCTATCAAAAAAAACTAAATCACATTGTAGTAAACCTCTGGTTCATACAGTAGTCAAGGTATAAGCAAACCTTTTTGGCTTGTTGAATTGTATCTGGTGGTGGCACGGCTAAATATCGTGGAAGATGAGCTTGAAACCATGGGTGCACACGGATCTCTGAGATAGTCATTCGCTTCATAGGGTCAACCTTAAGCATTCTTGGGAGCAAATCTCTTGCACCAGCTGATAAATGGCTGGGAAGGGTATATATCCCACCCTAAAGGACAAGTTGACATAGTTTCATGATGAAGCTTGCAATAATCTCTTCATAATACTAAAACACTTGGCAGTAAGACTAAGTCCAAAATCCTTTTCTATTACGAAGCAAAGACTTCAGATTAGCAATTAAAAATGAGAATAGAAGGACAAGATATACAAGCATAAAACCTCAAATACCATCAAATAAGTGCCACGAACAAGACCACATGGTCACTTTCTTATCAAAGATGATGTATGAGGGCTATTATTGTTTTAAGACTCTGGCAACAATGACAGGTGGTGTCTGAGTATTGTCTATCCAGAACATGATTTATTGTTGATTCTTTTTTGAGACTCCTCTATAGAGAAGACAATAGTCATCGATAAATTATGGTAAAAAAGAAATGGTAAAATATCAAATTTTGACCACATGGGGCATCTGATAGATGCATGTGTGTGTGTGAGAGAGAGAGACAGAGACAGAGGGGGGAGATCATATGTCACATGCTTCAGTAATCCTTTTAAAACTCCCCAGGTTTACAAAATTTCCTCTGGGCTGACTGACTCAAACAAGAGTTTAGAGCCTTTGTAAGTATATAGATTCTTTGATTCTAATTATCCTATGACTTTTGTATTGGTGAGGGCATTTCTATTGGTGTTATATTGGCAAAAATGAGACAGCAAATTACATTCTCCTCTAGTGATCTACGGGCAATCTTCTCTTCTATACATGGGATGATCTAAATGATGTCCACATCGCTATCAGATTCTTGCAATGTATGATTGTCTTATTCTAAATATCCTACGGTTTTAGTAAAGGTTAAATTATTTCCAATTGGTGTTATATGTGCACAAATGAGGAGACAGTCAATTACCTTCTCCACCATCATCCACTAACTAGTGATCTATGTGTACTATTGTGCTCTATAAATAGCGTGACGGGACTCTGGCAATGTTTGGAGGGGGATCCAGGCCGACAGTTGGCTGATGGCACCTTTAGGCCTCCAGTGGAGAATTTGGTTTAAAAGCAAAGGAGGAACACCGATGCTGTAGTGTTGCGGGTTTTCAAACAAAAAAAAAACTGTTGTGAGATCCTTTATTCCTGGGTTTGTGGTCAATTCTTTTTGGATCTTTTGGGGGGGGAAAGGGGTTTAATTGTATGGGGCTTTCAAGGGTGTATAAAGTTGGTTTGTAAGTCTAGAAAATAATTCTCCCCCTCTTTGAGTATGACACGTGTGCATGGGTTGTGTGGGCCCATTAGAGCTCTTTATTGATTTCATCTATGGAAAATATAAACTAAAAGCAAAAACTAGAATTATTTCCCCAAACTAATTCCACTCCCTAAAGGACAGCAATTTGATATGTGGTCAACTTTCAACACTTTGATACACAAGTACATGGGAATTGAAAACATGTACTGTCAGCAAAATTAAATTATTATCTGGCATAAAAATCAATCTAACTATCCATCTTCAGTGCCTAATGGAAAATGAAGCATGTTCTGCTAGTTTATATGCCTTCAAAGTTCAAATAAAGCATGAGAAACAACTCAAGAGATTTGATTGTCAGTCAAAGCTGAATGAAGGCATCAAGTAAGATTAGAGGTACGCCAGCTAGGTCAGGTTTAACAATTACAGTGGACACCTACCTGAGAAAACAAAGAAGATTAACTAAAAACAAAATTAAGCCATGATAGAAGACATCGCAACAAGTATTAAAACAAGACATCACAAGACAAATTTAGCTATGAATCTCTTGAAAAAAGGATAATTTGACCAATAAATGTAGCAGGCCCATGTTTTGCAAAATATAAATAGAACTGCAGACAAAGCTACTATGACAGATCTGCATGTACCTTAATTTTCTTAAAAAGGTTAGGAATGTTTTCATCGTCAAAAGGAAGGGTACCACATAGAAGAGCATACAAGATAACACCACAGCTCCATACATCTACCTCAGGCCCTGCGTACAATCTTCCAGATATGACCTATAAAAATGGACCCTAACATAACTTGGAATATCATTAAATGTAAATGATACAAGCAGCAATAAATCGATCAGAGCCCTGACTTGCTCTTCTATAGAATCATCTGCCATTAAATCCATACCTCTGGGGCAGCATAGTTTGGGCTTCCACAACTTGTCTTCAGAAAATGACCATCACGCATGATATTGCTCAAACCAAAATCAGCAATTTTGACATTGTATTTGGAATTCAAAAGAAGGTTCTCAGGCTTAAGGTCTCGATGAACCACCACATTCCTATGGCAGTACTCCACACCAGAAATTATCTGATTTCAAACTACAGACCAATTGTAAATTTCTAAACATGCTAAAAACATTGACCTACCCAACACAAAAGAAGGAAGCACTTGGAGAAACCTCACAGACAAGTAAGAAATTTCTACCTGCTGAAAAAACATGCGAGCTTCATCCTCCTGTAACCTACCCTTCTCCACAATGTAATCAAACAGCTCCCCAGACTTCACATATTCCATCACCACATAAATATCTGTTGGTGTCTCTATCACCTCGTAAAGCCGTATAATGTGTGGGTGCATAAACAACCTCAGTATTTTGATTTCTCTTCTCACTGCAAAAGTAACCATGTGTATCTCATATAAATGAAACAACCATCGTAATGTGTTGTTGGCAACAGGGATAAAATCATTATACTTGCTGAGGAATTTTCCTTATTTTAGAAAACAAATATATTTATCAAGTCTATGCATTAAATATCAGACATCCAATCTTCATCCAGTCAACTTCAGCGCCAACGTAGAAGTGAAACAAAATATTTGAAGCAAAAAATTGAACTTTTCAAACAGTAAACCAATTAAAAGTGTTTGTTTCAGAGAAAGGATGGAGCTCAATGTTTGATGATCAATGATATTTCAAAGTTAAAGGGCTTTATAAGATCAATTTCGAGCTGTTCCTCTTTTGTTTTAATTTTTCATGTATAACATAGAAAATAACTTTTGCTCAATAATGGATGTCCTTTTTTCAGTAAGTGACAAGGACAGTCTATGCAACCAAAATGAGAAAGACAAGGTCCTATAATGACTAAAGAAGTGAAGTTTCAGACGTAACTAAGTTGTAAATCTAATAACAGCAGCAGTATCCTCAGTCAAGCATAAAAACCATTACCTTTTTCTTCCATTTCCAAGTTCTTAATCTTGCGACGATTAAGAATTTTGATAGCAACTTTGTGACCTGTCAATAGATGCTCTGCAATTTTCACCTTGCCAAATGAACCAATGCCAAGAGTTTTTCCAAGCTTATAGTTCCGCAAAAACATATCAACAGTACTGGTGTCTTGCCCAGTTGATCCATCCATCTTCGTGTCCTGAGCTAATGTTGTAAAAATTCAGATAAATGTCGAAGGGAATCGAAAGCATACACAAAAGGGAATATACAAGAAACTTTACATGAGGTAACATGATAATACATTTAATAAGCCACTTAAACAATATTTACGGACTTAAACACCAAAGTCAGATGGTTTAGGAAATCCAAAAATGGATTCGTTTATCTAATAGAGCCTTCACACACACCAGGGCAAGGCCTAGCAGATACTTCCATTATTGTAAGGCCATATATCCATAATTGCCCGCAAAGAAACTTTTAAAGTCGACCAAATTCATTCCATAATTTCTCAGAAGATCTGCTCTTAGTTGAAGTAAACAGCGACTAAACAAAACAAAAATTAGTGAAATACTTGGAGAAAATACACGACCAAACCATTTCAAGTACTAAAATTTGTGTCATAAACCCTAAGTCTATAAAAACCACTCTCAATTACATCATATAAAACGTATAATCTCCAAAACGTATCAAATCCTCAAGGAATTCATTCTCAAATTGAGTGACTCGCAATAACCGTCTCTAACACAGATTTGAGTTTCGTACATATCAAGCAACACAACCAAGAATCTTCTCATCTATACATTCTATCAAAGATACATTCATATATAGCGAGAGAGGGAGAGACTTACAGAGGAAAAACGAAGTGAGATGAAAATAAGGCTCCGTGAAATCGAATTTGCATAGACTCTTCTAACATGTAAAATTGACGGTACAGTGTGTGCACGGGTTGTATGTATACATATCAGAGAGACAACTGCGAATCCTTCCTCCGAATGGGATGATGAGGGTGATGCAGAAGCCGAAGACGAAGAGTATTGAGTACTATTCCGTTGCTCTCTCTCTCTCTCTCTCTCGCAATCGTAAAATAATAATATAATAGAGTGCGAAGTGAGATTCCAGTCTTTTTGTTTTTTAATTCATTTCGGATCCAATTTCGTTGCTTTCCATTTAATAATGATGTTTTTAAGAGTGCGAAGTGAGACTCCACCCCCATACTCATGGCTGCAAACCGCCCTCCACTTCACCAAGAGGAGCATACGATTATGCATCTACAATACACCAACCACAAAAAGATTGAGGAAAAATTATACTCAGATTTTTTAAAATTTGTCATTTAATTATTTAGACATAAATTGTAAGCATTGAGGTCAATAAAACAAATATTTTTTTATTTACCAAAAATATATTATTTTTATCGAGGTCATTTCTTATTTCTTCCTTTCAAAAAAAGAACAAACAAATAAAAAGGGCAAATATAGACAATAAAAGATTAATGTTATTTAAACTTAAAAAGTTGATTTAATTTGTTGACTGTCCTAATTTTTTGAACATGTTAATCGACCATAATTTATCACAAATATATCTCTAAATTTAGAGTTAGAGCTTTAATTACCTTAAAATAAATAAAAATAGTCGCTAAAATATACAAATCAAACTTATCAAATTATATATCACAACAGTAAAACTAAAAGTCTCAACTCTACTCATATTCTTTAGATCCTCCTAAAAAATATTAAAAACCAAGAAATATATAATCTGACATGAAAACAACATGATTAACGATAAAAATACTAATGATCAAATATTAAATAACTCAATGATTAGAATTATGAACATCGAAATCATCAATCAAATTGTACATGTCACATAGCTCAACCGTTATCAAATATAACTTCATACTCGATTTATTTTAGTAACATGATAAGTGACACTTCAACACGTAATAAATTCATTCTCATACCCAATCACACACCACCGTTTATAATCGGACCGAAGAATCATCCCTTGAATAGCTAAAATCATATTTCACAAATATACTTCATATATGTATCGATTAATCTTAAAGTATTTAGCCCAACTGGGCTACAAACGAACTTTCCGTTGGAATAAGGTTCCCACCGCCGGTGATGGAAGGGATCGCTGGCTTGAAAGGCGGTAATTGGAGGAGGAACGGTTTGCTTCGGTTCATCGGATGACTTGGCCATGTGGAATGGAATACACAGATTGTCTGTGACAAACGAGCGATCACAGCCGCATTTTTACCGTAGATCTATCACATGATAATAATTGTGATGGTTAACAATAAATACACAGAATTTTATTAACTGCCATGTCTTAAAAACAATAGGTACTATTCTTTTAGCTTTTAGTTAAATCAATCATAAATTTAAAATACATTTAATTAATAATTTAGTAAAATTAACCCAAACTTCTTTTAATCAAATAGCTATCTACAGAACATTAAAACAAACACTTTATTTGAAAATAAGGTTTGATGCTCAGACAGAGACTATACATCACTTGATTTATGGATAATATCAAGCTTGGCCATGAGGGACTATGTTTTTTTTGAACAAACTACAGCCACTCACACTAACTAACAGTGTGAGGCATGAGGGACCTCGCAAGTTATAATTAGTGACTATGGATGTTTATCCTTTTTTGGGTGAAACCTTTTTTATTGTCCAATCCTAGTAATATAAATCTGAAAATAACATATGACCTCTTTTAGACCCGACAATAATAATCATTCGATCACTAAGATATTCAAAGACGGTGCTGCAATCAAACTAAATATTTTGCTCTACGAGTTGATGTCCATTTTAATCACATCAATGGAGAATGTTGAAAAGGATGAAATTCAATCAAGATTTAATTCAAGAACTTTACTGGTATAACAAAAAGAGGGGTAAGGTCTCACCTATATACATGCAATGCATTTCCAGTGAATTATTTTTGTGTTCTATTATGAGAGCATAGTCGTGTTTCAACACAAAAAAATCGTAATCACCAAAATTATTTAATTACAAATTTTTGTGCAAGCTACGTATGGGCCACTACAGAGTATACCCATTGGTGAAGCTAGAAAAAAATGTCACATCCATCATAAGCCGTGGCTACTCCACTTGGGTTTTTTTTTTTTTTTTTTTTGGGGGGGGGGGGGTTCGTTTTTTATCGGAGGTACCCACAAAACTAATACTTAAGCTCTCACATAGAATAAGCATAATACTTGTTTTTATAACATGGTATCCAAAATCACAAATAAATAAGGTGTAATTACTATTCACACCCGTTAAATTACAAATTTACAAAAAAATTTAGGATGAACCCCAATTTTGTTTGGATCAATTCCAAATTTCCTATCTCAGTGAATCGTAACTTGATGGTCAAAATTATTCGGTACCACACAGAGTCAATAGATTAAGTTTTTCTAACTCAGTTGAATAGAATATAAAAAACACTTAGAAATGACACCACAAATTACCAATCCCTTGACATTTTGTGTTTGTTACTGGTAGTTGGATAGAGAAGGAAAATGTGGACCTAATCTATTAAAGAAATCTTGATAATCATGATAAAATATCAACTTATCTCTCTTTCCATCATTCTGACACAAATATACACATATGAAATTCATTACAGGGACAGATATTCATCAAATTCTAAATGGAAGAAACAGCATACTTTCATGAGCAGAAAACAGTGAAGATGATGAGGAGTTCAATCTACACCTTTCTCCAACATTATCAGTTCTTCACCACCATCCCACTTCTTCTCATACTCCCCTTTTCAGCCTCCATTCTCCTCTCACAGGCCCTTTCCGCCTCGTCTTCATTACTTCTTCTGACCATTCCTGCCTGCTTTAATTCCCTCCAAGCCACAGAATTTTCTCCAACTTCAAAGTTCGTCACACTTTTTAATATGAACTTTTCTCAAACAGTTTTCTCCTCTATTTTCAGTCTCCCTTTTGCACTTACATCTCTTGTCATCGCAAAAGGGCTTATAATCCAAGCTTTGATATACCATAAATCATCTTTTCCATTGCCTTTCAACTCTTTTCGACCAATTTATAAGCCCCTACTTGTAACTCAACTCTGCAATTCAGTCTTCACAATCATTGTCAGTGCAACTGCCTTCTCTATCTTCCTTGCTGCCCTATATTTCCTCGAACCATCTCGGTTCCCTTTAAACAACCCTCTAGCCCTTCTGGTTGCCAGACTAATTTTCTACTCCATCCTTGCCAACGCTGGTGTAGTCTGCAATTTAGCCTTGATTATTACAGAGATGGAAAATTGTGTATGGTATACAGCACTCCGCAGGGCCCTCTTACTGAGTTGGAGCAGGAGCTCGATGACTCTCTCAGTTAAACTCCCAATCAATCTGGGTATCCTTGCTATTGAAGTCTTGTTCCGCTATAGGGTCATAAGAGTTTATCACCTTCTAGGAAAGATTGGCCCTCCTCTGGCTTTGGAGGGGCTGTTAATTGCTTACTTGTATTCACTCCTTATTGTCCTTGACACTATTGCAAGTTGCCTATTCTTCAAGAGCTGCAAATCAAATTTTCCGACAGATCAAGCAGGTAGATATTATTATCAGATTAGGCTTGTGAAGAAAGAGAGTAGCAACAGTTGTGCAAAACTAGAGATTATAGAAGTACAACCATAAATGTCTTTATGACCACAAAACTTCCTCATGACCATGCACAATTCATACAAACATGGTCACAACAAAAATTTCTGGTATGTAAATGTTTTGGATTTTGATATGGATAAGACTGATAGGCTATACTAATTAATTCATGAAGCTGCATCATACAAAATTGCTGCTAGGGGTGGTGTATTATTTTTCTTTCTCATTGTGGGCATCTCTTGCTTGTAAAACCCTGCATTGGGATTCCCTGATACAGATTAGACATTCATGTGACTTCTCAAAGTGCATTAGAAATGATGATAACTGTGGTTAAGCCATCTTCTAATGTTTGATAAATCTAATAAACACGGATCATAATGTGACAAGCTCTACAAATCCACAGTAAGGGAACTACTATGTGAAGAAAAACAACCAACATTAACATGAAATAAGATTGAGAGGAAAGACTCTATTATGAATGTGGTTTAACCGAAATTATGACCTGAGAGAGAGGGGTGACCGGCAATTTTATGCACATCACCGAAATAATTGAGACAATACCTTGTTAAAGATTATTTTCGTGTTGGATCCAGTTTCAGATGACAGCATTAAGCCTAGGCACTCACGAAATTGAGCATTCAATTCTCACTTTTTAAACCATGGCAAGAGTAGTCCGTGGTATTACCCTTTCAAATTACCAGGCTGTTAAGCATATAAATAGCCAACACTTTTTGAGTGAAAACAAACTTATGGAAGATGCAACAGCATGGTCCTCATAGCATTAAGGGTTTTGGGCATTATGAGTACTACATAAACTGACAAAGATAGAAGTGGTTGTCTAAGGCTGCTCATGTTGTGGGGCATTTTGTCGAACACCTTCTTGATCCTCTGCCATTTGAGTTCATTTCCTGTATTACAACAACTTTCACAAAGCCCCCAGTGCTAGAATTACCAGGTGGGAGCAAACATCTCAAACTGTACAACCAGCTGCTAAATTACTTAAATAAATCTGAGCAACATTGAAATCAAATCATCTGATAAAAACAGCATGGAATGGCTTTTATGAAGGGAGGAGGTACATGGATTGGGTACGAGGTATCCTCTATTCAACCAAGAAACCCAATCTATTTTTTTTTGGGTTCAAACAGGATATTGGGACCAGGTTCACGGCCCTTCACTAATTTCTTCTTCGATCCAATTAAAGGTAGGTTATATACGTCGAGACTACTATATTTATGGACATAAATTTCTTATGACGTAATCCTAAAAAAGTATTACAATTTAAACTCAAGTTGTTTAAGTTTATAACTATCTCTTTTACCAATTTAATTACTCCTTAGACTCAAAGAAACCCAATTTATGTGAATAACACCACACTGCTTTGTTTTTAGATTGAGAAATCATTGTTTGGGCTTATTGGGCCTAGTGTTCACGATGAATCCGACCCCTGAATCCATAGGCCTAAACAAGCTAATATAGAAAAAACGTCTATGGGCCAAGTCATTAATACCTGGATTGGGCCCACCAACTTCGGCTCATGATCGTCAAGGAGGTGCACAGTGGAAAGAGCCATCTATGCATGAAGTGGCTTGATTGTTTCCTTCTCATCTACTTGCAAATCAAAAGTATGAACTCAATTCTAAGATTTGCAAGTCATTATCGGTCCAAACGATTGTAAGTTTGAGATTTAGTCCGGTGAATCTGACCTTCTTTCCCTTGCATTTTTTAGGGCTTTCGGGTATGTCACGTCGTATTCTAAATTATCCAGATAATTATGTCGGATGAAATGCCCTTAACAATTCTGACTTTTATATATCCATAGTTGGGATTTGTTGTTTCTTTGTAGTCGTAACAATCATTTCAAGTAATGGAAAGAACAAAAGATATGTTCCAAGTCCTTAGGCTGTTGAAGAGAATCCAATCACACCGGAATGGATGGTATAACGTAGACTAAGATTTTATATCTTTTTATCTTTCGTAGATTTTACTATTTACGTAAATTTTACAATGCGTATCAGAAATAATAAGTGTTATAAGAACAAATATAAAAGAGTTTATCAGATTCAATTTTTGGTTAGTAAAATGTGGAAAAATAGGTAAATCGTCACTTCACATTTTAAAGATTTTTCATTCAATGTTATCCTCTAAGAGGTGTATCAAAGTAAATAAAAAACGTAAACTTCTATAGTATTTGCATAAATTGGTTGTGTTCGATCGATGTTCACATTATCATTTTTTTTATTATTATTAGACATATGTAAATTAACGTGCATTTATTTCAACTAATCTCTTCTCCGATTTAATCAAATAAAGACCATCAACGAACTTGTTAGCTTTGATAGTTTTATGATTCCCATGGATTCAACGAACTAAAGGAATTATCTGCAACGTGTTGCTATATCACATGCCTTTAACAACAATATTAGCTTTATGTTTCCCTTACATTGAATCTGCAACCACTCTTGTTGAGTTTGATTATGACATCTAAAAATTATTTTTTAATATCATCTTTTTCTACTCCAATCACAAGATTAATAACTGTAAATAACTTAAAACAAAATTAACAATTTAAACTTATTTTTTTAATATATTATCAAAACATAAATTTTCAATACCATAACATTATTTTCATTCCCTCGCCATTAAAAAATAACAGAAACATTTACGTTGATAATAATGACATATAACGGTGTAAGAAATAGTTTTCACGTGATTCTATTAATTAAAATCTTATCAAAGTCTCTTGTTTTATAGTCTCAACGATCTAAACAGCACATGAATGAATTACGATCTTATCTCTTCTTGGAAAATTATTCGATTAAAAGGTAAAATTGACATTTTTTTGACTCTACTAACATCAACAACTTTGGCATATCTAGATATTTTAAGATAAGATAAAAAGAATAATCTTCTATTAAAAAATATTATTTGAACTTAATTTAGAGATTTAATAGCATTGCTCTCTGCCATTAACTTAGGGATGTCAAGGATGTGACCATTTTGCTTAAAAAAAAAAGGGGGGGTATGTGAACGTATTTATCCAAACCATAGTGACCAAGTTGCGAATTGTAAGAAACCTTCGGCGACGTTTGGTATTTTAGCCGCAACTGGAGGAAGGAAGCTATAAAAAATCCGTTAATAACCAGCAAACGTAGATGACGTGGAACAACAGACGGAGAAGGAGAAAGAAAATAGCGAGCAACGGGACCAATCCCAATCCTTCCAACGTCTCTCTCTCTCCATCGAACGTTGGCGGACAGAAATAGAAGTCTGAATCAGACAAAAATGTCACGAATCCATTTCCTAATAAAAGCCATAGAAATTTCAACATCAGAGATAGAGCTCAAGGACGTCCCTGTCCTTCCTCTCATGTCATTCTATATATGATCGATATATATCTATGGGAACTCAAGAGAGAAGTCTCGGTATTGCATTCGGATCGGACACCGTCCTCACTGTTCGTCTCTCTCCCTCTCTCTGGTTCAATTTTGTCGTCGATCGTTCAGAGAGAGGGAGACGATCATAGTCCTTCACAGGTCCCTCTCTCTCTCTCTCTCCCTCTGCATTGCAGCATTTGTACAATGTATAACTATTTTTTCTAAAATACATTTTTCGTATTACTAGTTTATTCAACCCATTTTTGTTGTGGAATATCAAATTGCTTTGTATATTTTGTTTTTCGATTCTTCTCCCATTGTTTTTTTCGATTTTAAACAAAACGTGGAGTTCAAGATGTGCCATTCAAGACGTTCTCTGTATTAAATTGTTAAATAGTAATTTAATTTTTGTTCTATTTATTTATTTTTTAATGAAACTTTGTTCTATTTGCTTTTGTTTGATATGCTCTTTGGATTTCTGTGCTATCCGATTCAGTTATTCTTTTATTTTCTTTTCTAGATAGCCTTGTTGGTTTTCTTCTCTTTTGCTCGTTAGATGTGGACCCAGTTGTCACTATTCTCTCTTTTAATCTTCTTTTGCTGATCTCGTGGTATTTGTTGTTGTGATCTATGACACAGAACAGAGAATGGCCATGTCCCCCCCCCCAACCCCACCAAAAAAATCCAAGAAACACCACACACTAACTTAAAAAAGAACATCTTAACATTTTCAAAAAGGCATGTCTACATTTCTGTTTATCAATTTCTTGTTCAATTTTGCTTCATTTTTGTTTTCTGAAAGACTGAAACCGTTATGAAGCTGTTGAGGATGTTAGATATTTTTGGCATGTACTATAGGGTTATGATAACTAGTTAATCTTTTATAATTTCATAGTGCTTCCCAGATGGGTAGCTTCCTTTCCCTTTTTGTACTAGATTTCTTTTCATTCTCCAAATCATAAGCATTATTGAATTCTCCAATTCCAATCTGTGGAAGTGTAATTCATGTTGTTTTTATGCAGGTGTTCTTGAGAACTTCAATTTGCAATAATGCGGACTTTTGAATCAAAATCTTCGTGGCAAGGTTCTAACTTCCTTGCTTTTTCTCCTAATAGTGGCTCTCATCACGCATGATTTTACTCCAAGATGCCTGCAATTCACTAAGGTGACAAAACTTTTATGATCACAACTATTTGAGATTTCAAAAAATTACATGCTTTGCTGATACTTGTTCAGTTTAATGGTATCATGTTAGTCAGCTAAAGATATCATGTTACTTAGACGAGATATGCATAGTTAGGAAGGTTTACTCTTTCTTAATTGTATTATATCATCAATAAGAATTATTTTTTGCTGCAGTGGCATTGGAACTTTTGGAGGACTGTAGTTCAGTGTACTAGCCGTCATTTATTTAGTGTAGCAGTCTTCTTGTCTTGTAAAACATCACTAATGGCAGTCTTATTGTCTTGTACTTGTAGTAATTGCCACATTGGATTAGTAAACTTGTACTGAGAGAACTTCTTTACACACTAAAGTGATCTCACACACACATATACCCATCTATGTAGCCATGTTAAGCTTGTTTGTGAATTTCCAATTTTTTAAGGTCCTAGAATGTTCACAAGGAGTCGGGCAGATCCATCCATCGGATATTTATATGTTGCAAGAGCTTTTAAAATCATACATTTCTACAACCAAAAGAATTTTAGAAGGTAGTTTGGTGTGTTTGGATGTCTCATGGAAGAAAACAAATTAACTGAGTTTTATATGGCTTTTTTACATTGTACCAAACTGCTTATTAAAGAAATGGGGTCTTTTGTATTCATTAATTTAGGGGAATATGATTCAGTCATTGTCATCTTTCCTGGCAATGGTTCCTTTTACTCGAATGAGGGTCTTCATGTGATATGAAAAACAGAGTCAATTGATTCCGTGGGATAGCCAAATGAAATCTTCCTGCATCATTTACGATGCTTGAAGTACTCCTAAATGCTATAGTCCGCTTACACAAAAAAAGTGCCATAGTCAGTAGTCAGTACTTCTTTTGGAGGTCTGACTTTATATTAGTTTTGGGGAGCTATGGACCTGAATGTTTAGGTCTTACTTTATAATAATCCAGCCTCTTACTCCAATATCATCGATGATATAACTAGTTGTTCATCTGACTAAGGCCCAGAAGCATACTCATAAGAGATGCTGATGACCTACAACAGAGAACTGGAATGTAATGGCGTGTATAACTCTGCTCCACATAGATATATGCTTATTCACCATTTTGAAATGAAGTTTGCATTTAGAATAGTTTCACATCCAATTTTTATCAGCGTTTATGAGCATTTGTTCTATGAAGCATTGACTCTTTCAATAAAGAGCCATATAGGGTAGTCATGTTTTGGACATTGGCATTCCAGACAAGAACAAAATATGCAATTTCTTGACATGTGGCCAACAAAGGTGTGTCTCCTTCTTAGGTTAAACTATTACTGATGCTTTAAGTCCAAATCTTCTCAACTCAGTGAGAAATTGTTGCCACAGATCATATTATGGTCTCTTATGGTCGCTTGATTGAGTTAACATCTTAGCTTGGTAAACTGAAACTGCTAGGAGAAATGGAGGGATTGCTATTATTTTAAATTTATTGGATACATTCTGATAAGTTAAGTGTCAGGTACCTCATTTTCTCACCATGCATAAGTATGAGGTTGGCATCTTGGAAGAAGACAATAATTGTTGCCGTCAAGATTTGTAAAAACTAAGCAAGTATAATGGGTGCCTGTGTATCAACACCATCTAATGGAATTAAATCAAGGAGGAAGCACCGTCACAGGTCAAGAAAATACCAAGGAAAGCTTTCCCATTCAATGCCTGATGGAACCAGGAAAAGGAACAGTGATGCAGGTGCTTGTATGACGGATTTTGCTGTTAGTGAGTTTGTTCATACAACCACCACCTGCAGAAGATCTGAGGTTTCCAATTCGACATTCCATCTCACTCAGGTGCAATGGCACCATAGTCAAATTGATGCGAATGGTATACTCTTGTTTCCCTTTCAAAGTTCATCTTGAAGAAATAGAATGTCAAAGAGCAATATGAGGATTATACCTGGTTGGATTATCATGATAACCGCTTTATTAAGGTTGTTCAAAGGAAATATGGATATTGTCCTGGTGGGAATGTGTAGCACCTTCATAAGCACAAACACAGCGTGCAATATACTTCGATTACAGTCACAAAGTTTCTCAAAGTTTTAAACAGTATATGTTAAATTCATGCCCTTCTGCCATCTGATGTTTGTCGAAATTAGTACATTGCTCATTTGCTTGTCCAATTTCCCAATGTATGCAAGGATATTCTCACTTTGTTACTGCATGGGTATAAATCCGACTTAAGTCAACTTTAGGCAATTATTTGTCAACTACGTTCTATAATTTAGATAATTACTTCTCAATCACCCAAAATTTTGGCATCATGGATGGTTTTGTTATTTTCATTTTCGAAATGGATTGTCCGAGTAGGTTGGGGTTACAATTTGAATAAGCTCTTGCCTGTACAGAAACAGCATTTCTTGGACTGGAATATGCCTGAATATCTGTGAACCTTGGGGTTTTTTAGTCTTTATTGGCTTGTCTTTAGTTTGATCCATGATTATTGTCTTCTAATGTCTATAAATTTTGGTTTCATTTCTTTGTGATGTTGGAATATGTTCTCTAGATTAGATTTTTGTGGTGAAAGAAAAGGATCCTATACTCTCACAGGTTTATCTTATATCTATTATCTTGTGTCATGTTCATTTTTTCTTTTGCTGGTCATGTTGATTGCTCAAGCCTATACATTAGCTTACCCCTCTCCTCCTTCCCCCTTCCCCAGTAGTGGGGTTTACTAAAGAAATCTTGTCGTTATCTTAGTAAAGTTTTGAACTACAAATACCATGTGAAAGTTTTACCTTAACAACTTGACAATGACACAAAAAAATTTGTGTTTGCAGTAATTTGCCAAGAGGAATCATGGTTTGACACACTCAGCATTTTGGAGTCTGACTCAGATGATGAGTTCAGCAGTGTGCATGGGGGTAATGATCATTGTTCTTTTCAGTTTTAGAATGGATGTATGCTTCTTTATGGAGCTTTAAAAGTAGTGCATCAATAATTTGTGGTTCTGATAGTACATCTCTACTACATATTCATCTGAATTTATATATGCACTCTTATTTTGCTCTGCAGACTTTTTTCCGAACGTTTCAAGTGGACAAGTGCTTCAGTATGAAACTTCATCATGCTTTGTGGATAGCAAGTGTAAGTACAAAGAATACCATGAAAGATATTTGAAAATAGATAGTGGAAAAACAGAGAAGATCGTGAACAAAGATGGATTCAAGGAACCAAATGGATTTGCACTCATGAGTAAGCAGGGCTATGAGCTTTCATGCTTGGGAAGGGGTGAAGAGTATTTCTCCAAGAGAAACAAAAAGTTGGACCGTTCTTATAGAAGCTTCAATGCTGTAAAAGGGGATGGACATGATTCTGAAGAGAAAACTCAAGAGAACATTGAAGAAACTGGCTTACCTCGGTTGTTTCCTTCTGTGAGTTTCAATGACAAGATTATTAATGCTTCAAGTTTAGGTCCCCAATCTCAAAGAAAGAAATCAGCAGTTATCAGGCTTTCTTTAGTGAGAAAATCGGTAGATGGAGAAGAAACCAATGAATTCTGTAAGTATATCATGAATTCATTTCTTTGTGGTATTTATTGGCAAGAAATCTGAAGATTGCTGTTTTACCTCACATCATGATAAAGAGAAGGCAGTTCAGTATTTTGCTTGTATATGTGTATGTGAACATGTTTACTTCCATGTAAAACTAACAATTGTACAGCAATAAACATATCCTTGTTTGTGTAGGTACATCGAAAAAATTCTATTACCGCCCAAGAGCAGGACTCATAATTCCATGTTGTACCAAAGAGAAGCCCACTCCCATTAGTTGGTCTGAGATTGAACCCTCAAGATTTAAGCTTCGGGGCGATAACTATTTTAAGTATTCTGTTAACTTCCTTCTATTGATGATTGACTAGATATGCAGATGTCTGCAATAATTAGTTATATATATGTTTGCTAAAGTATCTCTAATTGCCTGAGGATTCAATATGCAGAGATAACAAGAAACTCCCTGCTCCAAATTGCTGTCCTTATACTCCAGTAGGTGTTGACTTATTTGTGTGCCCAAGAAAAGTTAATAACATTGCTGAACACCTTGAGCTTCCTTCTGTAAAAGCAGATGGGAAAGTGCCTCCACTCCTCATTGTCAACATTCAGGTATTTTTAGCCAATTCTTTTTTTTTTTTCAATATTTTCTCATTACATTTACTAGTGGTCATGTGGATTGTAGCCTGTTAAGATGGAACATGCAACTTTATCATTTCTTATGAAAGTAGTGGCTTCTGTTCATATTTATGTTGTGGTTATCTCATTGTTTGGTTGTCTCATGGCAGTTGCCTACTTATCCTGCTCCAATGTTCCTTGGTGATAGCGATGGAGAGGGTTTGAGCCTTGTACTATATTTCAAACTTTCTGAGAATTTTGAGGAAGACATCTCTCCCCAGTTTCAGAATAGCATTAAGGTACATTTTTTAAATTATTGTCTGCAAAGAGAAATAGTTGTTTCTGTGGTAATATTAAAAGCGTTCACGTTGAATAGTTTTTTCAGGGTGCCATATGCCGTGTTTGCTTGATAGGCATGTATCTCATTGGTCCTTTAGGCTCTTCTGTTGTTCTACACAAGTTGTAGGCTTGTAGCGTTGCTTGGGCAATGATGATGATGGATTTAGGATTGGTGGTCTCTTTTCCATTTTGTAACTTGAGTCTTAAAAATATCATTGTGAGAATTAAAGGGCATGGAAGTTTGTTCTACCTGTAATGAAGGGCGTTCCAGTTAGTTTTAGTGTTAATCAAGCCCATTTATATATAGATAAAAATTATGATCAGATGTGAGAACAATAATACAGTTTACAGGTTTCAATTTCTTTTGGGTTGAGATTGGAGGAGCCCTACGATGATTTAATCCAGCGGTAACAGCAAGAATTCAAGGATCATTGTGAAGAAAAGAACCATGATTCACCTGGCCACGTGCACTTGACCTTACCTTGACAATAACTGAATGGGAGTAGAAGAGATCTGATTTCATGGTGAACTCGTGCATTTCTGCAAGCTGGGTTTTTAAGATTATACTGCGTTAGGGCATTTGACTTTGCTTACCATGTCATAGTCAATGATAAACTTCCCTCAAGCTAGTGTGCATCAGAATTGGGTTTAAATCCCTTTTGCATCCACTTGGGTGCCTTGTCACAACAGAGTGCTCTACCTTATTCCTTATGAATCTCGCACTTCTTTGTGTAGTTCAATGATTCAGGCAGATCATCTTTCAGTTTTGGACAAATTGTGGAGCGCCTAATCCCCATGTGAAATGGATGTCATCTTATGACATGCTACTGAGAGCTTTTGTTTCCTTCAGAAAGAGCATCCCTCTGTTTTCTCTTGCACAAAGGGTGCTGCCAGTATTTTGGTCTAACACCAGTTTAGAGTGACTTCCTATTACAAACTGACTAATGTGGTTAACTGAGTTAAGTTAGTGCAACAGATATTAGAAATATTATTGAAATTACAGTTAAGGCAACCAGCTTCCTGATTTAGGGTTGTCTCTAATTGTGAGGACATGCATAATCAAAGGTCCATGGCTCCTGCACATGGCAGATTAAGATTTATGTGATTGTGCAATTCTATAATTTTGGTGCATCTTCTATACCCCATAAATCCTGTAGGCCAGGGTTTTGCAATCTATGTTGTAATTATATTTCTGATATAGTAAGACAGGCATGGCAGTTACCTCTTCCTGGTACAAGGGTTGTGTTTTTCCCCTCTGTAGTATAATGCCACATGCCCTTTGATCTCGACATGTGGTAGCCTATCTGCTTTTTCCTCCTGTAGGATAGGAACTGTAGTATTTGCTATATTTAACTACTAGAATGCCTTTTTAAATGTCAAATGAGATGAACTTATATAGTTTTGGGAAATCTAAATTGGAAATTTGAGATACAGTTGCCTATATATTGTTTTGTTTCCCACTTAATCTATCCACTGTAGAGTTGTTCCATTTATTCATGCACTTCCCAGTTTGTATATAGTGTTTCAGTGGTTGAAAACTTTTGTGGTACAGAGATTGATAGAGGATGAAATGGAAAAGGTTAAAGGATTCACGAAAGAGTCCACAGTTCCTTTCAGAGAAAGGTTAAAGTTAATGGTTGGGGTGGATAATCCGGATGATTTTGTATTGAGTTCGGCTGAAAGAAAGCTTTTGCATGCTTATAACGACAAACCTGTCCTTTCGCGCCCTCAACACAATTTTTATCAGGTATACTATTATGCTTTGTGCTTGCTTACCTTGTTATGGACAACATAAAATTGATGATAGACCGAGTAGAGTGATATGCACTTGAAGTCCATCCATTATTTATTTATTTTTTGCACCATGGCTTACACGCATTCGTACTAGTTCATCCGAACTTTCTTACCCTTATGCACGAATTATTGAATAAGCCATCTTCCCATCGAGGAAAATACATAATTGCACTGTTATGCATGCAATCATATGGTCTTCCAGTTTGTTTAACAGATGGTGGTAGCCAGAGATTCTCACTGTTTCTTAGCGAAGGTTTGTTTCTTGGCAAAGTGATTGCCTGAAATTCAGTCAATCGATCCAAAATTTACAGGACTGTAACACAATAGAGTGGTTTGCTACCATCTTGCTTGTCTGTCTGATAAATACTGTTCTGATACCTCCTTCCATGTCTAATCCAGGGACCCAATTACTTTGAGATTGACCTTGACATTCATCGGTTCAGCTACATAGCAAGAAAGGGATTGGAAGCATTCCGGGAGCGTCTGAAAGCTGGAATACTGGATTTGGGTTTAACAATTCAGGTACCACTTATAAGATATTACTTGACAAAATCTAGTTACATCCACGACACCTATATATTTTTTGCATTGTTCCCCAGTCTTCTTACACTGTTGTTTATCAAAAAACAGGCACAGAAGCCTGAAGAACTGCCAGAGAAAGTGCTTTGCTGCATGAGGCTGAACAAGATTGACTTTGTTAATCATGGCCAAATACCAACAATTGTGGCTCTTCCTGATGACTGATTCCGACGACAACGGAATCCATTGCCTGGCATTTGCTGTTGTTGACATCTGCGTGAGGAGAATCCATATAGCCATGTACACATCTCATAACTTTATGAAAGGAAGAAAGACCTGTTTTTCCAACATGGCATTAGTAAAATTTCCTTTCACGTTGACCCAATAATGTTGTCAACAAAAATGTTCTTGTATTTATATGTATCATGTATAGTAATTTTTATGTTGCTATAAAAGAAATGGAAAGTAAGAATGATGTATTTTTTATGCTCGGTATGGATGAGAGAGTTGAAAAGTGGAAGAAGTATACATGCATATTTTACTTTTATATCCTCATATGAAATTAACTTATCCTTATTTGAGGGGTATAAAGTTATGTCAGATGAAATTTACATATGAAATTTACAGTCCAGTTTTGAGTAAATAGGTTCTAATGGGACAGAAAGAAATTTGTATCTGTCAAAATTATGCAAATAGAGGGAGATGTCGAGTTAAGATAGATGGGAAGGAGCCCTATCATGTAAAGGCTGATAAGCTAGAGAAAGGTGAGGGTGACGTCGAGTTATTATGTTCCTTGTGCGACACATGTGCTACAATAGCTAGAACAAACACATTTGATGTTAAGTAAATAACTCCTTGCAAGGAGGTTGGCCAGAGATTTCTTGTCAAAACAAAATGATCCAAACCGAGCATTATTTGCTCAACCTTGATTTGAAGTTTAATTGAACCTTGAATAAAGTTTAATTTTGACTTGTTAATCTTACCATCCAATCTTGTACTATTCAATCTTGAGCAAGCCTTTATTGAGCTGATTTATCAAATCGAAATTAAATTGAGCTAAAAAATTTACTAGCTCAAAAAAAGCGTTTAAATTTGACTCATTCATCCTACGACCCCCTCGAGTAGATTGTTCTTTTGACCCTCCTACTTGCCGGAATTATTTTTCTTCCTACAACGTTTGGTTCCTTATTTTACCGTGTACAAAGTTTGTGCATGCATGCACTTAATTTCCTGTACCATTGTCAAGACGCACTTACCTTCTGGAATAACAGAAAGTTATACAATGACTAGCTCAAGATATGGTCACCAGAGGAGAAGAAAAGCAAAACTTATTATTTTAAGCAAAAAATGAAAAAAAAGAAAAGAAAAAAAGAACATTTAATTACAATGAATTGTATATGCCAAGCATTTTTTAATATCGACAAAGGCACTTTGGACACCATGGCCCTCTTTCGCTACATGTACATGAACAATCCAACATTCACAGAGCTAAAACTTGACAATGAATAGACCAAGATGTCTCAGCAAGAAGCAACAGTTTGAGCTCCCTAGGAGTCTGAAGGACATTAATTAAGATGGCCATATAAGGTTCAGCCACAAAGCCTCTCCAACCTTGCCTGTCTGAGGAGGTTTGGAGAATCTAGCACTCTCAGTTCCTCTGCATCAATAGTCTGCAGAAACAACCACAGTTATTAACTTCTATTGCTGCATATTACCCCATTTTGAAAATCCATATATATATTATGAGCATGTAAAGTAGGGCACTAGTTTGGCAGTGCTCAATTATGTTGCAAATAGGGAAGGGGATAAAGAAAAGGAAAAAAAAACACGAATGCCTTTATTGGCATACTTTCCGTTAAAAAAAAAAAAAAGATCAAAAACAACAACTGCGTTGGCAAAAAATTGACAGAACTTTAGAAAGATATTTGTGTACCTCTATAAAAACGAGATCTGCGAGCAGCTTGGCGTGTTTGACCTTTTTGTCTTCCATCAGTTCTACGTGGTTGTAATAACAATGCCCCGGAGAATGGAACACTTCCACCTTCATCATTATAATCCTGAAACATGTGATTTGGAAAATGGGTCTCAATAACTATATGTAAAGAACATTCCTGAATGATTTGCTGAGTTGTTGCATTAAATGAAAAAGGAAAGGAAAGATAAGTGCTTCAATTTGAGTCCTACCAGAGTATTTGTGAAACAGTTAAATATAAAAGAAGATAACTTACTACTGATAGTTCTTGAGACTCGTAAAAATCTGAGGAATCGAAAGACTCTGGTCGATTAGGATGACTTTGTAGCCTTCGTATTGCACGTTTTGCAATCTCATCATTGCCTCTTGAACCGATGTGGATCCTGCTGGAACAAACTTCATTTTCTTGCCGTTCTGATTCCAAAGTATCCTGTGCATACAATACACTGGATGGGTCTAATGCACTCAAATTCTGATGCCTTAAAGTGGTCAGACTGTGTAATCTTGTCGATGCAGCATCCTGTCTCCGCCTTTTTGCCCATGCAAAGCTACTTGATGGCGTAATTTGCACAGGGACTGAGCGTACGCTATCCACTTGAGATATTTCTGTCCCTTGAGAAATCTCTGATACTGTATCATATGATGTTTTCACTGATCCCCTAGATTCGATGGCTCCTTTTCCCTTAGGATAATGTGCATTACCACCTTTACTTCTACGAGCAACCTGAATATTGGCCTCCCATTCCTACATAATTAAGGTAGTCAAATCAGTAGGAACAAGCTTTATTCCATTAACTGTTGATAAAGAAGTTGGCGGAGATAGGAAGACATTCAGAAAGAATGGGAGGGAGAGAGACCTCTGTGGGTGCCACTTTGCAGGAAGTGCTTGATTCTTGCAAAGGTTTATGTATTCTTCTAGAACCTCCAGATGCTCGGACTGTAGTGCCACCTTTTTTCCTGGAATTTCAGTGATGTTTTCATTTGAATCTTAGATGCAATAATTATCAAAATTCATCTGTGAAATAATCTATCCTCCCATTATGAAAAGTAGCATAGGTCATAACTTTAAAACTAAGATATTTCAAATGATTTCTTGATTCTTTTTGACACAATCTTACCCATCCTGTATTACAAGCAGGACAGTTTCTATTCTCAAAGCTTGATTCCAAACACTCAATTCCTGGGTTGAATCAGATAAAAGTACGGGCATGGCAATAAGTCAGATAAGGACTAACAAAAGGTCCTAAGATCCACAAACAGGTCCAACCTCAAAGTTCAACTTCGGACTTGATACTTGAACCACTGAAATAGCTTCTGCAAGGGTGTAGGAATGCTGTGCAGAAACCTGGCAGCCCCTTATAGCTAAATGCACCACAGCCATTACAAGAACAATATGGATTAAGATGTCTCACTTCCGTGCTTCGTCACGGAACTTTGCATCAATCTCTCTATTAGGTGGGTACTTTGGCAAGCTTGAAGGATCACATGCATAAGGCTTTGTGTTGAAATACTGAGAAAGGTATAACACATCATCCAATTAGAAAGCTAACTACAAAGAAAAATGCAATATTTGCAGAACATTCATAATCAAGTGGCATGATGAAATAGGTGAAAATTCAGGGCAGCATAAATTAAGTCCAACATAAGGAAAAAAAGAGGCATCAGTTAAGAAACAATTTTAGCTAAGTAAACTGTCTACCACAAAGTGCAGAAGTAAATTTACCTCAGAATCAAGGGCAGATGATGCAGTCCCGCGCTTATCAGGTTCTATGGAAATAAAAGTTTCTATTAGGTTCACAGCAGTTTTTGGGAATTCTTTACACCTCTCTCGAAGAGTACTTTCATAAGGATGCTGGGGTTTGAACATTGTTGCAAGAGGGACCTTAGACTTTTTCCAGTACTCATCAGGTGGAGTTCCACAAAGCTTGAAGATTTTGTGCAACTGTTCAACCGGCATAGGTGAAAAAATGTTAATCACTTCGGAAGAGGAAAAAAAAAAGGTTGGTAGCAAAAACGAGACAACGAATTGAGTAATTGTGTCATTTGTAGTACACATGCACGTCCCACTACAAACTGTGAGTAATTTATATTAGTCTGTCTGAATACATGATTTAAACAAAAAAAACCAATCACAATATACAGAATTCGCTCGTGCTGGAGTTTGTTTTGAAATCCCAATATCATAGAGCTCAATAGACTGAAAGCTTGATATTTATGGTTATGCAGGAAGCAACATTCTTCAAAAACAGAAATAGTTTAGTTGTTACTTCATGAATCCCCTCTTAAATGGACCACAGACACATATCAAGGGGCAGAGTTAAGCCAAAATTACGCAAAATTATTACAATCAATGCCCACCCCAACTAACCCCTTCCTCAAAAAAGGGATAAAGAGAGAGAAGGCTGCCAACAACAACCATATATACATACAAATATAGATATACGTATATATGTTACAATGTATAATGTTCTTATTCTTATGCTTATAAGGACTATTTTGCATTCGGTAGATAAAATAAATAGTGTTTTCTTCTTCTAAATTCTCCTTTGCTCAATTAATATTTCCCTAGAATCTACGGGGTGTTTTATCAATATTTCAAAAGAAATTCCAATGTGTACCTTCTTAAGAGCTATTGAAAAACAAATATTATGAATCACAAATCGGAAATAGTATACTTTCGGAGATATCAGATAATACAGCAATGATACAAAGAATACGGGCATGCCCCGGTGCAAATAAGCCATGCACAATTTGAGAAATGGTCCAAATTTGTTGAAGGTGTCAGCTAGCCTAGTTAGGAAAGTCTCTTGACAGTTGTTCCAAAGACCTGGAATAAAGGATAAAAATTTCGTTTCTTTTCCATCAAGACAACTGCAACATTTCCGGTTTCCATGGAAACCGAAACGAATGTGTAATCGAATTTTGAAATTTCAATTCCAAACATTGTTCAGTCCCACCTGATAAAAACTATGCACAGAAATGAAACTTTGATCCTTGCCTAGGATTGAATCCCACCTTTTTCTGTGAAGGGAGGGATCTCGGAAATGGAAGGCCAGCCCAGTGGTAGCCCAGCCATAGTTAAAAAAACGAAAGAAGTAAAGGAAGTAATCAATTTTGAGAAGGTTCAAACCTCTGTTCTCCCTTTGAGTATAGGCCTTCCAATGAAAAGTTCAGCAAATACGCAGCCCACACTCCACAAATCCACAGATACCCCATAATTTGTTGACCCCAACAAAAGTTCAGAAGGCCAATACCATAAAGTTACTACACAACGGGTCAATGGTTGCTTGTTCCTTACACTAAGGAAATTAGCCAGACCAAAATCTGCTATCTTCAAAATGCCTTCATTGTTCACCAAAATATTGGATGCTTTTACATCTCGATGCATTACTCCTCTTGAGTGACAGTGCTCAATTCCGTGCAATAGCTGCTTCATATAACACTTAATCTACACACCAGAAAAAGGGTCAATATAACATTTTAGAACAAAAAGAAGCACCAGAGTTAATGTTACCACCTGCGCATCACTGAATTTGATGTCAGGGCATGATAATAATCTGGTGAGATCATGTTCCATGTACTCAAAAACAAGGTATATGCTGCATGATACTTGTGAAGTAATTATTCCTTCCAGTTTCATAATATTTGGATGGTCAAGCCGGCGTAGAATTGTTATTTCTCGTGCCATAAACCTGACACTCTCTGGTTGGAAATTTTCAAACCACACCTTCTTCAGGGCAACCATCTGACTGGTTTCAACATTACAAGCATGATAGATGCTGCTATATGTACCTTGTCCAATCTACATACAGGGAAGCAATAAAAGAGAATTTTTGGGCATAAATACATGAATTTATATGAAGGCAAGTATATGACAACATCACTGCTCAGCATACCATTAACAGCTGTGTAGTCAAGACAGTGAAACTATAGACAAAAAAAATCCAGAAGGGAATAAAATCCACCATAATTACCACTACATGACCATCATCATCATGACATCACAACATGTCACCAAAATTAATTTCCACCGATTGAGGGGGCCTCCTTGTAAGATTCAACAAACCTCAAAAAGTGATTTCCTAAAAGAGCAAAGCTCTATTGCTCTTCCTAAGCAACCATATGTTCTGCACTTAACCAAATAACTACTAGTAACTCCTATTTTTTGATATTGGCTTCACTGCTGTTGCTTTCAAATGGTAGACACTGTTATAGCAATATTTCCTTACTCCCCTGTTTCTCCCACTTATTAGTCCATCTGAATGGATTGTTTCTTCAACACAAGCACAGAGACAGGTCGAAAAGGGTTAAAATACAGTTCAAGTTCTCTGATAAGATTGTATATCAACAATTAAATAGGTCAATAATGTATATGGCATTATTTCAGAAGTCAAAGCCAAAATGTTCATAACAAAAGAGATACATTAGGTGAAGTAAAAAAAAAAAAAAAACCAAATGAGGAATACAAAATCGAACATATCCTAATGTTTAATTTATAGATCAATAAATGAGCCGCCAGAATCCACTTGGTCATTGTCAAACTCATCCCTATAAATAGGTAGAGATAGGCTGGTTCGGTGGTTCCTGCTTAAAGCAAGACTTGCAATTTCTAGTCAAAGAGCCATGTTAAAACAACAAACTTATATCAAAGGATGCTATGCACCTTTCAGACAAGACATAGAACTTTGCTAAGAGAAAGAAAAGAAGAAAAATAATCAATGAAAAAAAGCCAGAAATATCCATGAACCTCAGGGAAGACAAGATTGCTTTTTAAAACAAGATCGGTGAATATGCCAGAGATATTAAGAATAACAGGAAAAAAATATTACCTTCTGCCAGAGACATCCATAAGCCTCGTGGCAACAGCTATTGAAGGAAGCATCAACAAAGTCGTAATAGCACTAATAAGAAGCGATGCAGAGGCTGAGCCCATGCCCATATTTGATAGAAGCACTCCAACGCCTGCCTGCTCAAGAATTTGGGAAGTGTAGTAGAGAACCCCATTTATTCCAGAAAACTGCACAAACAAAAAAAAAAATTCCTAAGCAACAAGTTAGAGAAAATATGGAACCACAAAATGAAGATTAAACAACCCATTAGCAAGGTCGCTTTACTGTATCTTTCCATAATACAATAAAATAATTAATCCCTCATGGATAATTTACTACTCTTGGTAATCTCAAGTTAAATGTCTTTGCAGCATCCTGACAATTGACCACACTTAGAAATCCTCATCCCATCATTTTCGCTGAATAAGTGTGATACCAATGATTTTTTTGCAGGAACTATTCACTAAAAATGAACTAAACATGCTTCGTTAATCACTCAAAAGGAATAAATTAAAGAATTTCCTGTCAGAAATTAGCCATATGAGAGGATCACAACTCTTATTCAGCAAGTAGTAAAACAAAATGAATCAAACCTTGATTCTTTTGTAACATTCATGAAAGGAGAAAACCACCTACTAACAGGAAATAAGAAAAAGACTGCTTGAATTCATGATATCAAATAGAACAAGGGAAAATGCATCAACAAACAACATGCCACAAAGTAGAAACTAGAAACACCATCTGAGGTATTTCTAGGAGAATCCACGTTGATTTTGGAAGAGAAGAACAAACCAAACATTTTTTTCATCTATTATTTGGTACCTGTTGAAGTACTTGAATCCCCACCCCAACAACCAAAGCATGCTTGACTCCTGGTTCAAAAATATCCCTCCAATTTGGCCCTTTTGTTGCAGCTTCAGATGGGTGAACCATAGCCGGTCCAACTGGATGTTGATCCATGAGCTCTTTAGAATAACGTGATGGTTGACTCACCAAAGCAGCAGCTTGAATGAATTCGCATTCTGCAGGCACATTACCACCAGGAAGAGAAACTAGAGACCCCCTCCGAGATCCAGGGAAGCCCCCCTCATGCAAATAGATTCTTTTGAATCCTCCCTCCTTTTTTTACATCTTGACCTTCTCTTTCCGCCCACTTCCAACCACCACCAATCCCGGTGCTACCAACTGGTTCTCCAGTCTGCCCTCGTATGAGACTACCATGCCTCATACTCAACTACTTCCATGGGAAGCCGGTTGGATCAAGTCTTTTTCTAAACTCGTCGTCTGACGTGAGATCAATGGACTTTGTAAATTGTCATCAGATTCACCAGCAACAGCATCAGATGTGTAACCCTCACCCTCCATTCCAAGGCTCTCTTCATGCCACCCTTCATCTTTAGGTTGATTCCCTGCTACACTGAACATGCTACCAAAGTGTGGAAAAAGCATACTTCCCGCATCGGGAAGCATTTCGTGGACACTACCAAAAAGGGTGACAAGAGGGTCCATAAGGGGTAAGGTCTGATTTGTGACGCTTCCTTGGCGAGATGCAAAACCAAGAGTACTCTGTCCAGTGACAGGTCGGGTAACCCAGGAAACTCCTTCGTCGGGACCATACAACTTGATTCGCTCTTTTTCAGAACTTTGTTCCTCATCATCACTGAATTTATTTGCTGGTCCAATCAGGTACTCCTCTATAGATGTTTCACCCCCAACCCCAAGACCTTCAACCAGCAAAGCCATCTCACCTTTTCATCAAAGGAAAATCAAAATTACAGTTGTTTTGTTCTTGTTAATAATGAGAAAATCACACAATGCATTGATATTCCTTGAACTACCTTTGTAACAAAAGATGGGGCAGTGAATGTTATTGCAAGAATCCAGCATACATCAAAGAAAAAAAAAAGGAAAGCAAGCATGTTATAATCATTGGTTGTTCTCTTTCAAGGATTCCAAATGTACTGTCTAAGCATAAGTTTAAGTTAGGCTTGCCACAAAGATCTCTTCCAAAGGGATACATTAAGTTTACTTTCCAACACAAGCATATTCTTTTTGTGATATCTGAATAAAGCCAATATACAAATGGCTGGCCAAAGAGCCAGAAAACTTGGCAGAATATGCATCAGTGCAAGTACATATGCATGCTTACCTTATCTACTTCCTAGATAACATGGTTCAAGGTCACGGTATCGGCCCTTGACTCGGGGACCACTGAGATACATTGGTCATAGCGTCACGGCACTGTATCGGCCGATAATCTCAAAACACTATATAGAAGGTTCAAAAAATTTAAAAAAAATTGTAATAAATGTAAATATCATTATGCATGCATCATATCCCCAAAAGACATTATTTAACACATTAATCATTACAAAAAAGAATAATAAGGGCGCTACCGGAAAATATTTTTCATCATCTATGTTCAATATTAATATAATTTAACTTGTAATTTTTAAAAATTATAAAAATATATAAGTGTATATATATGGTTAACTTAATAGCTTTAAAAATGAAAATCTACTTATAAATAAATTCTTCATTTAATTATTTAATGTATATCTAACTAGAAATTAAATGTTTTTTTTTCATTATGTATATTTAATTATTAAATCTTCCATTACATATACAAAAACAAATTTAATAAGTTAAGTTCTAATTATATTATATGGTAAATACTAAAAATTATATAATTAAAAAAATTGGACCAAAACAGTTTGAATTGTGAGACTATTGGGAACCAAAAGAGAAAAGAAAAAAAAAGGGGGGAGGCAACTATATTTTTGAGTTTCATTCCTTATAAGGCCAAATCCTCACATATTCTGCGCAACAACAAACCAAGAACATACGCGAGAGACAAACTTAGACTCATCGATGAACCGAGAACATACGAGAAAGAGAGAGAGATGATTGGGGTCTGGGAGTCGATGCTGGTCGCTGAAGACTTGCTAGGAGGGATCTGAGTCTCTGACTCATCTGCGATGCTAGGGATTCTGCGATGATGAAGACGAAGAAAGAGGGGGCTTCTACGATGATGCTAGGGCTTTTTGTGTCTTCGATTTTAACAGGTATGCCTTGCAATTATTTCAATTTTTCTTCTATTTCTGAAGTCGCAAAAGAGGGTGAATTTGCTTGTGATTTTTTTTTACTTAGGGTTTGAAAAATGCCCATTTGAGTCTCAGATCTTCTTCTCCATTTTCTTTTTCCTTTACCATTTTGACTTTGGAGATTTTGCTAAAGTTTCTACCAGTATCGGTCCGAGTCCGATGTAACTCGCCCGATTCAAACGATATGAGTCCAAGTTGAGCGGATACCATCGAGTTATAACCGATTCATTGCCGAGTCATGAATGACTCGTGATATTTATGTATCGTGTATCGATATCGGATCGGTCATGGCCGAGACGGATACGACTTGGCCGAGTCGTATTGGACTCGGCCGATATTTTGAATCCTGCTAGATAATGACAGTAATTAGGAGAGAAACTAGACAAGCAAGGAGGAAGCACCACATCTGAGCAGGCTGCATCACTTCAAATTACCTGATGATCCATATGCCTTATTTCTAAAAATGCTCCTAAATATAAATGACATGATTATATAATATAAGTTTTGGTTCTTCAAAAGATAATAATATGCTTGATCTTACTGTGTCTATACTTCATTTTTGAATAATCAATTAAACTTAGGAAAAAGCTTTTTCACATTTCAGCTAATAAGGGAGAAGTTCATTTAACCAAATATAATAGCGAAGTGCCTTAGCCTTTTAAAATGCAGCTATAAATACACAATCTCTACACTATAGTTCTGCACTACAAAATGATCAAGGCCAGCTCAATCTAGCACAAAACTCCCTCCCTCTAACTTGATTGAAACTAAATCGAGCCATCTTCTTTCAATCTATGAAATCATGTTTCTCTATAATCTGGAAATTTTTCAATATCACAAATCAAAACTACAGGTTAGATTAGGATCACCATTAGGTAGATAATTGCATGCCAAACTTGGTGCATTGAAACAATTCTGAATTGCTTAATTTGCAAAACAAGTTAAAGTAATAAACATATCAAAGACTGCAAAGCAAAATAAAGCCAGAGAATTTTATGCAGATGTATTCACCAAGAGAAGTAAATAATATTGAATATAAATTGGTAAAGCTCAACATGCAGAAGTCATGTAATGTTAATTGGTACAATGCAATGTCCATGATGGTTGCTCATGCCCCTTATAATTGGTTTAAATCATGTTGTTTTTAAGCTGGACGCAGGAAATTTGAATGGTTATGAAAGCACAGAAGAACTCACCAGAAACATCTTCCCTACCGCATAGTCTCTGCAAAACCTGCTTGGCCTCGAGCATCCTCCCTTTGCTCACAAGCCACCTTGGAGTTGTCCAATCTGACTAAATCGAGTGTTTTGTTTTAATTTGACTAAATCTACACTACCTATCAGATAGTGTGTCTACACTAATTTGTCCAATCTGACTAAATCGAGTGTTTTGTTTTAATGTTCACCTCGAGTTGTTTCAACTGGCAACCATCTGGGCTGGAGTAAGGCTTTTACCAAATGGCTAGGACTGAGGAGGCGTTGTTGAGTGTAGGGAATGGAGAAACTTAAAAAACAAGCTTCCTTGTGTGCAGTGCAGTGCGGTTTGTGCATGCATGGGATGGGAAAGATACTCTTGAGGATTATGGTAACAAAGCCATAGTTGAGAATTTGTGTGGCAATGCTATCCCCTATCCTGGAAAGAAAAACAATGGCAAGTCATGTGATTATGTCCGCAGTCTACATTATTGAGCTGAGCTGAGGTGTTATTTCCAGGTCTTAACCGTTTGCCAATGCGATCTCTTTGTCATGCTGAAATCAGAAAGTTGAAATGGTCATCATAAAAAGCAAAAAAGGCGTCCCTCGATTGGCATTTTCAGTCATGTGGCTTGCGCATATTTTTACACCATTCCATTCCATAATGAGATTTTCCATTCTAGAGAGCCAATCTGAATAGGCTTATTGCAGAGTAGATCAGGTTGGAAGCGGGGACGACAAGAAAGCAGGAATTTGATTAATGATTAGTAATACATAGAAGCAAGCACATACTACATGAAACTGGAATTCAAACTACAGCCTTCAGGCTCCAAAACAATAAATGGTGTTGATCCTGGGCATATATATATTTCCCTCTAAAACGCAACACAACAATGATGTATATTCTACCCAAAGTTGCAGCCACTGTGTCTAAACAAATAAAACACCAACATCTCATATCAAGTCTATGTTTTTGCTTTTTCATGATGGGGGATTCATAGCGAAAATTTAACCTAAGAGGAAAGTAGAAGGGATAGAAACTCAATGCATGAAATCCTTAAGGAGTCAACCTATTTAGGAGGAGAGTCATCATCTGGAAATACTACTCACAATCCTAGCACCAACCCGGTCGAGTCTCTTAACCATCGCCCTAGCCTTCAAATTCCCCCCCTCCATAAACGCTTCCACCATTCTCTCCCCAATCACCTTCCCTTTCTCTTCATCATCAGTCACAGCCACGGCTGTTGGCCCAGCACCACTGATCGTACACCCAAACGCACCGGCCTCAATTGCCGCCTTCTTCACGCCTTCCATTCCCGGAATTAATGCCGCTCTCCTTGGCTCCACTATCTTATCGGACGATAATGCCTTGCCTAAACCCTTCAAGTCACCTTGCAACACAGATGCCACCAACGCCCCTGCCTGACTGCAGTTCCACACGTGGTGCGACATAGTTATCTCTGCTGGCAACGCTGCCCTCATTTTCTTCGTCGGAGCTTCGAACTCAGGATTCACCAATACGAAAAACAAATATTTTTCCTCCGGAAACTTCAATTGCATCAATTCCAAAGGATCATAGCTTCGAATTAACACGAAACCTCCCATGATCGCCGGTGCCACGTTATCAGCATGGTACCCTGAAACTTTCGATTCCGATTCGAGCCCGGCAATCACAAGATCGGATACAGGTAGTTTCCCCCCGAAAATTTCATTCACTGCCACAGCAGCAGCGGCGGCACTAGCGGCGCTAGATCCGAGTCCGCTGCCCAAAGGCAAGCCCTTTTCGAGGGAAAGGGAAAGACCGACCGATCGGATGTTGAGCATCTTCATGGTGGAGATGGCGGCGATGCCAGCGCAATTCCAGAGAGGGTTCTTGCTGAGTTTAGTGGCAGAATTGCCGGCGCCTGTGATTTCAGAGATGGAGATCTCGCCGGGGTGGACTTTGGGATCGACTCGGAGAGAGACGAAGTCGCCGATGCCATCGACAGCGCATCCCAGGAAATCGAAGCCTGGGCCGAGGTTGGCGATGGTGGCCGGAGCGAAGGCCTTGACGGAGGTGAAAACCGGTTCAGGTTCGGTGGCTAGAGTTTGAAAAGAAGGAGGTGAGAGGTTGCATCTGAAGGTAGAGAGAGAAAGGTGGTTGGGTTTTGGTGAAGAAGAGTGTGAATAGGGGATGATCTTGAAAGGAGACTGGTAGCATGTGGCGGCCATTGAAAGGAGCAGAATATGTGGGTGAGTGTCTGTCTGAGTAGTGGAAGGCGCTTGTGAGTAGAGGTTCCCGGTGATGGAAGGCGGTGGATATTGGTGAAAGGCGGCGGATGAAGGGAATGGACGGAGGTTGGTGGCTGCCTGAAAATGCTACTTGAAAGAGGAGGCTGGTGGGATTTCATCCGAGAAACTTTCTAGAGAGAAGAAAAAAAAGGGGTTAACTTTTGGGTTAATCTCAAATTTTATTCTAAAAGTTCGTTTGAATTTCATTTTGTAATTTTAAAGATAAAAATTTTTAATTTATACCCTCAAAAATAAAAATTTATATCAATGCACACTCAAATTACCGATCGCAACTAAAATTAAATGAATAAATTACGTTTAAACTCTCTCATGCTTCTCATTTAATCACCTAAATCTCACACATTTGAAATATTATACTTACATTTATTGAGAATCCAAATATGAGTAAAAATATTTCTCTAATTAGACATTCAAATAATTATATTTAAGTGATATATTACATTGAATATAAAGAACATTATATTGAGTATTCAAATGATAAACTTAATTTTAAATTTTAGATGATAATAGAACCACAAAATAACTGGTAGTATGAAATTATAACTTTTTATTATAATAAAATTATATTTTTTTAACGGTAATATTAACAGATATCAACGATAAAGGATTATGTGTTACATGTGCATAAAAGTCAGGAGGTGTAAGAGTAATATTTTAAATGTCAAGAAGTTTAAATAATTAAGTGACAAATATTAATATAATTTTTTATTTTGAATATAAATTCAAAATTTTAATCTTTTAAAAGTATAAATTAATATTTGAACTACCTTTGAAGGTGCAATTTACACTTGCCCCTTAACTTTTTAAGAGTGTTAATGTCAATGAAGGTAAGGTCCGGGAAAATTCGGTTGTATAGATCTCATGAGTTTAGCATGTCATGCCCTTATTTTTTTCTTTTATATCTAAATTTAAATTTGGATAAAAATAATTTAAAATATTTTTTTTAATGTTAGAAACTCAAATCAAGAGAGACTATTTTTTAAATTTAAATATTTAATGGTGAGACTTTATTCTCTTTTAAATTTAAGTTTTTTCTTATTTAAATTTGAGTTTTTACTTATTTAAATTTGATTTTTTTTACTAGAGATGTCAAATTTAAAAGAAGGTAAAATCTCATTATTTATTTGTGCTTATCAAATTAAGTTTTTTATCTTTTTTTTACTCAATTTTGGGTAAGAGTTTGAATTTTCATTGAAAATAATCTAAGTAATGTTATTGTGATATAATTTATTGATTTGTTAACCTAATTTGATATAACCTTTGAATTAATTGTGAACTTCATCAAATATTAATATTTAGTGTTGATCCAATGATTCTAATAAAATTATATTATTAAGTCAATAAATTAATTTAAATTAAACTTTTAGAAATTTGCATTGTGTAAAAAAGATAGATACTTAAAATGTTGGGACCCACAAATGATGTGACCGTTAATGTGCCATGTGTGTTAGAGCAACTCCAACTCTATTCAGTAAAATGATTAATTAAAATATATTTAAATATTATATTTTCTATTTTAGATAATCATTTTTTAAAACTCATTCCAATCACGCTCTCTATTTTAACTAACTACTTCAATTAACTTTAACTATCAACAATATAATTCAAAAAAAAACCCTAGCCTAATAATATAATTTAAAATTTTCACAAATACTTGTATTAATATTTCGTAGGGTCTAAAATTAAATATTTTATTATACAATGGGGTTTTCTAAATTTGGAGGGAGGGAGGTTTTCAGAGAAGGGGTTTTTCAAAATTGGGGTTTTCAAAATGAGTTTAGGGAAGGTGAGTTTTGAAATTGGGGTGAGGATTTGCAATATGGGGGTGAGAGATGAGGAAGATTACTTAGACCAACTCTTAGAGAAAATAATGAAGACAGAGGCGAGCAGTTTGACGAGTTTCTTCTCCTTTCTAGATTTGGCGAGCAACAAGGATCTCCTAGTTTTTAGCTAACAGCATGGCGAGCCGATTGGAGCAATTTTTTTGAGCAAGCCTAGCCAAATTAGCTAAAAATGATGATTTAACTAGTGAGTTGGGGATCTTGTTAGGCAAGTTCTCATGCATACATGGAAAACAGGCCATTAATAAAAATAGTAATACTACGCTGACTAAATTTTATGATTAAATTTAGAGCTCAAATGACATGACAGCTAACTTTGACTTCTTTTTTTGGTGACATGTCATTTGAACCCCAATAAAGACTTCAAATAATATGTTGTCATGTCATTTAATCTCTAAATTTGGTCCCAAAATTTAGTCAGCATAACATTACTGTAATAAAAATGGGTTATGTTTATTGTGCAACAAAATGTCAGGGGGATGTTGTGAGACTCAATTACGCATTGCATGCATATTAATATAATTTTGTGGGTTAAAATATAATTATGCGAAATTATTAACGGGTAAATTAAAGTAAATCTTTTATAGGCATGATGTGAAGGAGCATCCATTGGGTAGGTGAACCCCGTTAAAGATATATTAGTAAGACCCATTTATAAATATTTTATGTGTGAAAATATTAGCGGGTTGATTTTAAAATTATTTAAAAACTTTGGAGGAGGCAAGTGTAATTAACCCCATTAACGTGATTAAGCCTTCTATGTGTCAACTTATAAAAAAAAAAGACTGAGTCATGATTATGCTAAGGTGGCTGGTGTGGTGTATGCCGTGTGTGTGTATAAGTGTAGAGTTTGTGTGTGTGTGTGTGTATAGTTTAAAGTTAAAGGTGTGTGTGTGTGTACAGTTTAAAGTTAAAGGTGTGTGTGTGTGTTTAACTCGTGTGTGTGTGTGTTCTGATCAACGGGGAAGCCGAGAGTGAGAAGAACAAGAGAAAGAAAAACAAAGAAGAGGAAAGAAGACATAGGAAAAAAGAATATATACGTGTGTCTATTTGAACCGTGATTAAAGAATGTATCTGGGACTCCATTTATACATGAGTTGTGATTAATTTTTGTATACATGTTGTTATATATATATGGGCTATTTTAAAATAATATAATTAGTAGACTGGTTTAATTTAAATACCTGAGCTATTTTATTTTAATAGATTGTTTTAATTCAAATTTTATGGGCTGATTTAGTTAATGTCAAAACAAATTTTGTATGGGTATAATTAAATATATTTAGTATAATTAACGGGCTATTAAAGATAGGTTTCAACTGGGTATTAAAAGAAAGATGAGAAAAATGTGAAAAATAGTTATTTGAGATGTTCGGTATGTTTTTGAAGGTTAGGTTGGAATCAAAATTATGGAAGTGAAATGGATGATTTAAAAATGCAATTAGGGGGCTGATTTTCATAATTTAGTGAATGTCTGAGTTTAGGTATAATTATTTTAAAAGAAAAGTACGATAGAAATTGGAAAAAGGTGTCGGTAATGCCGAAACCCTAATTTCTAAATGTTATTATCACATGTGCGAATTTTAATTCAAATGACTTGGAATTTTGCATGCAACATTTTTAAATGATGCTTGATGTGATAATGTGACTTATGAATGCAAATGAGTACAATATCCGGTGCAAAATGTATGAAATACTAGAAGTGTAATTTTTGAAATTCGAGGTCGAAATGTGTGGAAATGGACCCCCAGTGAATGTGGTTGACCTACTAAATCCTAATTGTGATTAATGTGAGTAATTTTAGAGATTGAAGAGGAAATGTGATCCCTAGAATAAAAGTGCTAATGTGTGAGTAGATAATGCGATAACCGGAGTTACCGGGATACTTTAAGGTGCATCATTTGCATGTATTGATGCATGATTAACTATTAAATGTAATAAATATATTGATATTGTAATTGTAATTGTGTTAGGTGAAATAATCGGTGTTGGAATAGATATGGTAACACTGAAAGGATTCACTAATAGGACCGAATGGTCGTAGATTTGTACATCTGAGGTAGGTGTATATTTTTATATGTTTTGAAAATGCTATTATCAGATGATAATAAATGATAGAATTTAATAGTAATTCTTCAGGATTATGTGCTACATGCTTATGTGATTGAATGATGCTTTGTACTGTATATTATGTATTATGGAATATAGCGCACTGTTTGAGACAGGGGCGTTGATGCCTGGTCACTGGGCGTGCAGTAATGTGCTAGCACTGTGGTGTTCTCGAGAGGTTCGAGAGACACGGATCCATGTGAAATCGATTACCCAATGAAAGGTAGTGTAGATGTGATGTGGCTTATGAATTTTTTGAAATTAGATTGATGTTGTTGTTTGATAGTAGCTATCTACTTCAGTGTATTACTATCATTTTCATTTCATATACTACATGTATACTCACTGAGCGCGTGGTTTAGCTCACACCCCTACAGTTTCTTCTTTTAGGTACTATAGAGGAGAATGCAGACCGGTTCACTGTCCAGTTGATTGAGTCTTGTGCAACGTTAGTGTGATATCACTCAGATTGAGTGTCAGTATGACTAACTGTTGGGCTGTGTATTATATTTATGAGAGATATTTATGGCAGGTTAATAGTATATATTTGTAAATAGACTCAGTAAACATACTTTGTGATGTATGCTATGTGGGTGTGAGATTTTGTATATATTTATAACCAAGAAAATAAATGATTGGTACATGTGTTTATATATAGTACAGGTTATCAGACAGGTTTTAACATCATACTTAATAACTGAGGTGATGAGTGTTGTTGTTGCACCTATAGGATTATATCATATTTGATTAGTCCAGCTTATAAGAATTGTTCATAGATTTATGAAAAACCTAGTCACATCTCATCCTTGGGAGACCGGGATGAGGCATGACAGATGTTTTTTGGTGCTTTACACTTTGAGTAATATTACATTGACCAAAATTATGGACTAAAAAAAGTAACCAAATGATATGACGACTGACTTGAGTCTAATCAGCCTTCCACGTCAACCGCCATGGTACTTTCTGTCTCTCTTCGTAACACCTGCGACCACCATTCCCTTCTCCTATCTACTCTGGTAGCTCTCCACCCTATCCCACTACTCCCCTAGCCATTAAATTGTTCTAGCAAATTCAATTGCTGAATGTCCATTTAAACTTTTGTTCCAGTAAACTTTTGAATTGGCTTCCCCTTTCTATCTATTTTTTCACCTATCAACCTTATATCCATAATCACCTCTCTTTTCCTGATGTTATGGTTTAGCATCATATACATGTCGTTGAAACTACGTCTTTTATCCCCAATTTTTGGGCCCAAAAATCTGCTCTTGAAACCAACCAAAATGAGGGCACTAATTTCAGTTTCATCCCACACTGTCCACAATCATCACCACCTTCAAACGTCACTGTTTTCATTTTCCTTTATCCTCTCTTAAACTTTGTCTTAGACAATTATACTACACGTTTAGGAAATGTTCTCCTTAGAGTCGGGCTTTGTTGGGGTGGTTGTGAGATGGGTGGGGTAAAGGTGAGTGAGCTGTTAGATGGGTGAAGGGATTGAAGGAGTGGGTGGCAGTCGGCATAGGTAAGGGAAGGGGATGGTGGCAGCAAGTGTGGCAGAGAGAGAGTGGTTAGCCTTGTCTTGTAGGTATTTTTTAGAAATTCTATTTGCCCCTCATGTGAACAGCTCATGGGTCAGATCTGTTACCAATATCAATAGAAGTTAAAAATTGGACCAATAAAACAAAAATGGGAAGCATTAGAGACCAAATGACCAAAATTGAAGTATCAGAGACTAAATTGACAAAAGACACATATTTCAATAGTTACAATTGTATTTAATCCTTTTTTAAGTAGGCACCAAGTTTTCACGTATATATAACTACCCTTTTTTCATGGGCATACCCTATTTTCTGGATTTGTTTAGCCAATATAATCTATTTTCTATAGATTTAAAGTGGTGATATAATTTTTTTACCAATATATTGGTGATTTCAGGGGCAGAGCCAAAAAATTGTTTGAGAAGGGTTGGTCAAAAGTATGATGATTTGTTTTGAGTAGAGCTAGTTGACTTGAAATTATGATGAAAAATACTTCATTGGTTCAACTCAAGAGGTAAAAGCGGCAATTGGTTAGGATAGATCAAACCTTTCAAAGTTCAAATAATGAACTAACATTAAAACAATTTTCTTCCTTTATTTTGTCTCTCTCCCCCTTATACATATATATTATTTGATATTAGAATCGGAATTATGGATCAAAAAGAATAACATTTGACTTCGACTAAAAATCAAGTTCTACAATTTTGAAATTTTATAGTAATATCGTAATGTTGGAGATTAACCCCCCCATCTTCAACACCATCTTCCATTTCCTTTTGAACCTTGGTGGTTTAATAGACAGAAGAACCCAAAATTTTTGAAGGATATTCCATAGGGAACAATGATTATAAAAAATTGAATGAGCTCATTTGACCTCATTCCAATTCATGTGGCTCTGCCCATGGTTGGTTTTGGAAGATTGGTGGAAGGTGGGAAATAAACTAATTAGAGGAAGGAATATAACTCAAAATTTAAAACTGTCTTCCTGCAACTCGTTTAGGTCCTAGAAAATGTCACTTGTCGAAGTGTTTCAGTCGAGCATGGTAGAACTACAAATCATTGGTTGTATGTCTGATGATAAATTAATGTAGAAGGCGATTTACCTACTGGATACTTTTATTAAGTACATAAAGCTGCTAAAGTATTAGCTTGTGATGTATCTTTTTTCTTTCCCATAATGTAGTGGTTCATTGAAGAATCATAAGCCATGTACTTTGATTGGTTAGTATTCTTTTTAGCATTCGCCTAAAATTATAAAGTGAGTGAATTGATCTTGTATGTGTTAGAACTTTCAATTCAAAACCAATTGGCATCGAGTGGAGAGTCATAAACCAATTGGGTGGTCCTATCATTCGATTCGATGTAGAATACAACCCTCTTTCCAATGTGGAGTATAAGATAGCACTTTGACCTGCAACTCGTTCAACTGATATGATCCATGTAGGCTCTTTTTTGTTTCTGGAGTCCTAGGTTGACATTCCTTACCGTGTAAGTTTCATTAAAGTTGGTGGGAAACTTGAGTGGTATTTGCTATCTTTAACTAGTAGAATGCCTTTTTTAAATGACAAATCAGATGAACATATATAGTTTTGGGAAATCCAAATTTGGAAATATGAGATACAGTTGCCTATATGTTGGTTTCTTTCCCACTTATCCACTTAGAGTTGTTGGTATAGTGTTTCATGTTGTTTGTGGTGTTCCAAATATTGTAAAATCACTTATTGAAATTTCTAATATTATGTAATTTAAAATAAAACGAAGCAGTGAAGTGCGGAACAGTTACACATAAACAGTCTTACACGAAAGAGTTGCACAAAAAGAATTACAGAAACCTATCGAAATAGTAATAGCAAATAGTTACACGTAACTGTTTGTCAAACCAATATAAATATTAATCCGGTTGTAGAACAAAAATTATTATTGAAGTTGATGTAGATCAAGACTATTGTTTGACACTATGTTCTTAAGACAGATTTCGGCTCCACACACAGTGCTTATAGAATATCGAGTATCTGCCTCCCTAGATACAATGATCTTTTACACGAGTAGAAGTATCACTCCAATCTCCTCGTCCAACGAATCAAAATTGTGTTGTGTACTCTCCAAATACAGACTGCCTTAATGCCGAAATGCTATGCTCTAACTTAATGCCGAAAATGGACAGATGAATTAGATGATTTAAATGCATGCATAAACTGGGTATTTATAGACACTTTTGATGACTTTTCGAACAACCACCATACTAAAAGACACAACTCAGGGAAACAAATGTCAACCAGTAGACATCACTTGTAATTGTTCTCTATGAATAGTCATAACTCAATTTTGGACTGGAGAGAAGCAAAAATCTGAATCAATGCGATCCAACGGGTACCGAAAAATAAATTTCGATTTAGAAATTCTCACCCAATTAATTAATTAAATTTTCTCTAAAAAAATAGAGTTTGGTCTAAGCCACACCCACACCCACACCCGAGCCCCGCCGGGCCAAGTCGTGGCGAGGCGGTCGGGTGTGGTCGAACCGAAAACATGTAGGCGCTCACTCAGCTCATAAAACTATGGTACTCCTTGGAACCCAATCTCATAGAGCAAACTTGACCTATATATGCCCATGTTGAATTTGTTTCTCAACTAATATGAGATTTGTGTCAAATCTCACATTGCACAAATTTTATTTTTACGTTTCAAGTGAGTCACTTTATAGCCTATTTTCTCATTCATTTCTTACTCGATTTGAGCAAGTGAATATACTATATTATTCTCCTCACGGAATAGAATATGAACCTACAAAAGTTTGTTCGAAATAATGACCGAGTCCCACTTTAATTTAGGTTCAAAGTCGACCAAAAATCAAATTTTTACACTTAAAAATCTGTTTTGGTCCAACATTCGGTGGTTGAAAACTTTTGTGGTGCAGAGATTGATAGAGGATGATATGGAAAAGGTTAAAAGGATTCACGAAAGACTCCACAGTTCCTTTCAGAGAAAGGCTAAAGTTAATGGTTGGGGTGGATAATCCGGATGATTTTGTATTGAGTTCTGTTGAAAGAAAGCTTTTGCTTGCTTATAACGACAAACCTGTCCTCTCGCGCCCTCAACATAATTTTTATCAGGTAAAATATTATGCCTTGTGTTTGCTTACCTTGCTATGGACAACATAAAATTGATGATAGACATAAGAGAGTGATATGCACTTGATGTCCATCCATTATTTATTTCTTTTGCACCATGGCTTGCATGGATTCGCATTAGTTCATCCAAAGTTTCTTACCCTTATGCACGAATTATTGAATAAGCCACCTTCCTATCAAGGAAAATACATAATTGCACTGCTATGCATGCAATCATATATGGTCTCCCAGTTTGTTTAATAAATGGTGGTAGCCAGAGATTCTCATTGTTTCTTAGCGAAGGTTTGTTTCTTGGCAAAGTGATTGCCTGAAATTCAGTCAATTGATCCAAAATTTACAAGACTGTAACACAATATATGGTTTGCTACCATCTTGCTTGTCTGTCTGATGGATACTTGTTCTGATACCTCCTTTCATGTCTAATCCAGGGCCCCAATTACTTTGAGATTGACCTTGACATTCATCGGTTCAGCTACATGGCAAGAAAGTGATTGGAAGCATTCCAGGAGTGTCCGAAAGCTGGAAATACTGGATTTGGTTTTAACAATTCAAGTGCCACTTCCAAGATATTACTTGACAAAATCTAGTTACATCCACATCACCTGTATATTTTTTGTATTGTTTCCCACCTGAGTCTTCTTACACTATTGTCTATCAAAAAACAGGCACAGAAACCTAAAGAACTGCCAGAGAAAGTGCTTGCTGAACAAGATTGACTTTGTTAATCATGGCCAAATACCAACAATTGTGGCTCTTCCTGATGACTGATTCCGACGACGGCGGAATCAAGTGCCTGACATTTGCTGTTGTTGACATCTGCGTGAGGAGAATCCGTATAGCCATGTACACATCTAATAGCTTTAAGAAAGGAAGAAAGAACTATTTTTCTAACATGGCATTAGTAAAATTTCCTTTCATGTTGATCCAATAATGTTGTCAACAAAAATGTTCTTGTATTTATATGTATCATGTACAGTAATTTTTATTTTGCTATAAAAGAAATGGAAAGTAAGACTGATGTATTTTTTATGCTTGGTATGGATGACAAAGTTGAAGAGTGGAAGAAGTATAAATTCATATTTTACTTTTACATCCTCAAATGAAATTAATTTATCCTTATTTGAGGGGTATAAAGGTAAATAATATATAAACACATACGATTATTTTATTTTTTAATTTTCAGTCCAATTTTGAGATAATAGATTCTAAAGGGACAAAATGAAATTTGCATATGTCAAAATTATGCAATTAAAGTTTGGAAGATGCCGAGATTAATGGGAAAGAGCGCTATCAAGTAAAGGCCAATAAGTCAAAGGAAGGTGAGAGTGATGTCAAGTCATCAAACGCCCAAGGCGACACACATGCTACAATGAGACAAACACATTTATATCTAGTACCAACACATTTGGTGTTAAGGAAATAACTCTTTGCAAGGAGGTTGGCCAAAGATTTCTTGTAAAAACAAATTGATCCAAACCGAGCACTATTTGCTCAACCTTGATTTGAAATTTAAATGAACCTTGAATAAAGTTCAATTTTGACATGTTAATCTTCCCATTCAATCTTGTACTATCCAATCTTTGAGCAAGCCTCTACTGAGCTGATTTTGAGCCTATATTGAATAGTTTGAACTTTTTACATAACTGGTGTATTTTACTTAATTTATTAAATCGAGATCAAATTGACCTAAGAAATTTACTGGCTCAAAAAAAATGTTCAAATTTAGTTCATTCATCCTACGACCCCTCGAGTAGATTGTTCATTTGACCCTCCTACTTGCCGGAATTATTTTTCTTCCTACCACGTTTGGTTCCTTATTTCACCGTGTACAAGTTTGTGCATGCATGCACTTAATTTCCCAACTATCTTGCCATACAATTGTCAAGACGCACTTACCCTTTTGGAATAACAGAAAGTTAAATAATTTCTAGCTCAAGATATGGTCACCAGAGGAGAAGAAACGAAAAGCAAAACTTATTATTTTAAGCAAAAAATGAAAAAAAAAAAAAACATTTAATTACAAAGAATTGTATATGCCAAGCATTTTTACTTCGGACATCATATCAAAAAATAAAATCGTTCCATAAGGGCACTTCTTTTTTTTTTTTTATATCAGCCACAAGAGCACTTGGGATGAGTTGTTCCTTGCTTACATCTGCAAAGGCCCTCTTTTGCTACATGTACATGACCAATCCAACATTCACAGAGCTAAAACTTGACAATGACTAGACCAAGATATCTCAGCAAGAAGCAACAGTTTGAGCTCCCTAGGAGTCTGGAGGACATTAATTTAGATGGCCATAAAAGGTTCAGCCACAAAGCCTCTCCAACCTTTCCTGTCTGAGGAGGTTTGGAGAATCTAGCACTCTCAGTTCCTCTGCATCACTAGTCTGCAGAAACAACAATAGTTATTAACTTCTATTGCTGCATATTACCCCATTTCGAAAATCCATAAATATATTATGAGCATGTAAAGTAGGGCACTAATTTGGCAGTGCTCAATTATGTTGCAAATAGGGAAGGGGATAAAGAAAAGGAAAAAAAAAACACGAATGCCTTAATTGTCATACTTTCCGTTAAAAAAAAAAAAAAGATCAAAAACAAAAACTGCGTTGGCAAAAAATTGACAGAACTTTAGAAAGATATTTGTGTACCTCTATAAAAACGAGATCTGCGAGCAGCTTGGCGTGTTTGACCTTTTTGTCTTCCATCAGTTCTACGTGGTTGTAATAACAATGCTCCGGAGAATGGAACACTTCCACCTTCATCATTATAATCCTGATACATGTGATTTGGAAAATGGGTCTCAATAACTATATGTAAAGAACATTCCTGAATGATTTGCTGAGTTGTTGCATTAAAGGAAAAAGGAAAGGAAAGATAAGTGCTTCAATTTGAGTCCTACCAGAGTATTTGTGAAACAGTTAAATATAAAAGAAGATAACTTACTACTGATAGTTCCTGAGACTCGTAAAAATCTGAGGAATCGAAAGACTCTGGTCGATTAGGATGACTTTGTAGCCTTCGTATTGCACGTTTTGCAATCTCATCATTGCCTCTTGAACCGATGTGGATCCTGCTGGAACAAACTTCATTTTCTTGCCATTCTGATTCCAAAGTATCCTGTGCATACAATACACTGGATGGGTCTAATGCACTCAAATTCTGACGCCTTAAAGTGGTCAGACTGTGTAATCTTGTCGATGCAGCATCCTGTCTCCGCCTTTTTGCCCATGCAAAGCTACTTGATGGCGTAATTTGCACAGGGACTGAGCGTACGCTATCCACTTGAGATATTTCTGTCCCTTGAGAAATCTCTGATACTGTATCATATGATGTTTTCACTGATCCCCTAGATTCGGTGGCTCCTTTTCCCTTAGGATAATGTGCATTACCACCTTTACTTCTACGAGCAACCTGAATATTGGCCTCCCATTCCTACATAATTAAGGTAGTCAAATCAGTAGGAACAAGCTTTATTCCATTAACTGTTGATAAAAAAGTTGGCGGAGATAGGGAGACATTGAGAAAAAATGGGAGGGAGAGAGACCTCTGTGGGTGCCACTTTGCAGGAAGTGCTTGGTTCTTGCAAAGGTTTATGTACTCTTCTAGAACCTCCAGATGCTCGGACTGTAGTGCCACCCTTTTTCCTGAAATTTCAGTGATGTCTTCATTTGAATCTTAGATGCAATAAATATCAAAATTCATCAGTGAAATAATCTATCCTCCCATTATGAAAAGTAGCATTCGTCATATCTTTAAAACCAAGATATTTCAAATGATTTCTTGTTCTTTTTGACACAATTTTACCCATCCTGTATTACAAGCAGGACAGTTTCTATTCTCAAAGCCTTCCAAACACTCGATTCCTGGTTGAATCAGATAAAAGTAATGGGCATGGCAATAATTCAGATAAGGACTAACAAAAGGTCCTAAGATCCATAAACAGGTCCAACCTCAAAGTTCAACTTCGGACTTGATACCTAAACCACTGAAATAGCTTCTGCAAGGGTGTAGGAATGCTGTGCAGAAACCTAGCAGCCCCTTACAGCTGAATGCACCACAGCCTTTACAAGAACAATATGGATTAAGATATCTCACCTCCGTGCTTCCACGCGGAACTTTGCATCAATCTCTCTGTTAGGTGGGTACTTTGGCAAGCTTGATGGATCACATGCATAAGGCTTTGTGCTGAAATACTGAGAAACGAATAACACATCATCCAATTAGAAAGCTAACCATAAAGAAAAATGTGATATTCTAGAACATTCATAATCAAGTGGCATGATGAAATAGGTGAACATTCAGGGCGGCAAAAATTAAGTCCAACATAAAGAAAAAAAGAGGCATCAGTTAAGAAACAATTTTAGCAAAGTAATCTGTCTACCACAAAGTGCAAAAGTAAATTACCTCAGAATCAAGGGCAGATGATGCAGTCCTGCGCTTGTCATGTTCTATGGAAAGAAAAGCTTCTATTAGGTTCACAGCAGTTTTAGGGAATTCTTTACACCTCTCTCGAATAGTACTTTCATAAGGATGCTGGGGTTTGAACATTGTTGCAAGAGGAAGCTTAGACTTTTTCCAGTACTCATCAGGTGGAGTTCCACAAAGCTTGAAGATTTTGTGCAACTGTTCAACCTGCATAAGTGAAAAAATGCTCATCACTTCGGCCGAGAAAAAAAGAGTTATAGCAAAAACGAGACAATGAATTAAGTAATTGTGTCATTTGTAGTACACATGCACGTCCCACTACCAAACTGTGAGTAATTTATATTAGTCTGTCTGAATACATGATAAAAAAAAACATATTACAATATACAGAATTCGCTCATGCTGGAGTTTGTCTTGAAATCCCAATATCATAGAGCTCAATAGACTGAAAGCTTGATATTTATGGTTATGTAGGAAGCAACATTCTTCAAAAACAGAAATAGTTTAGTTGTTACTTCATGAATCCCCTCTTAAATGGACCACAGACACATTTCAAGGGGCAGAGAGTTAAGCCAAAATTACACAAAATTATTACAATCAATGCCCACCCCAACTAACCTCTAACCCCTTCCTCAAAAGAGGGATAAAGAGAGAGAAGGTTGCCAACAACAACCATATATATACATACACATATAGAAATATGTATACATGTTACAATGTATAATGTTCTTATTCTTATGCTTATAAGGACTATTTTGCCTTCGGTAGATAAAATAAATAGTGTTTTATTCGTCTATATTCTCCTTTGCTCAATAAATATTTCCCTAGAATCCATGGGGTGTTTTATCAATATTTCGAAAGAAATTCCAATGTGCACCTTCTTAAGAGCTATTGAAAAACAAATATTATGAATCACCAATTCGGAATAGTGTACTTTCGGAGATATCAAATAATACAACAATGATACAAAGAATATGGGCATGCCCCAGTGCAAATAAGCCATGCACAATTTGAGAAATGGTCCAAATTTTTTGAAGGTGTCAGCTAGCCTAGCTAGGAAAGTCTCTTGGTAGTTGTTCCAAAGACCTGGAATCAAGGATAAAAATTTCATTTCTTTTCCATCAAGACGACCGCAACATTTCCGGTTTTCATGGAAACCAAAATGAATGTGTAATCGAATTTTGAAATTTCAATTCCAAACATTGTTGAGTCCCACCTGATAAAAACAATGCACTGAAATGAAACTTTGATCCTTGCCTAGGATTGAATCCCGCCTTTGTTTGTCTGTGTAGTGAGGAATCTCGGAAATGGAAGGCCAGCCCAGTGGTAGCCCAGCCATAGTAACAAAAATGAAAGAAGACAAGGAAGTAGTCAATTTTGAGAAGGTGCAAACCTCTGTTCTCCCTTTGAGTATAGGCCTTCCAATGAAAAGTTCAGCAAATACACAGCCCACACTCCACAAATCCACAGATACCCCATAATTTGTTGACCCCAACAAAAGTTCAGGAGGCCGATACCATAAAGTTACTACACAACTGGTCAATGGTTGCTTGTTCCTTACACTAAGGAAATTAGCCAGACCAAAATCTGCTATCTTCAAAATGCCTTCATTGTTCACCAAAATATTGGATGCTTTTACATCTCGATGCATTACTCCTCTTGAGTGACAGTGCTCAATTCCGCGCAATAGCTGCTTCATATAACACTTAATCTACACACCAGAAAAAGGTCAATATAACATTTTAGAACAAAAAGAAGCACCAGAGTTAATGTTACCACCTGTGCATCACTGAATTTGATGTCAGGGCATGATAATAATCCGGTGAGATCATGTTCCATGTACTCAAAAACAAGGTATATGCTGCATGATACTCGTGAAGTTATTATCCCTTCCAGTTTCATAATATTTGGATGGTTAAGCCGGCGTAGAATTGTTATTTCTCGTGCCATAAACCTGACACTCTCTGGTTGGAAATTTTCAAACCGTACCTTCTTCAGGGCAACCATCCTACTGGTTTCAACGTTACGAGCACGATAGACGCTGCTATATGTACCTTGTCCAATCTACATACAGGGAAGCAATAAAAGAGAATTTTTGGGCATAAATACATGAATTTATATGAAGGCAAGTATATGACAACATCACTGCTTAGCATACCATTAACAGTTGTGCAGTCAAGACAGTGAAACTATAGATAAAAAAAATCCAGAAGGGGATTAAATCCACCAAAATTACCACTACGTGACCACCATCATCATGACAGCACAGCATGTCACCAAAATTAATTTCTACCGATTGAGGAGGCCTCATTGTAAGATTCAACAAACCTCAAAAAGTGCTTTCCTAAAAGAGCAAAACTCTATTGCTCTTCCTAAGCAACCATATGTTCTGCACTTAACCAAATAACTACTAGTAACTCCTATTTTTTGATATTGGCTTCACTGCTGTTGCTTTCAAATGATACAGCAACTGTTATAGCAATATTTCCCTACTCCCCTGTTTCTCCAGCTTATTAGTCCGTTTGAAAGGATTGTTTCTTCAACACAAGCACATAGACAGGTCGAAAAGGATTAAAATATAGTTCAAGTTCTCTGATAAGATTGTATATTCAACAATTAAATAGGTCAATAATGTATATAACATTATTTCAGAAGTCAAAGCCAAAATGTTCATAACAAAAGAAATATTTTAGTTGAAGTAACCAGAAAAAACCAAATGAGGAGTGCCAAAATCGTAATGAGATGACTACGTTTTGCAGGCTAATAGGAGGGACTCACGCTTAAGTTGATTGAATGGATACCTCTAGCATGGTGCAGGCCTCCTGTAAATCAAGTGGAGCAGTGACACTGTGTGTACATTTCCAAAGAAAGAGGCTTTTGTGTAAGCTCTCTCTCTCTCTCTACATAGATACACAATTAGCACATTGACGACCATAAACGTATCCCCCCACCCCCCACAAAGAAGCCTCGAGGCTATGCATCGATAAATTTTTCTTATAGTGCACCATAATGGGATCACCAAGGAGCAAGCGTGAAAGTTTTCTAAATGGATGAGCTTCACCTTTTCCTCTAAAAGTACTCGCTCTAGCTAGGTGACCTCGCAATCTAGACTCCCAAAAGCTAGCAGTGTAGATTTACATAAGAAAGCAAAGAACTATATTGCACAGGTTGTTTAAATGTCTATGGCAGCCGATATATATTACTCCACTAATTTTGAGTCAAATTTACTGGAAAAAATAGGGAAGTGATCTTCATAACAACCTGACTAAGAACCTCATCAACAAAACGCATACAAGCATGTGCACATATACATATAGATATATCAATATCGCCACCTGTGCCATATAGAATCCACAACCACTAATTCTCTAAAAATATAGAAATTTATGCCAAATAAAATTCGAAAAAAAAAATGAAATGGACACATAAACAAATGCATGGTCAGCTGTGTGAATGGCCAAACTTTGACAAGCTAATCAAGAATGACAAAACATTAGAGTCAAAAAATTGTTGCGCAAACTTGGGAACTGGAATATTGGCTACCTTCTCAAATCTCTCGAATATGTCGTACCTCAGGGGCAGCCATCCTTCAATGGCTTCTCCGGCCACAGCACTAAGCCAAGCCGGCCACCCTGCAGCAATATGCTCTCCTTCTGTTAGCCTCCCAAACCGAATGCTAAAAGCAGCCCTTTTCTCAGAGCTTCCCTTCTTTGAGGACTTCGATTTCCCCAATTCACGATGCCGAGAACCTGATTCATCCTCTTTATCATTTTCAGTTTCCTCCTTTATCTTCTCCAAATACCCAAACCCGCTTTTAATTTGCGATGAGGAATCCAAATTGGCTGATCCATTGTCCCTCACAGTCACCGGCAAATCAAAAGCAGGCGATTCAGACCTCGCTTGTTTGGAGCTAACACAACCCATCACCCCCAAAACCCATCAAAAATCGATCAAACTAGGGAAGCCCCAGATCAACCCAAATGGGGACTGGGTCGAGGATTGGGGATCACCCCGGCATTAGCTCATTGGGTTGGCGTTAACACGGAGGATTGATTTCCCAGAATAACATAAACCCTGAGAAACAGTGGTTATTTTGGGAACAAAGTTGTTGGGAGAGTCAAAGATTATCTGCTTCTCTTCCATCTGGATCTTGCTAGATATATGGAGGAGATAGGATTGTGAGGAAAATAATCTATTTGCGTAACGCGGTCCGCAGGGAAAGGGAGCGACATTCGTGGGTCCAAATTGCTTCATCTTTCTAGTTTGTCTTGTGTTTTGCAAAAGAAGCTATGTATGGAGAGAGAGAGAGAGAGAGAGAGAGAGAGAGAGAGAGAGAACATGTAACCGTTAAGAAGTTTAGTTCCAATTTCCATTTGTTGCTTTGGTTAGAGAGAGAGAGAGAGAGAGAGAGAGAAGGGGTACTATGGTGGTTGTAGGCCAACTGCTCAACGACTCACCTGAGTAAATATCAACTGTTACACCATGTAACGTTGATGTAACCATAAAATAAAAATAAATAATAAATAAATATAATATAATCCATCTCTTATCACGAAAGTGATTATATATTACGTAATTTGAGTTTTAGTGGAATTATTTGTTGGCTTATTTATCTATAAGTAATACTATATAATTTAAATAAAATTTAAAAATTTATAATGTATATCATCCCTTAAATGAGTGTGTCTTATCAACTTTTTCAGTATGACTCACTTATCTAACACTTATCCAATGAATGATATATATTTGTGGTATAACTTTTGGGTTCTATATGGTATAACGGTTACGCTTAATATTTTTTTTTACCTTATGATGTTTTCATGCTGTTTTTTTTTTTTTTTCTCTTCTTCATGGTTAAAGTCTATTGTTAATTCAACTACAATAACAAAATAGACCAGTAACCATAAATACCTTTTATTAAACAAAAACTTAAAAAAAAAAAATACAAATAGAATGGTCCGTCCTACTATTATTCTTTAATTTCACATCAAAAAATTATCAATACTATGTTTGATAAGGGGAAAAAAACATTATTGATAACATAGTATTTTAAAAGAAAAGTCGCTCTTTTGTATGGAAATTATTGTAAAAATCTTCTTTTTTTTTCCTCTTGGAATGAACCAAATTCAACGTCCCACCCAGCTTTAATTGGAAGTTGGTCATCACTATACAATAGGCTTATCATTTTTTAAGCCAACACCATCATCGTTCAATTTCCTTTCGTTTGATAGCGTTTATAATTTTTGATTTTTTAAAAAATAAAAAATAGAATCAAAAAATGAAAAACGTCTTTTTCTCATTTTTAAAAATTGCCCGTCATTTACAAAACGGTGACCAAAAAATAAAAACGATTATTAAACGAGTTTTTTTTTCTTGTTTTCTCTAAATATCAAAATAAAAAAGAAAAACATGAACGTTACCAAACGGGACCTTAACAATTTACTGTTATTTGGGTTTAATATATGATTGAAACAATATTAAAATATATATATAATAAAGTAGAACGAAATTTGAATCCAAAAGACAAAGAGTGGTCAAGATCGTTTTGAGACAAAACATAAATACATTTAACGAACAACGTAATCCCAACATAAAAAATGGTTTAGATTATCTCAAAAATTTTGATCTAATGGTCTACAGTTAGTCCTGAATTTCTTTTCCCACTCATGAAGAAGTCTCTCATTGTAAGACTCTACACTCCTATCTCTCATACATCTCTATCTTAAAATTGAAAAAGTATAATAACAATTCAGATTAAATTCATTTTAAATTAAAAGGTTTAGATTTCATCTAAATTCATAAAACTTAATCCAATGGCTCACAACACATCCCACACAAAAATAAAATCCAGCCCAATTTAACTACACCAACGTGCCACCCATTTTGTCTAACACCCAGGCATGCGACCTTCTTCGCAAACCAGGCATCGTTTCTCCTTCTCTCTCTCCACTAGCTCTACCATGGCTTCTCTGTTGTCACCCAGGTATCGCCCCTTTCTTTGTCACAACACATACATCACCTTCCCCTGTCTCACGACTCACACACACCATAACACAAATGCACGCACCAGCGCACATATTTTTATTTAATTGTTGTTTCATTATCCGCATGTATGTCGTTTGCTGATTATTCATTGCCATCACCAAATTTTACTCATTAATCATCTCTATGGTTATGTTTGTTTATTATTCATTGTCCATACAGGGGATTTTACTCATTAACCCCAAAAACCACGATGAAATTACAATCTTGGAGGAAGACACATTTGAGTTGAAAAATATGCTTTGGATTTAACCTTTAGGTTTGGATGCATTGGTATCTCTATGGTTATGTTTGGGTTAATTTTGTGCATTGTTTCATTTTATTATTATTTTTGGTTATGATATTTGTCAGATATGTAATTTTCTTTGAGAATTGCTTGAGGATATTTTGTGATTATAAAAAATTAGTTTTCTACATTCGTTGGATAAAAAAGTTGTCTATTTTGGGGATTTGATTGTTTGTCTACCTATTTTGGGGAACTTTAAATTTTGATTCTTTAGTAATTGGTGTTGTGCTTGAGTTTGGTTGAGTATTTTTTTACTTAATATTGGTTTATGGAATGGTCTGTGTTAGATAATGATACATACAACGAGATATATAAATTTTGTAGATATGTTGCGATTTTTTTGAGTTTTTTATTTTTACCTGAAAATCTTACGAAATTTATTGAAAAAATGGCAGGACTTGATTGATTTCAATTTCTTTAATTAAAGCAAATGACACAAACTATTTTAAAATGATGGATTTTTAGATTGCAAAGTGTCTTTAAAGAGTTTTTGGTTATTATTTGGTTGCTTAGTTGCCACTATGATTACTTTAAATCAAGTTTAATGGATTTTATAGTTATTTAAGAGTAAGAATTGATGTTTAATCAAGCTTAGAATTTTTTGTTATTCCATGGAGGAAATGATGTTGCATTGTTATAAATAATTCTCCTTTATGTAATATTATAAGATGAAATGTGTATGCGTGATGATCATGAGTATTGAGTTATTATGTGCAGATTTAATAGGGTTAAAAATATTAACGTGATAGTAAATTATGATTATTTAAGTTCAGCTCAATTAGTGTTTGTGAGTTCTATGATTTCTTTTTTGGTTACTAAATTTTTTTTTCCATTTGCTAATTTTTGTGGATTTGATTTTTTATTCGGGTGATTTTGTTGTGTCACACAGTATCTTTAGGCATGGGCATTAGTTAGTGTGACTATAAATTATAAGTGGACCTCCCAAATTACAATCGCCATAGGATCACATAAATTATTTAGCTCTGAAGTTGTTGTAACCCAACTACTCATCTGGTATACCATCAAACCTTTGCAGGGTCGGGTTAATTCCACCCCTAAAATATTTATCCTCGCCTCATTTTTGCTTACACCCCCCACTTTAAATTATTATTTTTGTGTGTCCATCCTGACATATACAATTAAACGTATGTTTTCTAATCCCATCCCAATTTCCATCAAAAACTCTAAACACCCAAGCCTTAAATTCTATCCTCAATTTTAATAAGATAATCTAAAATCATGATTATCTAAACCAACAAATGAAAAATGAGATAATAAGTTAGTATTAACTAAACCAGTCAGGTTGATAAATCAATCATAGTCTTCAACTACCCCTTCGCAACCTCAATTGCCTCTGTTTTCGATGATATGACTGCATTATAAAATCCCAACTCTTCTAGTTCATTTATTATATTTTGCTTAAAAGTCTTCGTCATTTGATAATCAATATCATCCAAAATTTGCTTCACTGCCATGTTATCGTCAACTAGATGGTAACAATTGTGGCTGTGAGGTGGTGGAGATTTGGGTGGGATTGATGGCGTAGGTGGTGATTGTAGATTTAAGGTTGACTAATCACTAGAATGAATATAGAACGGAGCGGGAATAGTAAATGGGGTGAGAAGAAATATTTTAGGGGTGAGAACAGCCCCACCCAAACTTGAATGGTGATTATGCAGCCCAAACAGGTAATAGAAGGCAGGATTAGCTAACAAAAATACAGTGAACACGAAATGATGGCAACTCAAATTATAAGTATACAGAAAATACTGTTGTAGGACAGTAGGAGGGAACAATAATTGTACATATACTTCCCACACCACATAAAATAGACAAAAGTGCGTAGACACACACACCACACCTTGGAATTCAACCATACAACATCTACTATTGACATACATTTTCAATAAGCTTCCAAATGATATCATCGTTTTCATTGTCCCACCTTGTCCTAAGTTAGCAAACAGGCAAGCTCAAATCCTACCTTTGATCTTACAGATAGCGTAATAGCAGATATATTTATGCTGCGATTTGCTCTTCTTTTAGCTGTAACAGGACTTGTCTTTGGTCTTTGCTTCCGAAATCTAGTTCAACATGTAGGGCAGGTTCCCCATGCACCACTTTTTTCGGTTTTGACTGCAATCCATCGCCACTGGCTGTGCTGTGGATCCTGTTTCTGGCTGCCGGGATGTCATGACTATGTTTTCCTTCATATGTAGTTATCACAGATTTGGGGTCTGTTGAAGCCCTCTCGACATGCTTACGCACGTTGCACCCCACAAAAGTGCATCTGTAATAGCTCCTGTGGACAAAATTCAGATGCATCAGATATCATCTTCACAGAAGTAAACAAACTTGCCTCAGGATGGCTCAGAAGCAAACAAAAATATGGATAAAAGAGCTGGCAAAAAATAGAAAATATACAGTGTTAGACACCCCATAATAGCAAAACAACACCAAGACAGTATTATATGCCTTCTAGATTAGATTCAAGATTATATATATAAAAAAGTGAAGCATGAGAAGAACTCTTTTATCAATATAAATAATCACTTCATCAATACAATGATGCAAAGGCTGTTATGTAAGCCATGACAACATACAGTTACAGAAAGGTGCCACCCTTGATAGATCAAGAGGGAAGAAAATGATTTCGATAGACACTTCCAAATACATAGGATAATGTGAGCCAGTTGAGTTACTTTTTCATTTTGATTATGAATTTCTTTCATCCCCCAATAAAGTATAGCTCTCCAAACAGTCGGCCCAATTAAAACACTGGCAAATAAACGATAAATTTATCTATTATCAACTACAAATAATCTAAAACATCTGCTGTTGATTTTTCAAGGCCAAAGAAGTTGCAATCACTATAATCAATGGGTATGCAATCTAATAAGTAATGTGAATAGAAAATATTTCAAAAGAATCTTGGAACCAAGTTGAATGATGGAATCACCATAAACAGAAACGAATCAACATTAATGCCTGTCACTAAATCTTATCATATGTTATGATGTAAAAGATCCCAAATATCAACACCCAACATCTTTTTTTATTAAAAAAAATTGGGAATGAGGAGATGAGGCAAAAGTGGCCCTTAGCACTGGATCACACCCCCACCTCACTGCCCAACATCTTTTCCTTCACTGAAAAACACCCAATATGTAGACAGAGTCACAGAGTTGTCACCTTGGATGAGGATTTCCCTTGACCACTTTCTGCCCATATTTTCGCCACTTGAACCCATCATCCAAAAGATCAACTTCACTTCTTGTCTGCACAATGATTCTTGGTTCTGTGACCATTTTATGTGACAAAGCTAGATCAGATGCCCCCATCTGTGTGTTCCTGCACCTCAAGGCAAGTTATTATAGAGAGAGAGAGAGAGATCCACAAACATGAAAAAGTAGTAATGGACTTGCCTTCTCTTGGAATTCGGTTCATCACCCCCATCATTGATTATCATTTCAGCATCATCCATTTCTTCCCTGTCACTTAATCCAGGTAACTGTTCGGATGTCGACTGGGTGGATACCTGATTCTTTCTGGGCACTGACTGAGAGGGTAATGCTTCTTTTGACTTGCTCTTTTCTGTCTGAACTTGTGAACCAAGTTCAGACTCCATCTGAGAGTTCGTAGTTCCCTCCACATCACCAACTTTAACACGTTTATTGGATCGAGGCAGCTCGTGGTTGTGCTCACCCTTATAAACAATCCCAGTTATTTGACCATCAGTGGCACGCTCAACTTTCTTCTTGACAGGGCAAGTGAGATATGTGCATTTATAATAGCTCCGATGGTACTCACTCGTCTTGACCTGCTTCTGCCCATATTTCCGCCAGTTATAACCATCATTAGCCGGTTTATCAAGGGGAGCAGGTACAAGTTTCCGATCAGATTGTGAAACCTCTAATGTTTCCATCTTGGAACTTTCAGAGCCTGACACTATGGGATGAGTCTCTTGTTGTGTCGTTTCAATAGGATCTTGTGCCAATGATAAAGACGGTGCTACTGAGGAAGGCTGATATTCAGCTTGAGTGGGCGTATAAGACTGGGACAGAGCAGCCTGAGCTGTAACATGTGCCAAGGCCTGCTGGTGAGACATTCCAAAAGGGCTCTGCATGAAATTTAAGAAACAAACGTGAGATTATCATACAAACCGAGTGCCTAAGACAATTATCGTATGGCATTGGCATACAAAGTTCCAGGGTACATAAGCTATCTAAACAATACTGAGAGCATCCTATCCACACACTACATGATGGCTAAGGTAGCTGGTACAGGTAATATAATCCTTAGTTTTAAAGTTTTCATTACCATGCAACAAAATCAAACATTCAGTCTTGTCGGAAACAAATACATATTCCAGGTAAGAAAACTATCTAATATATATATCTAAAGTCCCAAGATGAAGTGATTCAACTGGTATCTGAAAAAGGAACATGGATATATAAATTCAAGAAATTATAACTAACATGATACTATTTCCCAAATCTGCTGCTCAAACATGTAACAAGTAGGATTGTGGTAAGGTCCGTGAAACGAGAAACAGTTTCCCATAAAGAGATCCTAATCATAGTTGTTAGGTTGGGTGTAATGCTGCCATCCTCAACCGTGAACCGGCAAGGGGGGGAGGTCATAAGTCCCAATAGGGATGTGCGCAGTATTTATCAAATATACATATAGTTCCACAATTATCCCCAAATCCTTTGCTCCAATACACTTGGCCTTGATAGAATTGCAACTCAAATTCAGCACAGAGCCGTATGATTAGCCCACTCCTACAAAAATTGCTTTAGGACTCAACCAGAAGTATCTCCAGTCCAGAGCTCCATACAAATAAAGTAACACTATGAATCGGACAATTCTCCCTGCATAAATCTTCGTCAGCATACCATTTATGCAAGTGCTGATTTTGTTTAAGGAAGCTTTACTTTTCATATATCGTAGAAATTATTTTTCCGCAAAATCTTCTTCACAAAACTAGGTTTTTAGCATAAGGATAAATTTCTTCATCGTCACAGATATAATACCCACGCAATTACAGCAAATTTCTTTCAGTTATTTCAGGCATATCGTCAAACAATTTGAATTCAGCCAAATTCCAAGCAAATTATATGCAAAATATTACTTCTTGGGGGGCTTGGGGGGAGGGAGGGTGGAATACCCAATACAATATAGCAGTTCATCGATTACCTGTAGCGGTGAAAAGAACCCAGGAGAGTTGAGCAACCCAGAAGGAGTCAAGCCAGGAGGGATCAAGAACATCGGTGACGGAGCAACCACCAAACTCATCGGCCGATTTTGCTTAAACCCCACTTTGTTCTCACTTCTATCTTCAGAATTTGCTTCTTTTAGAGAACTATCAGTCGAATTATGGGCTAAAAAGCTGGATTCTGAACCAGCAAAGGCTGCGACTGGTGAAGCCATGGCCCCGGCAAGGAGCTGAGAGAAGGAGTGGCAATCGGAGTCAGGATAGTGGTCGGAGAAGAAGTTGGTGACTAGGGTCATCGGACCGGGACTGAATCCGGGTCCGGCTCCACCGGAAAAGACGCCTTCGAAAGAGGAGCGAGGTGGCAGAGTGATTGTTATTGGGCGTGCAGGTGCAGCCACTTCGGGAGCTCCCTCTGTCAAACCCATTGATTGTTCAAGCCTCTCTCTCTCTCGCTCTCTATCCGCAGAGAAAAATGAGAACTTGTTTCCCTCTCTAGAATAGATATGTGTTTCACTTGTGTAGGTTGCAGTGAAAACTTCTTATCTTATCATCTTCTCCACTTCCCCTTTTCCCTCCTACTCCTACAAGTCCCAAACAATAAACTACCGTAGCCACTCTCTCTCTCCTCTCTCTCTTTATGTGATTGTCTATATATACAGTTTTACTCTCTCTCTCTCTCTCTCTCGCCTTTCTCTCTTTGGCTTTGATTGCTTTTCGTCTTTTCCTTGAAATCGGAGAAAAGTGGCTAAGAAAGGATAAAAAGTCATTTCTTGGTCTTTCATTACTTGTTTTTTTTTTTGGGAGGAACCAAATTTCCTTGAAAAAACAAGGTGTAGAATTCTGTCCAGAATCCAAAAAATTTCATATGTTTAGCCAAAATTTCCGCTATTAATGAGTAAGAAGTTCACTTAAATAAATAGTTGATCATCTGCCAAAAAAAGAAAAAATGTACTAAAGAGACTCTCAATCCCTTTAAACAAACAAGCAATCCAATTGTAATGTCTAAAAAATTATTTTCAGTGCATAATTTACCTTTTTAACAACTAAAAAACTCGACAAGCATACTTTTTTTATTTTATTGTTTTCACGTACAAAATGCATAAAACAAAAATATACAACTCTAATAAATTTTAGTTTGAACCCAACAAAATATCCCCTTTTGAGAATATAGTAGTCGTAAATCGTGTGCCTCGTTTTTTTTATTTGTTATTTATTTTGTTCCTCTCTATCCACCACTTAAAAAAGTTAAATAATTATAAAAATTAAATAAATCAAATTTCTATCAAAATAGTGAACCACTTTCACCCAAAATATAATGTTTTAAAAAATTTATAAATAAATATAAAAATTCGTTTCGATCACACATTCTAAACCTTGATGTCACGTAATCATTCTCGAGTTAACAAGTCCGTCATTATATCCTTCAAAGGGTTTATGTCTTCTTCTTAACCCACATTCCCTCTTCTTTAATTAATTAATCCCATGAAACGTTTGGCGGTTGTGCATGTTGCAGAACCATGCAGCAACCCAGAGACTTTTAATATGCCCATTTGCGTGCGCTCACGGCTAAAAAGCAGAACAATTTGAGCAAGTGGTCACCCACCCATATCATTGTATATACATTGAATTGTATAGAAAAAGAGTGCGACAGTGTAGCATTGGGTCCCACGGTCGAAAAGCCCTTACCATGGGTGCCGTATACGGCCCTTGAAAAACAAATTAATGGCTATGGCAGGTCAACAAAGCTGGACTAGACATAGAGGCTATCCGTCTAGATTGGGACCATTAGACAACCTACCACACCCCCCACCATCTTCCTTGGCATTTATGCAAACACTTGAATGGCATCTTCATCCCTGTAATTTACAGTTGTCTATGAGTACGATGGTTTACATTTTAATTTCATAAGTATTTTAATTTGCTCAAGTATGAATCTGATGTTACTAAGTCTAACAGTCATTATAGATCCTTCTGTCCTTTTTCCGTGTCACAAAACCAAACCTTTTTATAGAGTTAGTATCAATTTTGTGACGCCGACTAATCTTTTTAAGATAGAGGACATTATAAAAAATTTTATGTATTTTTTTGCTACAGAGTATCTATGTTTGTGTTAATTATTTTCTCAAATTCAACTACTAGCTATCATAATTGGAACTAGACTAAAGCTGGTTCCAAAGGGATAAGAGTGACTAGTCTTTAATAGGTGTAAAATTAAAAAATGATTAACTCTGAGTTACGGACATATAACAAAATCTTGAAAACATGGATTAGCGGGAAACTATCCCTTCTTTTTCCTACAGCAAATTGGGAAAGTGAAACCCAACTAATAAATTTGGATAAAATAAAACAAAGTTGTCTAAGATAGGTAATGATCCATTCTTTCTTTAGGTGCCATTGAGGTAGAAACAAGTCACATTCAAACAATGAAGTTTTCGGAAGCTTTATAAGCCATAGCATCAGATATTTTGGATCTGGTCTGAACAGCTAACCATCCAACGGCCCGTGGGCTTGGTCCACCCAAATATATCTTCTTACTCAATGTACCACCACCATGGCAGTTTGTAGTCAACTGTCAATAAACAGGCCAACTTATAGCTAACAGCACTGCAAAATCAAGGGTGGCACTTTGTACGGGTCACCAATCAGACAGTTTTTACAGGACAATTGGCAATTCAGAGAGAGAGAGAGATTCAAGTGTCATGCTTTTAATCAAATTAAACAAGAAAAATTAATTTGTCTAAAAGTTCTCCAACTAAACCATATTACCCAATTCTTAATGCAGTTAGTACTGAAAAAGAAGCAAATCTTTTTCAGTTGAACTCTAGTTACCTAAAACTGTGTAAATCTTCCGATAATCTGTATTTCTTCAGTTAGTGTAGTTTCAAGAGGAAGGCACATACTGAACCGATGGCAAGCAAAATTGGAAAGATAGGCAGGCTGTAAGCATTTGCAGTTGAAAGGATTTTGGCTGGGGAAGGTTCAGGAGAAGGCACGAAATCTTCAGCCTCGACAGTCAATTTCATTCCATGAAAGCAGTAACCTCCACTGCTGATGAAGTAATAAGGCTTTGCCTCAGTTAGATTAAACACATCTCGCCCGCCCCTCGTAATGTTTGTTATGAAATCATGGTCATTGCACTGCTCATAGTTTGTTTTGTTCACCTCCAGCACATTGTAGTAGCGCTTGTCAAATCCGAAATCTGGAGTGATTGAACATAGGAAGTCAATGCAACAATCTTTTTACTTTCACAAATCCAGAGGAAACTTGATATTGTATGAACAAAATTGGCTCAATAAGACTCGGTAGATTAACAGCACAACATATTACCCACTCTATAAAAGGTCTCACCCAATGCACACGGCTTTTGTCTATAATGAAGTCTTAGAGAAATTTGGTAGGCAGTCTTAACTCATTTTTTAGTGCTTAATTCTTAGATGAAAAACGATAAAATCAGACACAAACATACACTTCCCTTTCGAAAGCAGTTGAGACAAGTTTATACTCTTACAAACTGGATTTCATGGGAGACCAAACTGCACAGAAGCGGTGTTGTTGGAGGCCACAGATATACAAACAGAAAATTGAATCCAAGTAAACAGAGGAGAGTTGTGACTCGGCCCTGAAGCCTGGGTTGGAAGGCAAAATCTGGAATATTCCGGTTTGGATGTAGCTAGCTATTTTGGCACCTCACAACAATCCAGGGTCTAGACAATATTGACGTTATCAGAAGGAAACAATCCTGCTGTGTATCAAGCTTGTTAAATTTTGTTGTCACTAAATTATCACAAACTCGTAAGATTGGAAAAGAAAATCCTAAAAAAAGAAAGAAGAAAAGTCCATGTCACAGAAGTGAAAACAAATTGTTGAAAGGCGGTTGTGGGAGAATCACCAAACCATTTTATCAATCACATCAAAGTGGTTACTCTTAAATGGATCAATTTTATCACAGGATATGTAAATTCTAATTTGCAAAAAAAAAAAAAGAGTAGCTAAAATACCACAGATACAATCATCATGCCAACTTGCAAATATTGTCATTTGATCTCTTAATAAACATTTAATCTATTGGATGGTCCATAGCACTTTGAAAACACAATTAGAATATTGTGATGTTCTTTTTGGATTGAACATAATACTAGTAAGATTCCAATTCTCTTTCCTTTTACAGTTGGCCTCAATCAAACAGAGCAGTCATATATAGGACTACTATAATCGCAGAAGTCGAGATGGAATTAGGTAACAAAAATAATGTTGTCCCCCTCTTTTGTAGCTGAATTCACTTAAATAACATTATATGGTAGTGGAACTAAAAGATGCGGTCAATTTCCTATTGCCCTTCAGAGTATATTTTGTCTCAAAGGGATCATTGTAAATATAATATGATGCTAAATTTAAACCTCTGAATAGACCAAACAAATAACTCATACTAAATCAGGCAAACCTTATCCAACTCGATTCCATTGAGTTGGGTGATATGTCCCTCACCAGAGTTTAAGGCTTTTTTATCTTTTGATTTTAACCAACATTTTCCTACATAAATGAAATTACTGAATAGCTTTACTAACAAAATCAGACAGACAATGAACATAATCACATACATTCCTGAACTTTGAACAGCTTAGGTAAATCAACAGGGAGAAGGCCCTTTCCAAGGTTTTAGATATAAACAGTGATTAATTACAAACCAAGTTTTATGCCCCAATCATTTGTGGTCGGTTATATCCGTCTTCACCATTCATTACAATCACGCGCTACATGCTTATTTAAGTTAAATATTTTTATATCTTTTCTTATTATTTCGTTTAATGTTAATTTAGGTCTACCCCTATTTCTAGTATCATTCAGAAAAATTCTATTACTTTTTTCTAACCGGTGGCTTTATCGGCCAGCTTGAACATAATCAAACCATCTTAATCTATTCTTCCTCAACTTATCCTCAATTGGAACTACTCCTATCATTTCTCTATTACCCTAATTTTGTATTCTATCTTCGATAATTTTTCCACGTATCTACCTTAACATTCTCATTTTAACTACACTCCTTTTGTCACTATGTTGTTTCTTAGTTGCCCAATATTCCATCTCATACAACATTTCTGTCCTTATAATTATTCGGTAAAACTTATTTTTCAATTTTATTAGTATCCTTCTATCACATAATATGCTAGAGATTTTCCTTCACTTAAGCCAACCGACATTAATTCTATGAGTTACACCATCTCCAATCTCTCTGTTATTTTTAATGATCGATTCTAAATATTTAAATCATTTACTTATTACTATTCTTGATTTTCAATTTTAAGTTTGTTACTATGTATACTTCTTCTGAAAATTGTAAAAGAAGCACAAATGAAGATTGTTAAAGAAGCACTTAATACGTACATAAAGTTGATAAGAAAAATGAAATTAGAAACTAAGCTATCAAACAGCTGTTAAACCATTAGATTATTAGTAGAACAAAACTTCATGAAAATATAAAAGAAGAAAAAAAGAGAAGATGGTTTCAGAGTAGCAAAGTATATCGCTTAGTATGAACATATAGAAATGCATAATACATATACACGAACAAAAATAGGAGAGAGAGAGGAATTTACAGAGCCAGTCGCCGACGTAGCAATGCTCATGACTAGCCCATTCCGTGTAGTTAACGTCCTTCGTCCAACCTTCTTTTCCTCCGACCTTGTGAAGCTCCGGCGCTTTGCACACTGCGCATGTTAGCATCCCCACCATTACCACCAACGCAACCAACACTCCACCTTCTCTCCTCATCAAACCCTCCATCACTCTCACTCCCCAAACTCTCTCTCCACAATGCTACAATACTCTACACTGTGTTTGTTTGTGTGTGCAAATGTAGCCGCCTCTTTCTCTCTCTAGAATGCTACAATGTATATATTTATAGCGCAGAATCAACCTCGGTAAAAGAGCATTAGAGAGCCTCTACAAACGCAGCCAAATCCACCTGATAAATATTTTACCTAATTTGTTAATCTGATTTAAAGACGAATTAGATCGATTATTCATTAATACAGTACAAAATTTGAGGTTTTGGATCTTTCTTAATCCCGTTGTTTCATAAATGAGTGAACTTAACAAAACATAATTAATAAACGAATCAAATATTGATAAATCAATAAAAAAAACGACACGACTCGCTTATATATCAATTAGATACGATTTATACATATCAATTAGATACGATTTATACATATCAATTAGATACGATTTATACACCTTATGAATTAATAAACGAATTATGTATAAATAAAATATTTTTTAATATGAACCCGTCTCACCTAACGCGATTGTTAGACCTAATTATTGGTTATAATCCGCTACTAATTTAATAGCTATAAGTAATTTGTTAGATTAATAAATCAGTTTGAAATTCAAATAGAATTATCCCATTAGAGAAAAAAAAAATGGCACCAATGAACCACTGGTGCATTTTAGCGGTAACATGCTCAACTGGCTCATGTAGTTATGCTGAACGTACGGGATTCACCTAAACTATTGGGGCTTTATCACCATACAGGTGTTCAAATCTATGTGTTGATAAAAAGTTTTCGGACTAAATATGAAATGCATGATCTTGCTTCAAAAGGTTACCAAAGCTACGTCGTATTTGCACTTCAATTATGAGTTTAATTGATTATTATTCATAATTTTAGTAACAACTAATAACTATTCAACTTGGAGCTAGGAACGGCAATTGAGTCTTTTTTTTTTGTTTTTAAGTGTCATTTTGAATTTATGTTGAGTATAATCAACCTTAAGACGACTATTTAGTTTGTTGTGTCTGTTTTTTTAACAATAACTTGAATTGTTTACTAATTGTGTTATATTCCAGTTAATACGGTTAATTCATTAATTAAAATTTCAAAACCAGCAATAATTTTTCTCTAAATGAAAGTCACCACCTTTGAACCCTTTATTAGCTAAAATTCACTTAATCTTAATGGTGTCAAAACTAAGTACAAATCTTCCAATTCTACAAGAATTCATTGCAAACTTGATTAAGAAATTGAAAAATCATATATTACTTATAATAATATCAATGAAACAGGTTTGTCGTGTTAAACTAAATTGTTTGAATTTGACATTAACATAACTCATTTATTATAACTCATTTATTATTCATGTTAGTGAGTCACGTCATAACGAAAATAACCACCCTCGTCTCAAGACATCAAATTTGAGTATAATTTTAATAAGTTCAAAGGATACACAGATTGATCAAACCCATTTAACAAATAGTTTTTCACGGATTTGACTCACAGGATTTGATTTATACATGATATGAAATTGAGTGTCCATGGCCGTGATGACTATAGAAGGGTAAATATTAGTCCTCTTCGATATGCACATTCACCCAGACACGGGTTTTTTCGGTTCAAACCTCTTCTCTCCCATTCAATCCAGTCTTCTCATCAAATACTCAACTTGAACTTCTTTTGTCAATGGCATGATCCAGTCACCATATAAATCTGCAACTAAGCTAGGTTTAATTTTGTACACAGGATCAGCTCCATCTTCACCATTATTGATGGCCACCTCTTGCCCATGAGTTCTGGTTTTCATCTCTACTCTCTTTTTGATAGCCTCTTCCACTGCAGGGTATGTCAGAAAATCCATTAGTTGGGCCCTGTCCTGCAAAACCAATCACCATAACCATGAGCAAATAATGTGAAAATCCCCCTAAAGCGCACACTCTCAGGAGATCATAGAGATTTAAGAAGAATCTCCCAAAAAAAGTTACATGGCAGATATACCTGTGCTCGAATGGCAGCTTCGTAGACATCGAGCGAGGCTTGAAATTTTGCTTCAGCCACAAATTTACCATAATGAATTCTCTTCGAAAGGGCCTGCATACAGGATTCCAGCAATTCATAGGGGGTGGCGTATAGTTGCATGGTTGGAATCATACTATTTAGAAAATACTACCACTTTGTCTGCAACTGTGTGTAATGGACAGAGAGGGGCCTTGTGGTTTTTTTGGGGGGAGGAGGGGGGAAAGGGGTTTGGATTCTATGCCACATGCGCATAAAAAACAAGCTGGCATGTATCTTCAAATCAGAAGCAAATCAAATTATTAAGGTGAAAATACAGTATCCTAAGAAAGAAAGTCACATCAATAACAGCAATATCGCAAACATGGCATATGGTCAGACTACCATATAGCCAACCATATTTGGCGCTGTAAGTACCATGGAGATGATGGAGCATCGTTCGGATACTTGCAATTGAGAAACTACATCCAATACTTCGGGAAGCCTTTTGGGAAATTTGAAGGAAATCCACCCCCACTATACATTTCCCAACCTATCAAAACTCAGCGCATAATATTCTTCCTTCCTTTTCATACTACTTGAAATGATTACGAGACAATCGAGACTAGTTTTCCAATCCTTCCGTAACATGTAAATGTCATAAAATTCTCTGCAATTTTAGGTCTGATTGTTTTCTCCTTTACTGGTTTTCTTCTCTGGACTTTGTCATGGCCATTCCTTGGCAGTGCTGAACTATCCAGAAAAATAGAGGAATTTTTATGTGGTGATATGAATTTTCACTACTCATGAGCTAAAGCTTCAATGTATAATACAGTTCCAGACACCAAGGCCAACTTCGAGATTCAGTAGTGTCCACCGGATTATAAGTGCATGTCAAGAAAAGAAAGTGAAGGGTATTTACTATTCAGCATAATCATTTTACTGGTGTGACAAACAATTGTTGGTCACAGTGCATCCAACTACACCAATTGCCAGATTTACTTCAACTACTCAATTGCAATTTTTGAAAACATTAGGTAACAAAACTAAAGAAGTCAATCAACACAGAAAGGAGTTCTATAAGATATAGGATAGAATGTTCAATAACTCTGAAAAGCATAGGCCTCCTATATGATTTTACATTCCTCAGTGACAATCTAAACACCAACAAGCTTCATTAAGATTAAGCCATAGGAGTCGCTTCCATAGGCATACATTTCGCTCATAACTTTCATTTTACACATTAAAGAATCAGGAGACAAAACAGCAACAGGGGGCAAGATCTGTGGTTTGACATTTACGGCAAAGTAGGTAAACCTCCAGGATATAAGGACAATTTTTTCCCTTCTGGTCCCAAACTGTGGGGTGAATTTCCATAATTTTTTTTACCTACAAGATACTAGTATACTACTGCTCAACACAACAAAGACTTGTCCCAACATTTTTTGGGTCAACTACACGAATCCTGTTTCACAATTGTGTTCTATTAAGAGTCACGTTTTCAGTTAAACCATAAAAGATACTGCTTCTAGTTTGATTAATTAAGGACAACTAGCCATGATTAGGTTTCATGCATGAAAGCCCAAAGGTACTATGTTTCCCAGTAGAATAAAGATGGATGAACAAGCACTTGAGAACTGATGAACAAGCACCTGAGAACTGATGAAAAAGCACTTGAAAACTGATGAACAAGCACATAAGAACTGATGAACATGAGGAAAACATGGAACCGGTCACTATGTGATTGTTCTTACTTTCTCTTTTTATTGGAGGGTGGTGGAGGTAGTGGGGTCGGCCAGACACGACCATGACTTAAGATTGAATTGTCGTTGAAAGAACATTTAATGAAAGGCAAACAAATATTCAAAGATATAGACAATGAAAAACGAAACATAAATACACAATCAACCATACCCATCAATCCAGGGTATAATGATTTTCCCCTCCAATTGTTCTGATGATTAATACTAGTTTCAGGGAAACAAGTATAATAAAAACAGTACCTGCAAACAAAGCGTGTCGCAAGAGGAAGCCGATCCACAATTACCATCATCACCATCCTTAACCAATCTTGGCAAAAGATCTTTAAAATACATATTCCATATTTTTGCATTGATATTGATTGTATCAGCAGCGGGATGCAGAACCTATAAGCATGTTAAAACCAGGTAAAGCTAGGAGTAGTTGGAAACAAATATGAATTGGTGGTGACCATGTCAAGCAATATAAACAACACACACCCTCATGGGGAACCAACCGTCACTTTTCAACAGTTCATTTCACAAGTTTTTTTCATCATGATTAATGTGGTATGTTTGTCACATTGTGGATCACATTAAAAAGGGCGGCCCCGTGCACCAAACTCCACAAAAAAGCCCCTTCCTCTTTCCTACTAAATGTCTCTGTATTTTGGCACAAAAATGAAGGGTGTGGCGCATGCATTAAGAAGGTCAAATGTACGTAGCCTTACACTCACATGTGGAGAGGCTGTTTCAGCGACTTGAACTCTTGGCACCCAAGTCACAATGGAACAACTTATTAGGCATAACACTAGTTAGTAGTTAGGATTTAATTAAGTTCGAATGAGTTTTCCCAGTGTCACACAAATCAGTGACTAACTTTGGTGTGTTAGACGGGTCTAAAGATTGTCAAGCCTCATGAAGTTTACCATGTTCCAAATTTATGAAAATTATTTGTTGAGTATCTCGACATGTTTTTCATTTTCGAACTGTGATCAACTGAGACAACTGTGGAATCTTATGAGTGAAAGAAACCAAGACACAGTTATCAATAACTTGCCAAACTTCCTCCAGTGTGTTGGCTTATGCATGAACTGAAACTGGATTTTGGATAATAGTGTTATATTCACACTGTGATTATCATTTCACCTGTGGGTATTGCAAAGGTGGCAACATTGGTTCAGGTAAATCATCTGGGAAGAAAGGATGCTCATCAGGACTTTTGTATCTTCCAACCTAGATTGAAATTCAGTCAGAAAACCAGTAAGCAAAAGTTTCCTTTCGTACTTATAAGACATTAAATTCTAGTTTCGACATACCAGAGCATGAAGCTTTTCAGTTTCTTTGACCATGAATTCAATCAAAGATCCTTGGAACCCATCCATGAGAAAAGCATTCGGGTCATACGTCTCTGCATTATAAGAATACTGAGCTCTCTCCACCAGACTAAATATAATGCTATCCTCTTGCCGAATCAAAGAATTTCTTATCCCATCTAAAGTATAGCTCTCGCTCTCATCTACACGGTTTTTCTTTTCCAATCTGAAAGGATAGAAATCTTAAATAGAACACATATTTTGACAAATTGGAAGTTACATGTACAAGGCACTACAATTACTTAGCTTCTCGCTGTGAAAATGAGGATTTAATTTTGGTGAACTAAAACCCCAGAACTTACTGCTTCCCAAGTAATCTACATGGCATTAGAGCATAGTCCATAATTCACATATTCTGAATTAGCACAAAGAAATACAAGCATTGAAGGTAAGAAAGCGACACCAGATCACACCCCAACAATCCAATGTCATGGATGATCTACATTCCACTGAAAGCGAGCCCAATTGTAATACATCATATTAAAACCCAAATATAGGCAGGGACAGTCTAGGACTCACATGTCTCATAAATCTTTCCCTTCAACCAATTTTCTAAAGATCAAAACAGAACCAAATGTAAATGCCAATCACAACAAAACCATAGTCAGTAAGACACAAAAGGTAAAACAATCCACAAGGACAAAAAACAGATTAAAACTGCAACAAGAAGAGAAAGACGTAAAGCATACCCAAGTAAAAAACGAAAACAAGATCAAGGAAACAAACTGCTTTTGACAATCAGAATCATTATTAAACACTTCTATACAGTTAATAGCGTAACCCTGAAAACAAAAAAGAAAAATAGCAGAGTTTTATACCTGATGGAAGTTGCAGAAGCTTTAACCAATAGAATTCCACGCTTTGAAACTCTCGAATTGAGGAACCGAAAGCTGCAATTTTGCCTACCGGGATGGCTAAAGAACGAATATGACCGTGAAAATTTCGACCCATCATGGGTTATCATGGCAGGGGAAGCGACCCTCAACAGCCTCGCCTCCATCATTGAGAAGAAACCAAAAACAGCTGGGTAGCGAGACGGAGAAATCAAGCCAGCCCAAACAGTAAGAAAAACGCAAAGTAAAGCAAGAGGCCGCGAGAGGAGAGAGAGAGAGTCGTTGACAATGGGCACTCAAATCTTGGTGGGGTTTGTGGGTAGGTATTGAAAAGTGGTAGGTATATATCGATGCATGCTTGTTTATGATCAAAAAAAAAAAAACAGTGGTAGGTAGGAAGGTAGAGGTTAGGCCAGGAGGCATGAACAAGATCATTCGTGCCAGCTGGGGCTGCGAATGAGAAAGTAGACAAAATAATCATTGCAACGGGGCTATGCAATATTGACGTCGTATCATCCATTATAACTACTTTTAATAGAAGATAAAATCTTTATTTAAATTTGAGTATAAAAAAATAATAAAAAATTTAATTCAAATTTAAAGATAGAAAAACTTAATTTATAATTATTGAATTTTTTAAAAAAATATAGAGTTTTCATAGTCTTATCGAGTGAAAGAAGTGTCTTGAATTTAAGTTCATAAGACTCAATAGAGACGTTAAAGAATTACATGAATTCTCTAAGAAAGTTTCCTTAAAATGGAATTTTCTTTTAGAAAATATTTTTTATAGGGAAAAGTGTGACTAACAATAAAGAGTTTGTGATACACCAGTGATCACACAACCACCACTTTTTTCAAGACTTTTTTTATTCGACTCTCCCAACCGAACAAGAGTCAACATAAGGTTAAAAATCTTTTTACTGTTTTCAAATTCAATTGTTTTCGCTCAATCCTGTTAAATTACGTATTTTTAAGACATTAAGTTACTCTACTGATTTATTGATACTTATCTTACGTTGTTTCACCTTTTTCAGATTAGTAGATGGCGAAGAAATTTGTGAATGTTGAGTGGCCAAATTTTATGATTTTCATTCTAAATAGTGAATAGTATTTTATGAGGTATGTAATTTTGTACTAATAAACTTTATGTTCATGTATTTAATATAACAAGCCCGAAATACAATCTAATCATTAAAGATTTATGTTTAAAAAATGGTCTCTCTCGATTTAAGTTTAAAAAACAATTTATTTTCATTTGTTATAGACAAGAGGGTTTCCTTAGAATCGATAAAGTTTTAAAAAAATACTGTTTATAGGGAAGAGTGTGGACGAAAATAGAATTTAGGATACATTAGTGATTACACCACTTACCACACTTTCCAATTTTTTTTTTTGGTTAAAGGTGAAGTTAACTCTCAACTCTCCCAACCCCAGCAAGAGTCGACATAAGGTTAGGAATGGTCATAAGGGTTGTGTTTCCCTTACTATATTAATATTGTGATGCTATCACCACTTTCACATTTAACCATTTTTGCTCATTTTGATGTCAAATCATATCAAATTACGTATTTTCAAACTCATTTTCTCGACATTGAGTTACTTTTATGAGTTGTTTATATTTATCTTACGTTGATTCACCCTTTTCAAATTAGCAGAGGGAAAGTTCATAAATGTTGAACTGTCAGTTTTTATGATTTTTCATTCTAAGTGTTGAATAGTGTTTATGAGGCATGTAAGTTGTAATAAGGTTGATGTACATGTTTTTAATGTAACAAGTATATGATTAAAGTGTAATCTCATCGTTAAATATTTGAATTTAATAAATAATTTTTTTTCATTTGATATGAATATGAGTCTAGCATAGAATGCTACCCTTATAATTCAACAGTAATAGGCAAGTTACTACGGTCGAAAAACAGTCTCCTATATCGTTCCAAACGCACCCAGCGTAAATTCAACAACTTTTGAAATTAAAATCACCAAAAAATAAGAATAAAATATTTGGTGGGTGGTGGGGGGTTAGAGGTAGGTGTTGAAAAGATGTAGGTAGAACCGTGGAAATTGGTCCACAAATTGACAATCGGGGAAGGTGCGGTCCCCTTGACATTTATATATGTTAGTAAGAGGGGAACCAAAAACATTATTTTTTGGTGCATACCGAACAATTTAACAAGTTTTAAATTTTTTTTTATAATCGATAAAAATTATATAATATATTTTTGTTTAATTACACCCTATTCAATGTTCAAAAGTTCAAAAAACATTGCCAAAAATGGGTAAGTTGACAGTATAAAATCAAAACATAACAGAAAAAATTTAATTACAAACTTTTACAATAAATAAAATTACAATGACATCGATGAGCTTTCATGTTTTGGAAGTGGTGTCGGAGTCATTGATGTTTTCTTCTTCTTTATTATTATTTTTTTTGGGAGAGTAAGTGGTGTCATTTTTTTTTTTTTTTGATAAGATAAAAAAAAGTGTACCTAATCACATTGATGTTACTTTTTCTTCTCTCTATGTTTCTCTTTTCTCCTTGCACTATGTTTATGACCACATGTGATGTTTGTGTGGTGAGCCACCAAAGTGTTGATAAGATGAATAAGGGAAAATACTCATGCGTGGGCACCATTGGGCCACAAGAGGATCACTAAATTGTATAAAAAGTATACATAAGGTATATGGGTGATAATAAAAGAGATTTTTTGAGTGTAAGTATATTTTTTTTAAATTTATTTAAGAGGAAGTATATGAATCAATTTTTTACTGTACGATGTTCACTTTCACTAAAACATTTAGTGATTAGGTACACAATTCAGATAGCCTCTTTTATTTATGTTACTTACTGTCTTTCCTTAAATTATACATAATTCTTACTCTTTCTCCCTATTTCTCACACCATTACTCTCTATCTCTCCCTTATTTCTCACTCGTTACTCTCTATCTCTCCTCTATTGTCTCTCTCACCCTCTCTCTCCTATTTTTTCCCACTGTTACTCTCCTTCTTTATATTAATATTACAATAACACAATCATATTAATAAGTTATAATTGTCCTATAATATACTAAATAATTACTCATGTATTTTGATAAACTAAACAGTTATACCAAATAATTACACCAAATTACAACACTGACCCAATTTGTCATTCAACTACTTACATAAATCATAAAATTACATAATGCAAATAATCTTGGAGAATAATAGTTTTTAACTTTAAGATACAAATATAACATCATGATTAGTGGCGGATTTATGCAAGGGTGTCCATGTGACACCCCAAAATCTGGGTGTCTGTAATTATCCGATTGATCATTCATCGACCTGCGGAATACTGGTGGATATCGTGTAATTCGATACCACACCGTTATGCCCCATTTCTCAGGATCCATAACTTAACAAAATTTGGGCTAAGTCTCCTTTGTACGAGGAGCTCTACCCAAAAAAAATAACCTGTACAATATTGACCACACCGGGTCTATCCATCTATTCACAATTGTATAGTCTCGAATACTACCATAATCATCATCAGTACATACATTTATTCGTAAAAGAATAAATGTCTCAAAAGAGTCTCATATACATGAATTTGTGAATATAAACAAATGTTTGTTACAAAAATTATACAAGGCCAAAAGTAGTAGTATAAACAAGGGACTACAATGTCAAAATAAGAGTCACAGACCGGCTCTGTCGTCAAAGCTAGCCCATGGCCTCGCCTTCGGTGGACACCTGTGCAACACCTGAAAAATGTTTCCATAAGGGGTGAGCCAACACTCAATAGAGTAACTCTTATAGAGAATACCTCTCAACTTAAATGCATATGGAATGTCACATGCAACAATCATTCAAATATGTCTATTATGATTGAATGTCATAAATCATGTCATGCCATGAGATGAGACTCACGCAAGCAATACCAATCTCGAGCCCCGTCCTGAGCTTCCATAACATATGCAATGTCATGCGTATGTATCCGGGCATTCCAAGCCCCCATCATTGGTGTTATGTACACTCAATAACTAATTAATTCATTTTCTTGTGTATTTGTGGGGAAGTGATTTATGGTATTACACCAATGGAACACCAACCATCAACGGATCTTTAAGACATCCCACCTGCGACTCCGTTTCTGCCGTTACACTTTTCTGGAATTTCACCGTCGAAAAGTGTATAAACCAAATAAGTGAGTCTTGCACCCCGAGGGAGAATCTAGCCCTTCTTGCTGTCCCCAACACATTTATCCATTTAATTTTTCGTGCGACTCAGCCGAACATTGGTGCGACTTTTTCGAGTTCACGATCAACCACCTACGTGGTGATTGATTTCATACCATGCATACACTCCCACCCATGTCAATGCCCATGAATATAGTGCAACTCATGCAAAATGCAATACAATATCCATTACATAATGAATACAATATAATGACATTTTAACACGATCTCAAGCATGCTATGTAAGACAATCAACTCAACTAACCAGTGTTTTAAAACTCAGCCCGGCCCGGCGGGTTGACCAGGTGAACCGGTCCCCTAACCGGGCCGATTTTGTAATTGGATCGTTTGAACAAAGAACCCGGAATAAAATCGGTCAAAAAACCGGTAACCCGTGAAAATCGGACGAGTTTACAAAACCGGTCGATTTTGTTCCTTTAGTATAAATATGTTTTTTTTTAAAATTTTTGTGTCTTTTTCTTTTTCCCTTCTGTTTTGTCCTAAATTCTAAATTATTCGTTCAGTATTTGTTAACTCAAAAACTAAGTGAATGCAATTAAGTGATTCAAGTTTGAGGGTGGAGGTTGAGTTGTTAATTGAATACATTGGTTTGTTAATTGAATGCAATTAAGTGATTCAAGCTTGATAATTTTGTTTGATTTAATATATATTAAACATGTTATTTTTAAAACTATTTTAATTTTTTAGTTTATTTATCATCATTAATAATTTTTTTTTTTAATTATATCACCGGTTCGACTAGTGACCCAGTGGTTGAACTAGAAATCCATTGACCCGATCCCTTCTCCGGGTTGATGTCCGGGCCGAGTTTTAAAACTATGCAACTAACATACTTGTATTCACCTAGACATTTAATCAAACACCTAAAGAGCACATCAATTTATACAATTAGCATGATATGACTTGCAACATGACAACATGTTTATTAATTATATAAATATAAGCACAAGTCCACCAAAATAATTATATGTTAAATAATCATTTAACATACATATTATTTCATAATCACATTAATAATTTTATTAAACTTGATCTGTTATTAAAATATAAAGTAATGGTAATATACAATTAACATGCTTTAAACCACTAATATTAACTTACACCAAGTTAATCACAATATAATTTTATTAATTACAAGGTTAATTATAAATCCTATATTTGACCCACTAGTCACACTAGTCAAGACCTAACATGTGATATACACACATAGTCTATTCATTCCATATGTCATATTTTAAGTTGAAATTAAATCTAAATAGGGGAAACCCTACCTCTCGTAGCGTGAGCCCACTTACTAGAACGCTAAGGAAGCCTAAATTTAGCTTTCTAAGTTTTAGGCCTAAATTATCGATTTTGATATTCTTTCAGAGAAAAATACGATATTTTGTGTAGTTGCGTAGCTCTTGCTGAGTAGAGCAACTTTAGTTCTTGGCCCAAAGTGATTAAACAGTCCAATCTTCGTAAATCTGAGGAAAAGAAAAGAGGAAAATAAAAATAAAAAAAAACACTCACTTTTCTCTCTCTCACATGAAATTTACGTTTTTGACCCATAACTTAACAATTAATTATTATTTTACCCATTTTATTAGGATTTTTAATAATAATAATAATAATAATAATAATAAATTTTTTTTTTTTTCGGGTTTTACTGTCCAACCTCAAATTATATTTTTAGATAATAATAAGTTGTGTTTTTAAAATTGTTTGTAATTGATCTTTAATTTTCTAAGATCGAGGATTGACTTGTTTCAATTTTCTAGAGATATTATTACACTTACTACTTGAATTCTTATTTAATAACTTAACGATTTTGATTTAGAATATAAAAATACATCAAGGTCAACTATAAATAGATGTAATAGCCTCATATTTTAGTAAGAGTTGTAATTAATTTCATTTTAATTTTTTTGTCCTCCTATATGGCAAATGTATCAACTTTTGATCTTTTTTGATTGAAAAATGCTATATAATCTAAATAAAATCAAAAAGTTAAAATTTAAATGTATATCATCCAATGGATGAGTGTGGGATGGGTGAGCTCCACTAAAAAATATTGATGAGACCCACTCATCCAAAAGAATAATATGCATTCGAGTTATAATTTTTTTAGTTTTATTTGAATTTTACAGCATTACTCTTTTCTATTTAACCAATTTTATATGTTAGATATTATGTAATTACTATAAGTGCATGGTATTACCTTTATCAAGGATAAAAAATTATAGTCAAAGTCAACTTGAAATAAATCTATTGTTCAAACCAACTTTTAGTTGAAAAAATAATTTATTTAATATATCCCTATATATGTGTAAGTTGAGTGTAATTGAGGGTTGACTTCAATATGACAACTCGGTAAAAAGTAGTATTGTTAGATAATTATCTTTTTTATTTGCATTTAGAATTTTTTTTTGACATTATGTTTTTATAAAATCTTTTTTTATGGACGGTTTGGATTTAATAGAGTTGAAATTTGTGATCTAAATCATTTTATTAACATATTTAAAATTAGAGTTATCTTTGTGAAAACCAAAACTCATTAATCGCTTCATATTAAAGTCGACCCTAGTTAAAGTGCCTACCCGTAAATTAATTTTTAGCTCTACCTGAATCATTACTATATATTCATCACATAATAGATGACTATGGCATCCTTCGCAATTCATTTTTTTATTTTGATTAAATACAAGTAAGTGGCCAAATATAAGCAGGTGTTTAAGTTAGTTAAAATGTAAATATTGTTAGAAATATTTATTGCAATTCAAATGTATGTTGTTTTTAAATGTGAATTATAAAATTAATCGTCGGATGTAAATGATCTTATATTATGTTTTATAATATCTATATAATAAAGTATTTTACAATTCAAATATCAAAAGATAAACGAAATGACTTTTGTTATTTGCGGTTGAGATCACTTTAAATTTTATTTTAAAGTCAATCTAACGGCTAATATTAGTATCTTAGATTTAATAGCAAAAATAGGGCCTAAGAGTATGTTTGAAGTAACTTTTTAAAAGTGTTTTTACAAATTATTTATCATAAATACTTTAAAAAAAAAATAGTGTTTGAAACCACCCCACCCCACCCTACCTCTACCACCACCACCCCCGCCACCATCACCGTCGTCGCCGCCATCACCACTACCGTTGTCGCTGCTTCCACCATTGTTGCCATCACCACCATTGTTGTCGTCACCGCCACCACTGTTGTCATCACCACCACTCCCCACCACCACCCCTACCATCGCCCCCGCCCCCCGCCCCTGCCCCTATCACCACGGTCATTGCCACTCACCACAATCATCACCACTGCCGCCCACCACCTCTCACCCCAACAAATACAAATATATTTATTATTTACAGTCTATATAACAGTGTAATTTATAATTAAAATCTCAAAAGATAAACAAAATGACTTTTGTTATTCGCGGTTGAGATCGCTTTAAATTTAATTTTAAAGTTAATCTAACGGTTAATATTAACACCATAAATTTAATAAAAAAAATAGGCCCTTAAAGTATGTTTGAAATAACTTTCTAAAAGTACTCTTAAAAATTATTTATCATAAATACTTTTTTAAAAAATAGTATTTAAAACCGCCTCACCACTACCATCACTACCACCCCCATCGCCATCACTGTCACTACCATTGTCGCTGCCACCGTCCCCACCGTCACCATGCCCACTACCGTTGCCACCGCCACGCCCGCCATCGCCACCCTCACAACTACCACCATCATTGTCGTCGCTGTCGTCGCCGCCCTCGCCGCCACCACGATTATTGTCACCTACTATAATTATCACCGTTTCCTACCACCACCACTGTCGCCCACCACCTTTCACTCCACTACAAACTTATGCTTAAATTCTTTTATCTCTTCTATATGTTGGTGATTTAATTTTTGATATGAATATAAATATGTTTATTATTTTTTATTTTTTATTTTTTATTACTATGTGCCTTCGAGCACAAATAATAACTAATGGATGATTAAAATATTTATTATGTCTAAAATATAAGTTATAAGATTAATGAAGTATTTTACCATGTGGATAGGATAATTATACTGTGATTGCGAAGATTATAGTGCATGAACAAAACTAAGCTAAGCCACAGGTACAAATGGCCACCTTATCTCTTTCCACGCTCACCTTTGATGTTCTTCAGCTAAGTCTCTTGCAGTTAGTTAAAACCTTGTGAAGTTAACGAACTTCTGATACTTTGTCCTACGATGAAACCTTCTTTTTTCCCTGAACAACTCCAACTATAAATATGTCCAAGCCAATTCGTGCACCAACATGGGTTTCCAGGAGAAGACTCTTCGAAGATAAACTATGGGCACTCCACAAATGCACAAACATAAACCACTTGAAGCAAGTTCACGCATTCGTATATAAATTCAACCTTCACAAAGACCCATTTGTCGCGCGAAAACTCATCTCCGCGTTCTCGAGTTGTCGCCAAATGGTATTGGCTCTCAACGTTTTCAATCAAATTGAAGAGCCTAATGTGCATTTGTACAATTCCATGATCAGAGGCTACTCTGAAAACTTTCAATCCTCACTAGCCTTTGCAATTTTCTTCGAAATGCAAAGTTGTGGTGTTTTGCCCGATAATTTTACGTACCCGTTTCTTTTAAAGGCTTGTTGTGGGCAATCTTGGCTGGAAATTGTGAAAATGGTTCATACCCATATTGAAAAATTTGGGTTCTCTGCGGATATATTCGTGCCCAACTCTTTAATTGATATCTATGCGAAATGTGGTTCTTCAGGTGTTAATTATGCTAAGGGTTTATTTAATGTGATGGTAGAGAGAGATATTGTTTCTTGGAATTCTATGATTAGTGGGTTGATGAGAGCTGGTGAATTGGACGAAGCTCGAAAATTGTTTGATGAAATGCCCGAGAGAGATACTATTAGTTGGAATACTATGTTGGGTATGTATACAAAGGCTGGAGAGATGAATATGGCGTTTGAGATTTTCAAGAAGATACCCGAGAGGAATGTTGTTTCTTGGTCGACCATGGTTTCGGGCTATAGCAAATCTGGGGATATGCAATTGGCTGGATTATTGTTTGATAAGATGCCTGTGAAAAATTTGGTAGCGTGGACTATAATAATATCTGGGTATGCTGAAAAAGGGCTTGCAAAGAAGGCAATTGGCTTGTATGATCAAATGGAGAAGAGTGGATTGAATCTTGACGATGGTACTATTATTAGTATTTTAGCTGCTTGTGCAGAGTCTGGGTTTCTAGGATTGGGTAAGAGAGTTCACGAATCCATCGAGAAAAACAAATTTAAGTGTAGTAATCAAGTGTGCAATGCTTTGATTGATATGTATGCCAAGTGTGGCAGCTTGGATGCAGCATTGAGAGTATTCAATGAGATGAAGAAGAGAGACTTAGTGTCTTGGAATGCTATGATCCATGGGTTAGCAATGCATGGACATGGCAAGAAAGCACTTCAGCTTTTCTCTAGATTGAATAAAGAAGGTTTTGCACCTGATGAAGTGACCTTTGTTGGTGTTTTATGTGCTTGTAATCACGCGGGGTTTATTGATGAGGGAAAGCATTATTTCTATACTATGGAGAGAGATTACGGGGTTGTTCCAGAAATTGAACATTATGGTTGCATGATTGACCTTTTGGGTCGAGGGGGGCGGCTTAAGGAAGCATTGAGGCTGGTGCATAGCATGCCAGTTGAACCCAATGCTATTATTTGGGGTGCCCTTTTAGAGGCCTGCCGAATGCATAATGCTGTGGGACTTGCAGAGGAGGTTCTTAATCACTTGGTTGAATTAGAACCAACGGATGCAGGAGACTTTAATACATTGTCAAATATATATGCTGCAGCTGGAGAGTGGGGCGGTGTTCCTAATGTAAGGTTGCGAATGAAGAATACTTGCACACAAAAGCCATCAGGAGCTAGTTCAATAGAGTTGGATGCTGAGTTTCATGAATTTACTGTAATGGATACATCACACCCTAAATCAGATGGGATATATGAGATGGTCAATGGATTGAGCCAGCATATTAAGCAGGTTGGTTATGTCCCAGTGGCATGTTGCTAAAGTGTTTTCCTGATAAAGTTTGAGAGGACACTGTATTTTTTTTTTCTGGCAAGTGAGAGGACACACTATTACGATGATGGCTATGGTGCAAAGGATCCCTTTTCAGAGTGGCAAGAGCTGTTTGGGTAAGTCCAAGATTGAAGAATGTGGAGAAAGTCCTTGCAAATGCTCTGGTTATGCTCTTTGTCCAGGCATGAACTGAGGTTTCTCCTAATGTAAAAAAGATTACACCGTTCATTTTTTTTGATTCCGTTCGTTGTTCATATACGTATATTTAACAAAACTTTGAGCAACTTGTTAATGATCTTGCTATATTTGTGAATAAAAGAATGTAAGTTTTAATTAGTGATGTAGAACCTTGTTTTGTGCATTCTTATTATATTTAGGGGGCTTGAGAATGTGCTCCTCTCATAAATTGGAGTTTGATTCTTCTTGAATTTATACTCACTTGAAGTCCTTTTTTTTTCGAAAAAAGTCTGAAGATTTAGTGAGTTTCTAATTTCTGCTCCTTCATGGTTGTTATTTTTACTTTCCTATATTTGAGTATCCTGTAAAAAGGATACAAGATTCTCTGTATGCATTCAATGGCTTGATGTCGTTAGTCCAATATAAAAACTTGTTTATTTTTAAAAATCTGAATATTTCCAGGGGGAACTATCTTATTTTCTGATTCTTGTTATATTGTTCACAGAAATTCATAAAGCATCCGATTATCATCATGTCCATCTTTAGGTGAACCTTAGTCGTGGTAATGTGACTGAATTTTACTGGGTTTTGTGTCCAAGATAATTTCAATTGTGAACCTGTGAAATGTGCTGCAGAAGATTGTTGTGTTTGGCCTGAGGTTTAAAGTGAGTTACGCGGCTGACCTTTCTCATTTATTATTAGGGAAGTAGTATTTTTTCTCATTTCAAATTGTGGGTGGTCTTGCATTGTTGCTTGCTCATGGTTTTGCACGGTTAGAAATTGGAGATGGATTCATCTCATCCTATCCTGTCCCTTAGAATTTTTGACATGCTTCCTAGATTATCAAGAAAGATTGTTATGCCATTGAAAAGTGAAGTGGTCCCTTCAAATATAGATCACTTGCTAGTGGCAGATTGCCATGTGTCACTTTTAAAGATCGGCAGCAAGTATTGCAAAAAAGATAAAAATATTTACAAAATATAAATTGTGATACGGTACTAAGTTTTTTTTTTTTGGGTACCGTATACTTGTTCCTCCTACTTACTGGTGTGGAGAATGGCACTTCATCCCTAAAGGGCTAAAGAGTTTCACCTAATTGAAACACGTGTAAACCTAACCCTTTCAATTTTGTGAAGGATTAATCTCATTTTGCACCTTAAAAGATTGTTCGAATTTTAATTTGTACCCTCAAAGATCAAAAATCTCAATTTACACCCTCAAAGATAGAAATTTGTATCAATATGCACCCCCAAAGATTAAAAATCTCAATTTGCACTTTCAACGATATAAATTTATATCAATGTGCACCCCAAAGATAAAAAATCTCAATTTGAACTCTCAAAGATAGAAATTTGTATTAATGTGCACCTAAAAACTAAATTGATAAATTATACCTAGATCCCCTCATACTTGTCACTTAATCATTTAGACCTCTTCATATTTAGAATATTACTCCTACATCTTATGACATTTGTGCACGTATAACACGTAACCCATTTTCATTGATATCTATTAATATAACCGTTAAAAAATATAATTTTATCCTAATAAAAAATTATAATTTCATATTACCCTTTATTTTATGGGTTTAATATATTCTAAAGTTCAAAATCTAGTTTACCATTTGAATGTCTAATAAAATGTAAATATTTATATAATGTTTTTCATATTACCTTTTATATAAATATCTACATTTTATTAGACATTCAAATGGTAAGCTTGATTTTTAACTTTAGAGTATATCGAATCCACAAAATAAAAGGTAATATGAAATTATAATTTTTTATTAGGATAAAATCATATTTTTTAATGATTATATTAACAGATATCAACGAAAAGTGGTTATGTGTTACACATGCACAAACGTCATGAGATGTAAGGGGAATATTCTAAATGTGAAGGAGTTCAAATGATTAAGTGACAAACATGAGGGGATCTAGGTATAATTTATCAATTTAATTTTATGTGCACATTGATACAAATTTCTATCTTTGAGGGTGCAAATTGAGATTTTTTATCTTTGGGGATGCACATTGATACAAATTTCTATCTTTGAGGGTGTAAATTAAAATTTTTGATCTTTGAAGATGCAAATTGAGAGTTGAACAATCTTTTATGGTGTAAAATGAGATTAACCCTTTTGTGAATGCTAACATCCACTCATTAAGGTCCACGTGGAGTAGTGTTGTTGTTCACTTCTTGTGTCACTTTTAATGTGAAGTCGATCCATTGGCCCATACTTGGTGAGCTGGAAAAAGTAAAACATCCTTCTTGGTTGGGATGGGATTGGAAAGTTGAAAGCACCTCGTGGTGTATATTCATCCTTACTCATGTACATAACAGAATCAATCTTCTTATCCTTGGGGCTCATTCCATTATCTGTTCTTGCATCAATCTTCATATCCTTAACTTCATTCTCATTTGCAATAGAGTAACAAACGAGAGAGGTATCAAATAGCATGGAAGCTTGCTTTGTTCCCTTGAATTCCTTCACCAAAACCACAGTACTAGTCCCTTCACCCATAGCAAGAATCTCCACTAACCCAGGGAGAAAGTTTAATCAATTTCAGTGTAGGAAAAAGTTGATTCCATCCTCTATAACCTGTGAGTGCTTGCTCATCATTCCTTACGGAAAGGAAAATATTTCCCCTTCTTATTTGTGTATTTGTGTAGTTCAATCTTGATTGTGGTTCAAGTGTTGCTTGATCACGCTCTTTAATGTCTATGAGGTTGGTTATAGTAAGGCCTGTCTCTTGCCTCTATCATTATCTCGGTAGTCTCTGTTTCTGGTATTTTAGTCACTTTTTAATAGCTCCCTTAATTGTATGCGAGGAATTGCCTTATTGAGTAATGGGAAGCAGGCTACCCCCTCCTCAATTTTGGGATATTTCATCTGGGTACTAGATCTAGATTATCAGAATACCAGTAGTCTTTGTACGGATCTTTATATATTTTATTGAGATTGCAGTTATGTATGTAGCTTCTGAATAATATCCTTTGAATTGATGATTACAGGTTGCCAATTGGGTTCACAATTGCCACAAGATGACGACAAATCTTCAGTTGATGCCGATTGGCGATCCTTCAGAGCAAGATTAGTTACCGGAGAACGAGCATTGAGGCCTGAAGAGCCTTCCTCTGTGGTAGATCTTGATACTGTGGTGGATCAACCACCACCCATCCCAATAGGGAACAAATGGGCTCATACCATCCATGAACCCGAGAAGGGTTGCCTACTCATCGCCACGGAAAAGCTCGATGGGGTCCACATTTTTGAACGGACGGTCGTCCTTCTCTTATCAACTGGCCCTGTGGGTCCAACTGGCATAATTCTCAATCGGCCGTCGCTTATGTCAATCAAGGAAATGAGATCAACGGTGCTAGATGTTGCGGGTACGTTCTCCGATAGGCCATTGTTCTTCGGAGGGCCATTGGAGGAAGGTTTGTTCCTAGTGAGTCCTGAAGGAGGGGATGATGGGGTTGGGAAGAGTGGTGTTTTTGAGGAAGTAATGAAGGGGTTGTATTATGGGACCAAAGAGAGTGTGGGTTGTGCGGCTGAGATGGTGAAGAGGAATGTAGTTGGGGTAGGGGACTTTAGGTTCTTTGATGGATATTGTGGGTGGGGAAAAGAGCAATTGAAGGATGAGATAAGAGCAGGTTATTGGGCTGTAGCTGCTTGTAGTCCTAGTGTAATAGAGTTGGCTAGTGTAGGAAGTGTTGGGCTATGGGAGGAGGTCCTTGGGCTTATGGGCCCTAAAAAGGTTTGGTGACCCTTCAAAGAATTTGGGCCATTTGTCATTCCATTGATTATACACTTAATTGGGGCTTGAGTTTGTAAGCTGGCTTTGCAGTTTATGGAGTGGAGAGAGGGTAGGAATAGGACCCTTTAATGTTGAATGTTGGGGCATCTGTTTAAAGCCCAATAGTTTCTTATCTGATTCTAAAGGGGCCTTTTGTGTACTAATTTAGTTATATTAATTCACTAAAGTAAAAGACTGTTCCTGCCATGAAATTTACCAATATACTAACGCTTTGTGATCCGGTCAAGGCAAAACGAATGGTCTTTCTAATGTTTGTCTCTATAGGGGAGTTAAAATCCCTTTCTTTAAAAGAGACAACTCGGTGTTTATGACTTTTGTCATCATGGAATTTGATAAAAAAAGATGAAATGTGCGTAACTTTACGTTACACGTGGAGAGGTTATGTTCATTATTCGAACCCACAAACCATAGTGGGTGTGCCATGCGCTGCCATCAGAACTTTGGCTTGAGTGCAATCCTAATGAAAAAGGAGGGAAACATGAACTAGACAACTACCATATCTTTCTTCTCTTTATAGGAGTATTGGATGGGTGGTGGGCTTTGTTTCCACGCATGAGGTGACAATGCTTGCATTGTTAAGATTAAATATGAAATTGTACAAGATATTGATTGGTAGAGTTGAAAAGAGGACATTCTATTAAATCCCCTCTTTAAACCAACCAACTTGGCATGGGCTTGGGCCCCTCATTCCTAAGTTGTAGCTACGTTCTTCATGAATTTGTGGCTAATAAATGTTGTAAATGGGAATCAATTTCTTCAATAGATAGGATAAGGCTATTTATTTACTTTTTCTCTCTCTCCAATCCTGGTATTGGTGTAAGTTTTGTGCATTTATGATAAATCTTTGAATTGAATCACTAGAATGTAGCGTTTACAAATGTATTTTTTTTTATACTCGAATCTTTGACCTTCACTTGTCACCCAAGTCAAAATCATGATGGCAATGATAAGAAAATATGGTTTGCAAGGTAAACTCACATTGAAGTTAACCTTGCACAACAACAGACTTGCAATAATTTAATTAGTCACGGACTTATGGGCAGTGGCGGAGCCACATGAGGACCAAGGGGGGCATAGGGCCACTCTGAATTTTTTTTAAAAAATATTATTTATATATATTTAAAATTATTATAAATATACTTAAGCATGTCCACTTTATTATTTTTTGTTTTATCAATTAGTATAGTCATATAACTAAATAATTATGAATTTTTTGACACACTCTGAACACTTTATGGATATATTTAAATAAATCTTTGACATGTCAGACTCATTTTTAAAATTATAAATATTATGAAAACTAAGTTAAATAACATAATGAGTGATCACAAGTTAATAGCTTGATTGGTTATATAGAAAAATATTATAGTATCTTTTATGTAGTTAGTTTCATTTGTTGTGAAAAGTTGTAATTATCTTTTTTTTTTATTTGTATACATTATATTTATTGACGTTTGATAATTTTTATATTTTATGAATCTTTAAGTATCAAATACAATATCGTAAATTTAAATACATTATTTTATTTTTATTGATTAAGAGAAAAAGATTTAAATTTTATGAGTAAAGTATCCATCATAAACAAAAATTTTGGCTCCACCACCGCTCACGGGTATTAATTAAATTCAAAAACAATTAACAAGAGTTAAATTTAAAATGTCAGAATTTAAAAGTTCAACTACTTGGCATTATATAATTCTGTTAGAAAAATTTTCTCACAGAGAAAATAATTGTAGTAGTGTTGGGAAAGTATGATAACCATACCTTTGATTAGATTCATGAACAATTAAGACAGGGTTGCTTGAAGTTGGTTGGCCTGTCACATCCAGATAATGACCTAACAGATTATACCCAGGCACAACCAAAAAATGGGTTACAATCGATTTAATTGCAATTTTAAATCACGCACAATTAATTCAAATGATATCATTAACTATAAATGGATCCTAACAAGTACAAGATTTTAAAAAAAACATCAATCACACCGCCTTTGTGCACTACTTCTTTTACACCACCTGATGTATTATAACTAAATATTTAATAAACGCTGTATGATTTACGAATTTAATGATCTATGTTAAAAAAATGTATAAAAAAATAATATTATACACATTATTGATTAAGTATTAAAGTATAATCGAGATCATATAGTAATAAGTTATTGTAAAGGGCACATATATCTTGAAGAACCCTACATCAAATCACCATTACATCTCGAGTCCGTATGATATGGTCCCATAGGTAGGACCAATTTGAGGTTGTAATGTAGAAATTATTACATGTTTGGTAATCAAGTGAATTGCACTTTTTCCAAACACTCTTCCCCTTTTTTCCTCTTTTGTGTTTACTTCAAATCTTCCTCTCTAACTCATTTGAAATTTGTAGTAACATTCTGAAAGTAGCTTTTTCCTTGGTGGTTTTCGAATGGAAGCTAAATTTTGAGTGCTTTTCAACTTATGGTTACTTTTTGATGGCCTACACAGAAATAGTGCACATTACTACATCTGCAAAACCATTGACCCACTCAATCTCAATTTCTTATATGTTCATCATTCACCCTCCAAAAAAAAAAAATGACTTAGAAACTAAAAGACAATTGCTTTGTAAAATGAGGACGGACCGATAAACAAATTAAGATTTTTTTCATACAGAGTGATAATAGGGGAGGGCAATCTTTAGGCCAAATGAAAGTATGATTCGCTAAGTTCGACCAATTAGAGGAATGAGTCTCATTTTTTGTCAAAAATTGAGATTGCTAGCCAACTAGGTAAAGTTAGAGTAATATCGTATGCGAACATAGACTTAAGTATGTTTTTAAATTAAGGTTATGGATCACCGAAAATCTTCTCTATTAAGCTATTTATTAACCAAAAGATAGACCTAAACTAGAGATGAATGTTTGCCCAAAGAAAGTCTAAAGGGAATATAACTAAAAGAAGCATACACAAACAAAAAGAACAACGGGGCAACAATCTAATTATTGCAATTTATGGGGGCTAGTGCGACTTTCCTAATCCTAATCTCACGGTTGTGTCTTGTCCATATCCTCATAACCCCATTTAATAAAAGAAACTATCCCACGCGCCTCCAGTGCACGTGAAATATCATCGACCACAGGCAAATCTGCTTTTTAACTCCTTGTACTTCAGTTCAGTCAATTGATGGCCAAAAAAAAGTTCAGTCAATTGACTCACCTGAGAGGACTGATTTAGTATTGTTATTGACGATCGAGTTTTAGCGGTTCGTATTTTATTTATATTTAATTTATTTATTAATTTATGTCAAATAAATTATATTGTATTAAATTTATATCATATACAAATAAAATATAATTGGTATTTAAACGAATTGTGTTATATATATTTTTTAATTGATTTTATTATCCAATTCATTTATTAATCGTGTTGTATTGGATCTATTCTTTTAAGAAATGATTGATTTAAAGAAGATCTAAACCTTATAATTTCATGTCTTGTTAATGAATCGTATCATAATTTGATACCCTTAATTAAATTAATGTTATTAAGACTTAAAAATTGACTTGATTTGATAATCTAATGACGTAATAGTGACATGATATAAATTGTATCATTGTGACTGTAATGTAATATGTTGAATTTTTTTATTAAGACTCTATCACTTGATATATTATTATGTAATAATTATTAATTTAAAATAATAATTAAAAAAATTTCATGTATAATTTTTTTTTTTTATAAAAGTATAAATTTTTTATTAAAAAAATAAAAAACAGCATTAAAAAAAAGTATATTTGGTATCATAAAAGGACCTGAGAATATATTATATTTATACACTACGTAGGCGCGTGGATAAGATGACATTGATGAGGTCATTGTGTTGGTGCGTGTAAAATCAGGCGACAACATTTTCTGAGAAATTTAAACGAAATTTAAGACAGACTTTCTGATTATGTAATAAAAAATTATAAAAATATTTGTCTGTCCAAAAGGCAAGGAAGGTGGAGAGAATCTACAAAATGTTCAATCATCTCAAAATCCCAGAAATGTGAGGGAATATTTTATATTATTACATAGACCTATAGATATGTTGGGCAAATGGGAAGAAGAAGTGATTGAATCAAAGCCATATAGAATAAGAAAGACCACTTGTTGACAAATTTGAAGTCATTGTTTTTTGGTGTTCATTGGTGTTTGTAGAGAGAGAGAGAGAGAGAGAGAGAGATTTTATCTGGGGATCTCTCTCTCATGTGTGCTGATCAGATGGTGGCCCAGAAGATCGGAATTTTTTGTGTGTTTATATATTTGTGTTCTTGTTGCGATGGTCTGCTAAGGTTCTTCTATGGCAGTACATAGACACCCACTTTGGTGTTGGGGTTCTTTGAGGTCTTCTGTTATGAATTTAAGTTAATGGACTTCTTTTGATTACCTTATTGAACTGCAATTACGAGCTGAAGACTCTAAATTCCCATGGAGGTTGTTTAGTTCATGCTCTGTTGTCCAATTTTGGAAAGTTTGATTAATTTTTTCGTGGACCTTTGGAAAGGGGTAGGAGAGAGAAACACGGGCATGAGGTAATTAACTACATCTTGCTTATAGATGAAGTCTTTATTTTCTGAGAAATGGGATTTGGTTATCAGAGTTTGATTTTTTTTCCTTGTTTGATTAATAAGTTCATTATCCCCTACCCTCATCTCTGTCAGTTGTGTTCTAATCTGCAATTTTTGTTTAATCTCTGATGATTACTGGTTTTCATGGCATGAGAAATGTTTCTGAAGTTTCATACTAATCACAGCTATTAATTCATTGCATTGTGGCTCGTGCAGTTATTACTCTTACTGGTTTCTCTTTAACTTCCAAAATATGCAGAAAAAAGTCAAATTTCATGGAGACCTACTCCTTTCTATGTCTGCTTTGGTTCAATTGAGTTATAGATAAAATTGAGTCAAAGGGATAGTTTAATTCAACTTCAATAGTTTTTGTAGAAAGTGGAGGTAAAGAAAAAGAAAATTTATCAAGTGAAAGATGGCATAAAAGAAGTGGGAAATGCGAAATCCCTCATAAGCCTAATGTATCTGTGTTGTCCTTAACAGCCTGAGATTAGAGAAATATCTCCTTATTTAAACTTGACAGTGAATCAATTGTCTATATAAGATCATGGCTTAAACATGTTCTCAATGTGTCTTGATGGGCGATGCTCCATGCATCGCTAGCTCGGGGGGAAAAAAAAATGTTTCTTGAACGGTTGCTAGTGCAATGGTGAGGTCATCAGATTTTATTTTCCAGAAATTAAGGGCATCATAATTAACATGCTGTAAGGACCAAATTATTTGTATCACTGTATAAATTTGACATGATTAAGTATGTATGTTCTGATTTTGTCAAATCATGTCCCTTGTATGCGGTTTTTTTTTTTTTTTTTAATACTCCTGGTTATTTTGAAACTGGCAAATTAAATAGAAATACATTGGTTTTGGCATTCAGGAGCAAACAAATAGACATGGGTGATGGTGGTCTAACAAAAGGCTACTGAACTGGCCATGGACTGTTTGCTGCAATATTTTCTTAAGGCAATGCATTGCAATTCAAAATGCTTAGCATGTGTCACCTTTGTGACTAACATTCTTCAAGCAGAGTAACTGTTAAATGCATGAGGGGATTGCAACATATCTGCAACTGTTGACCAATTTATACATTCCTCAACTGCTGATGCTCTGTGTGCAGAAATGTTTATTTTAATGTTTTTAAGGTTTTGACTTCATCAAAGAAACCAGATTTTGCATGTTACAAGCTCTGCCAATTTTAAGGTTGAGATATATCCACATATAAGTTTTTGATGATCTCGGGTATATTTCCCTCTATTTGCATATTAAATGCTATTATCCATCAGTTTCTGTTTGCTTGTGACGATTTACAATACTGATTCTTGCTAACTTTCTCAATTCATCTAGGTGATGACCACATATTACCTTACATTGGTGCCCCTGCTGAGTGTATTGATAAACTAAGATTACAATTATTCCCTTTCCTGTTACAATTGTACTCAAATCAGTGCTGTTTCTTGAAGTGATTGAAGGAATGGGAACCAAAATACAATCTAAGACATATTTCTCACGACATAATTCCATGAAGGATTCAAATGATAATGAGGCAAATGGCATGTTTGCCCTATTTCATGAGGACAAAACCTTGAAAAATGGTCGGCTTTATGACTCATCATTGACACAGCAAGCCAGAAAGTTGGGGTATGAAATGGAAAAGGTGAGGCAAATGATTATGAAGCACGAAGCAATATTTAGGCATCAGGTATATGTTGTTTCAACTTCCTTTGCTGAACAATAAATTTCAGTTTGTACTGCTTTCCACAGTATCGATGAGAAAGATCGTACAATTGTTTTATTTTGAACTTAACAAGTAGTAATTTTTAGTTCCTTATTAATCGCTTCACAATTCAACTCCCACATTGTTGGGTTAATCCTAATTTTACCAATTATTATAATAAATACCCATAATTTCATAGGAAGGGCTCAAACAAATAGTAGGCTTAGTGTTGTTAATGTCTCGATGTATTTCTCTAACGTTGAAAATTCTTTGAATTTGTTTTGGCCATCCAGCTTCATGAACTTCACCGTCTGTATCAAACACAAAGGGACATGATGAACGAAATTAAAAGCAGAGAACTACTCAAGCATCAAATGCCAGCACAAACATTGCAGTCAAGCGTCTTTTTATCTCACCTTCCTTCTGAAGATGCTGAAAAGACAAGGCATATCTCTAATTCTCCCGTGACGGATTCAATTTTGATTAGACTGTCCAAATCACAGATTGATAGCATTCAACACAATGGAATAATGAAGGATTGTGAATCTCCCACACCTAAATGCAACACATTTCAGAGAAAAGTGGTTGACCTTGAAATGCCAGCTGATGTGTACATGAACAATGAAGGAAAACGACTAGAAAAAAGATTTTGTGGAGTACGAGGGGTTGAAAAGTGCTCCCCCAAAAGGAATCATGAAGTCCCACATATAAGAGATGTAAATCTTTCTCTTGATAGTGCCTTCAAGACTGACTATAATGGTGATTCTTTGAGAGCTAATTTGAATCCAAAGCGAACTCATGATTTGGCTGACCTGAATGAACCAGTTGAGGTTGAGGAAACATCAGTTTCATCCTCTGTTGACGACTTAGACAATATCACCTACCTTGAAGAGGTAGTGCAAACGAGAGATGTATCTGCCAATGCGAATTTACAATTCCATTTTATATCGAAGGAACTCTCTCAAAGTCCCATTACAGGAAGGGTTGAAAGAAGTTGCCTCAACAATAGGCATTTGGTGAGTGGATGGCACACAAAGGAGAAATTGGCTAATAACTTTAAAACTGGTAAGAATATCTCGTGATATACTTTCTTTCTCTCTCTTTTTTTTTGAAAGTAAAAGTGGATCATATTGATTATCCACAAAGGAGAAACTGGTAAGAATATCTCTCTTGCTTGTTTTTGTTTATTTGATTTAGTAGTTATGAGTTGTTGGGTAAATTGTTATTTTGTGAATTGGTTTAGTGTTATCCTATTAGGCCTGTTTACCAAAGTTTCTAAAAGCATTTCAGCTCACTCCTTCTTTTGCTCAGCCTGCTGCTATTCTGTTTTCATCACAACGCTTATCTAATGGATTTTCTGGGTCATATGTTCCTATTTATTTTTTTTAAAAAAAATGTTCCTATTTAAGTCACTATTTACTCCTTTTAAAAAAAAAAACAAAAAAAAAAGTAAAAGATGGCTTCAAAGTCAGGCGAACATGGCTTAGACCCAGGTACTGATAACAACCATATCTCAAAGTCTCAGGGAATTGGTTTCTTGCTTTTAGTGTAACTGCCTACTTGTTATAATCTTAATTAGCATCCATATGTCTTTGTCCCCATTAAATGGAAAAAAAGTTATCTTCTTAGACTTGTATGCAAAGTGCAAACATATATCTAAGAGAAGACCTTATGATGAAGAATGCTGGAAAAGGTGTGGAAAATCTTTACTCAGCTGTGTTTGGTCCAAAAGAATTCACTTTCGGTGCAAAACTCATATTTCTGTTTTGTAATAGCCATACAGAAATACGAGCAATCTTCTGAGGATTGATGGAAAAGGAGTGTAATTTGGGTTGTACACAATGAACCAACATCATAAAGAAAAGTAAATAAATAACTAAACTAAGTTAAACTTTGAGTTGATTCTCATTGTACAAGATGTTTTTTAGGTGATGACAGATAAGACTCATTTCAAGAAAAAATTCTCAATATATCTCATATTTATTTATTTAAAACAAAATCTTCCCAAGTAGAGGAGGCAGAAGTCATATATAACTTTTTTCGAGTGTGTAAGATAACAAACTCTAGATTTGTGACTGTTGTTTTGATACTTTCATTTTCTACATTGTAATTACGTCAATTGCAAATATAGAAAGGAATGTGATCTGGCAGTTATTGCAGAAGGATTTTTCAATATATAATAACAACTGATGATTTGATTTGGCTATTTCCTTCCTTTTCAGGGGAAACTAGATGTAACAACCACTCTTCCCCTGGAGATGTAAGTTCTCACAGTTCACATACAACATTTAAATCGTTTCAAGTCGAGCCTGGGAAAGCCCATGAACCTTTAGCAAGTATCCTACCTGCTCAAAGTAAGCCAGAACCTCAGAGAAAAAGAATGATTTTTGGTGTACAAATTTCTGAAGGAAGTCACGATCAATCAATTGTTGCTTCTCATATGCCCAATCCGAATCCTCTGTCTGATGTGATCAATGCTCAGTCATCGTTTGCTTCACGGAGAAAGACTACAAGTATTTTGGGGCAGAATGTGACATCAGTTCCAACAAATCCTTGCTTTAGCACATCTGATATTTCCAATCAGAATTCTAATTCATTCAAGCAAAGCTTGGAGATTGTGAAGATGCCTTTTAATAGCAATTCCAGATCTATTCCTAGTTCTGATTTGTCTTGCCAAAATGGCACATGTCTTGGTTCTCAGGCAGATAACAAGCAACTACAGGGTCACTGCTCATCAATTGGATTTGATATCCTGAGTGGCACCGATGCTAATACGTTGTTGCCTAAACAATTAGTACAACAGCCTCTTCACAAGGATTTAAAGGCAGGTGTGGAGACTCCATTCAGATTTCAGAATCAGCTGGTTTCTCAACAAAATCCTGGGTCTATGGATGGTCAAAGGAAGCACGAGAACTCCAAGGGAGGACTTGACTGGCTTCTAGCAAAGCCACAATATGGTGGCGAGCAGACCAAAGTGAGGGAAGGTTCTTATTACATGCATTTGGACTCCTTGCAGAATTATTCTCAGCAATTTTTTAACACAACTGAGAGAGCAAAGGGCCCCTCTAAGAATCTGAATCGGGATTCAACAGCATCAACATGCACCCATGATGCGGAGTGCAGGAAAGTTGAAGTTGGTGACTGCACTAGTATTAAAAAGATCCTTGGGTTTCCTGTGTTCAGTGTGCCGCACATCTCCAAGGATCTTACTCCTGCTGGCTCTCCCTCAAAGTCTACTTGTCTTGGTTTTGATATTGATGGTGATAATTCCAGGAAAGATTTGGCTGATGATCCCAAATCTGAAAATCAGCTTGAAAGGAAGGATACTGTTCTACCGGAGGGATTAAATAACTGTATTGCTGATTTAAGACATCATATAGATTTAAACTTGTCTGTAACTGAAGAAGAGGCGACATTGGCACCCTCTCTCCCAAGTGCCATAGTGAAGATTGCTATGAAGGAGATAGATTTGGAGGCTCCTGCAGTTCTTGAATCAGATATGGATACATACGTGGAACCTAACTCTCTAGGAAATAACTCATCATCAGATAAATTTGAGGAACCTCAAGAAGAACTTGTGAAAGTTGCAGCTGAGGCTATAATCGTCATCTCAACATCATCGAGAACACATATTCTTATGGACCATCCCACTTGTCATTCATTGGAAGCTTCACCAAATGATTGCCTCCAGTGGTTTGCAGAGGTAATAGCTTCTCACAAGGGTGATCATGAGAGCAATGCCCGCGAAATATTGTTGGCTATGTGTGGTCTCGAGGATGAAGAGACTATCCCTGATTGTATGGATTACTTTGAGTTCATGACATTAAAGTTGAAAGATACCAAGGAAGAAGAGTACAACTATAAGCCGACAATTTTGGAGAGTCAGAAAGAGGAAGAAGTAGGGGCCATATCATTGCCAAAACGGCCTCGAAGAGGGCAAGCAAGGAGGGGAAGACAGCGAAAGGATTTTCAAAGGGATATATTGCCTGGTCTTGTTTCTCTGTCTAAGCATGATATGATTGAGGATCTTCAGACATTTGAAGAGCTGCTTAGAGCTAGTGGCTGCAGTTGGCAGTCAAGGCTGTCACAGAGGAATGCTGCTAAGAACAGTCGGGGTAGGAGGCGTTCAGGGGTCCAACTCGCTCTCTAGCAGCTGCAACTGCAGTTTGCCCACCCCCGATACAGCAACCTATTTATAGAGAAACGGGACTAGAGGAGAGAAGTCTTACTGGATGGGGAAAGAGGACACGACGTCTGCCTAGGCAGAGATGTCTTACTGGTAATCCTCCTCCTGCTTTGTAGTGTTGATTTCTGATTTTGGAATCTTCTATAACCTATAGAGGAAAGATTTGGGAGCTTGGCAAAAGGAAGTAAGGGATGAAACGCAGCTTTCTTGTTTTGGTTTCCAAGCCATGTAAGGTTACTGTTGTACTGTCTGTGGAGACATGAAATCATGTTCTTTGAACTTCAGAGTACCTTGAGTGGTTTCATCATGAATAATGTTGCATGTTTCTTTGGACATACAATATGCACATTCTTGTGATTGTATTGTACAATATCCGAAATTTAACGGATTATTTTATTACGGTATTACCCTTATAACGGATTACTTTATTACGGTATTACCAGGATTGTAAAATAAAAAAGATTACAAGCAAAAATTTCTATCTGTGTAAAATACAGATCAGTCGATTTATTTGTTAGTTATTTTGATAAATTGTATTATTTTCTGATTTGTCTATTTTAATAATCAAATTTGAATAATTAAGACTCATTTTAAACCCCCCCTAAACGATGTCGTTTTGCACCTTTTCTCCCGCTCCGTCCCATAATTATCAACAGCATCAACCACCCTCGTTTTCTTCCTCGACCCCTCTCTGTCTCTCACTGGTGTGTTTTCTGCAATGAGTGCCTACAAAACCCTAGTCCGTACATATATTTCTTGCCTTGAATGCAGAATCCGAAGCCGGAATCGACGAACTTCTTCTCTCTCTCTTCCTCACCTCCGTGCATTCTCATCCTCTCCTTCACCTCATCTCTTGTTCCCTTCTATTGTTTCTCGAAATCCAGGTGAAATTCTCTACGTTTCCTATTTTTTATGCGTTTGTGTATTCGTCTGTCGATTTATTATTCCCGAATGTATGTTCTGCGTATGTTTAATCCATCCTTATACTGTTTTGCCTTATTTTATGTTGGAAAAAAAATTAGGGTCTAGACTCCAATCCTATAGAGCTCAGTCAAGATGTTGCGGCTTCATTGAAGAAGCAGTTCCTTTGGAAATCACAGAATGTACGGACGAAACAATCACTAAACACTTAACCCTAGAACCGCCGGAGGAAGCAGGTAAAGACTCGGTCGAAGAGTTGCTTGTGAAAAGCGATGACGTTTCAAGATTAATGAAAATGGAACGCAGGTCTGATTTGGATAGTAAAGACCACTTTAGCCAATCAAGACGTTGGTTTCCATATCTCGATAAATTTGATGCTGGAAGTATGCATTTGAGTAGCAGTGAAGTGTTGGAAGCGCTTGATCCGCATATATTGGAGGTGAGGAAGGAGAGGTTTCGGAATGTGGCAAAGAATCGGAGCTATTCGGTGTGTTTGGTGGTTGAGGGTTTGTGTGATTTCGGGAACGTTTCTGCAACATTTCGGTCAGCGGATGCCCTAGGGTTCCAGTCAGTTCATGTAGTGTCCTGTAACAGCTCGAAAAGGTGCAACAAGATTTGAGGTGAAAAATGCCTTGATTTTACAGGAGAATTACTTTTTGTATTTTGTTTCTAATTATGACTTTGTTTAGTAAAACAACTTATTGTTTGATATAGTATCCAGAGTATATTACATTTGATTGGACCACCAGAGCACCAAAATTTGCAAGGTTATGTTCAGGTGGCTCCTGGAGAAAGTGTGATACTTGCATTTTGGTTTGGATAGAGTTTGAAGTGACACAACACTCGTAAGGAATTAGGAATTCTGAAAAAACTTGTTTAAATATTATCCTATGCTATAGGGTCAGTTGTAAGATTTTACCAGAGATACGGAATTATGTTTATAATGAATTTTATGAACACTCTAGCATGTCGTAGAACCTGTACTGATTTCTGAAAGTTGCTTTGGGCAGCCTAGGTCTTCCCCAATTTGCAAAATTGAAGCTTCAAACTGAAAGGGTATACTCCCCTTCTTTAACCATAATCGGATACCCCATGTGACCCGCAGGTACAGAGACAATCGTCATGTGAGCATGGGGGCTGAGAAATGGTTAGATATTGAACTTTGGAACTCTACCCAAGAGTGCTTCAAAGTTTTGAAGTCACGTGGTTATCGTATTGCCACGACACATGTGGGAATGGATGCGGTACCAATAAATCCTGCTTCTTCTGTTTCTAATATTCAGTAATTATAAGTGACAGCGATTGTTGCATTTTTTCTATATTTCACCAGTGCAAAAGTTCTCTTTTTTGAGCATACATATATGACAGAGGCTCTGGTGCTTTGTGCAGGTTTCCATTTATGATATGGACTGGTCATGCCCAACCGCAATAGTTGTTGGAAATGAAAATAGGTGACTACTATTGTTCTCGGTAGTTTTCTTTCGATTTTAGCCAGACTTTTGCATTTGCACAATTTGGAAGCTCAAACAATTTAAAGCAATTAGATTTTTTTAGAGGCTGATTGAAAATATGGTTTCCTTGGGCTCAATTAGTGTGGGAAGGCTATTGATATTAATGAAAATGCTCCTCATTGGCATATGTGAAAATTTAAGACGAGTATATTTTTAATGTTGGGAAGGAAATTAGGAAACAATTTATTTGGATTTTCACATTTAGTAGGAAAGATTTTTATTGTATCAATTTTTCAATTCATGTGATTAATCCATACTATATTTTTTTTTTTATCATTTTTCAAACTATTAGTTTTTTGATGATGAAATGAAGTTGACTAATAGGGTTTTAATAGGAGTTACAAGTTGATACCATAATTAGCTGTATATTGACCTTACTTCATGCAAAATATGGCTTTGCCGCTGCTTGCTGTTGCGAACGTGATAAGATTTACCTGTGCATTCTTCCTGCCTGTCTTGAAATGCTGCCTGAAAGAATGGAGAGGCCTGCCATATTAGTCATTGTATCAGCTCGACCTCAACATTGGAAAAATATTCTTCTGATTCATAATTGATGGGTTATGTTCAGTCTCTTGCTTGCATATACTAAAAGAGATGTAGAATCATTTTCTGTCTTTAGTTAATTCACAAGTTTCAATCATCAATATAGTTATTGACTAGAAAAATATCTAAATATCATTCCCTGGTTACGTTAGTCAAATGGATGGTTGCACGTCATCATTAGTGAAATGGACATTTTAATCATTTCAATTTCTCTCTAGCTTAGGAAAGACAGAGAAATTATACCAGTTCTGGTGGTGGTTTATCTAGCCCATATATATATGACACTCAGAATACCAGTGAAGTAGGTTGACTCGAACATGTTTTCAATGTTTGAATAACATCATAGCTGGTAAGCTTATAGTGCATTCATTAGTGTTGCTCTGAAATGCAAACTTAATCACATGTTTTGCTATGTGGAGTAACATAAACTTTTTTTGGGAGTATAATCATCTTAATCAAAAGTTACAATTGAAATTGGTGAATTTCTGATCCAGTGGGATAAGCAACGAGGCTCTGGAGTTGTCAGATCTGCATTGTAGTATTCCTATTAAAGGCATGGTGGATTCTTTCAACGTTTCTGTTGCTGCTGGCATTCTTATGCACCATGCTGTCTGTGACAGGACTTTACGCTTGGTAATAACTGGCTTCCAGCACATACTATGGTTTTATTTTGGGCTAAATTTCACAATCCCAAATCAATCACTTTGGCGAATGTTTTCATTTTTCTTTGTAGTTGATGATCATTTGTTATACAGGATTACTGAAAAATTACACATTGTTTGTCCATTATAGATCTCAAGACATTTTGGAGTTTCTTTTTACCACTTGGTAGTAAGGTTGTTCCTTTTATAAGATGTGACAGCTTTACTTCTACTAATGCTTTCATACTACACAATTTTTGTTTACTCTTGTTTTTTTTTTTTCTCAATTTGGGCCATTATTGAGGTAGTTGTATTATTTCATTCATTGGCATCCACTTTTTGGGAACCTCATTGGTTTATATTATTTTCAATAGCATTTTATTTAAGATGATGCTGAAAGCCTCTCGAATTTTTGGGTGAGCAGATCCATGTCTGATATGGAAAATATGTCCTTTAGTTCAATGATGTGAATTATACGCAAATCTAACTCCAAATTATATCATATATAGCAAACATGTACATGAATTGAAAATGCATTTGGATTCCAGTTTACAGAAAAATGTTCATTGGTGTATACAGGGTTGTCATGGTGATCTAACATTGGAAGAAAGCCAGACTCTTCTTGCGGAATTTTCTCTGCGTCACAGCAAGAGTGCAATTAGTATTGCCAAAGAGTATGCGAACAGGAAGTTAGCCAGGTCCATGTTAAAGCTTTGATAAAGGCATCAACAGTCTAACCTCTGGATTTCCTGTGGTAGAATGTTTACAAATAGTGGCTCCAGAAAATCTTACAGGTGCTGTTTTTGCTGTTATATTATTTATTGTTATACCCACCGTAATGCGTAAGATGTATCAAGTTTATATGAATAACATGTTTGCATTGCTCATATAGTCCTAGTTTTTTACAACCAATGCTTAAGATGTATCAAAACACATGAATAACAAGTGCATTGATCATAGAGTCCTACTTTTAGAAGTTAGAAGTGTAGGCATGAAGAATGAATTGCAGTTTACATGGTAGAATTTGATCTGCTCCTACTTGATCCACAATTTCTAAACATCTGCTTAGAGAACTAAGTTTGACCAGTTGTTACTTTGTCCCAATGAAGCACGGATATAGGTACAATACGATACAAATACGTTGATACAATAAAATCTTAAAAACTAGGATACGGATATATATGATTATGTATGTTGCTGACATAGTGACTGCTTTATGGTGTTTTGAATTTAATATTCTATTTAGGCCAATCACGGTATAGAATTGATAAATCTTGTGACACATGTGATGCACGTCCAAATGAACACCTTGAAACAAAAAGTTCTCATTTGTATGATTCATGATTTCTATATAACCCAGCTGACCAAGTATAAGACAAATGTATCCCCTGTGGAGAAATGCCTATTCCAGGTGTATTTGACTAGTATCTAATAATGATAAATATTTTATTAATTATTCGATACATGCGGAATATATCTGATATGTATACACTAGTATTCGACGCGTATTAGTATCTGATACGGATACATCACCCAAATCGAACTTCATAGCTTTGTCTTTAGTAGCTAAATGAAAGAAGGGAAGACAAATATGGTTAGTTCTCAAGCTTCGCCAATCAAACAAGGAAATCCTTCATAACTTTTTTAGGAGACATAATTTGAGATTAGATGCATTATGAATCTGTTATACACAAGAATACAATTACAAAAAAAGATGAAGTTGTTGTCTTGGTGAAGAAAACATCCATGTTTGAAATTGTGAACCCTTGCAAGGACGTTGTAGATGCGGTCAGACGCAAATCGATCTACTGGAGCCAACTATTTAGTTCAGTTCTTTCTTCACACAGCTACCTTTCTCATGGTGTGACTATTTCACAAGCATGTTTAGAGTGAGAGACTTACCAATGATATCTGCTAATAATTGTTTTATCAATTTTGACAGTGGATTTTTGAAGGTCTGATTGATCGTGAAGCGACTTGATGGAGAATCATGCTTATAAGTGCACAATTTGATGACATCCTCTGCTTAAACTGATCTGGCATTGCAACTTTTATTTAACTTACCATTTTCCAGTTGTTATCTTTATGCATTTCGATTTATTTCTCACCATGTAAAACCTTTTGCCATACAAGATGACGATTTCTATATACCACAGGGGAAGACCTTAGTAGTTATTTTTTGTGCAATAGCAGTTTAAATGATGCAAAATTATTCTAGTCAGAGTAGTCTACTTTATAATATCTATTACTTAGTCTAAAATTATTTGTGCAGTTGACTACTACATGGTATAGGCAGAAACTTTTGGCTTGGAGTAAGGCAAACAATTGTAAATTGTTCCGTGTGCTGCGATCTATTCTTCAAAGAGAGACTTCAAGATAATCAAATGCACGAGGTTTCCATCAATAGGAGATCTAGGGAGGGTCATTTGTATGCCATTTTATTCTTTGCGTAAGCATAGACTGTTGCAGTGACTAATTTGTGATGCTGAGATCATAATGAAACTACTTTATCATTGCTTCAAAACCCGCTTTCTGTGTTTTATTGATCACTTTGCTAATCTTGAAGCATCCTTCTTGGTAGAATTTCTAGGTAAAGAGGGTGGTAAAGGTCAACCTACTTTTTTACTCCTCCCTGTTTTTGTGCACACATGCATACGCACCCCATGTACAATCACAGAGAGAGAGAGAGAGAGAGAGAAGAGAAGAGAAAGAGAAGAAGACTGGCCATGAACTGCAAACACCAACACTGAGGGCTTTCGACCGGTGTATGCACTGCGTATGTTATATAAACAAATAATCGTTTAGCCTTACATGCTTCAGAATATATCAGGAAAGCTTGAACATGGCTGCTACTTTGACATGTAATAATTCGTTCTCGACATAATCATATCAGGAAAGTTTTTATTAATCATAAAAATACAGACCCCAATTTACATTTACAAAGACCTAATCAATCAATGTCATTCCGTCAGGCGTCCTCTGTATCGTAGCTTTCGTGCTTTGTATGCTCAAATCTTCTCCATGCCGCTTCAACTCTTGAGACCTGATGAATTCTTCAATTTTTGCCCTGAGCTCAGTGTTGGGAATCAACATGTCCGATGTAAGACGGGATCGATTAAATGGGTCGCTCTGCAATTCACAGCATTAGAAATAGAGAACCATGACTTTTAATGGTCAAAATATTAGCCAAGCAGAAGTGAAGAATGTACATTATCACTTAAAAGATGCCTCTGAATGACGGGCCGGTCTACCGTGATCCCGGAAGAAGGTAAAATAACTGGATCCTTCATCAAAGTGTACTGCAATAGAACAGAAGTTAACAGCATGTTCCCCTTTCTATAAACAGCACGTACATTACAAGAAGAACAAACAGTTGGATGGCAGGATTTTCAATTATAATGCTCAAAAACTAAAATATGGTCAAGGGTTATGTTACGTATTAACAAAAAAGCTAACGTGACCAAATTAGGGACCAAATCCATAGCCCAAATGATATGGCAAAACCAAAAGAACCAATTAAGTATTGTTGGGCCCCCTCCTTTGTTGGTATCAATAAACTTCCACATCATTTGGGCCGTAATTTTGATCAGACTAGCAGTGTTTATGTATTAAACAACAGCAACAAAGATGGTAAGATGTACTTGAATGGGGTCTAGGAATTCATCCGGTATGTCCCCAAGGGTAGCTTCGGCATCCATGGCCTCAGAAGCTGCAGCTTTGACTTTTGAGCCAAGATTTATGAATTCCTGGATGATCCTTCCGTCTTCACCAATTCTCTTGAGGACACCTACCGCCGCAGTAAACAACTGAGGCAAACTTAAGACCGTTAGATTACATTCAAGCAACTCTACAATAATCCTAGTGATGATGAGAATTCTTAAAAAACCTTTCTCCATATAGATCTTAATAGTCACACTTAATACATGAACGAAAAGAAACATTTCACAGAATACCTGTTCGTTGTATGAACGACCATCCTTAGTGATGGCAGCTGGAAAAATATTTTCTTTATCACCCCTTGCCAGATGCACATATATTTTGACAATCTTCATATCAGAAAACAAAAGTCAATCACGCTCTTGCTTTGGTCTAAGCTTTAACTGAGTCACACATGACATGTTACAAGTGAACAAGAGTGGACCGATTGACAACAAAATAGATAGCATCAAGGACACTCTGAATAACAAGCAATTTCCAGCTAGAGCAAATATTTTATTTGTTTCATTTTTTTTTCTCTTTTTAAGAAACATTAGAGCAATGTTACATTCCATCTCAAGAGGGACAGGCAGATGAGTGCAAGATGACAAATACTCCAACCCAATCACATGGGCACTTAGCTTTGCCACATAATAAAATTGCACACATCTCTAATAGGGCATGGTTGTGAAATATCAAGTCCAACATTAATGCTGTCACGCATCAGGATCATATCAGGGTCCTTTTAAATTTAACATACTAACACTAGACAAAATACTCATAAGTTTAGCCTCGACAATTAACAGGGTTTTTTAACCCCTCACATCAGAATGTAATTCAGCTTAGACCAAGATTCTGTCCAAGGATGTCATCACTCACAAAATATAGCCAAATCTGCACCCAACTGCAGTATACATATCAACATCTGCAACAATTAGTAAATTTATAAATCTGCCTGGATGGAACCTGCCAGATTATTATCTGCCGACCTTGATTTGTTTGCCAAGTAAACAGACATAGTGTTCACATATAAGGGTTTTGAGAGATCACTGAGATGCCAACCTGGTTAAGCAACTGTTTTGGTCGGAACTCATACTTTTCAGGGTCTTTTAAGCTTAGAGATTTCCTTTGGGGTCCCACAAGTTGTAACAAAAAGTAATTCAGCATGCTGGCCACCCTTTCAACCTGGAAGTTCAGAAAAGAAAAAACAAATCATGCCAATCGAACAATCTTTAACTCATAAGAGCTTAGAAATAATAGAGATGATCACCAAAAAATTACCATCTCCGGAAGTAGGAAGGGAGCTGTAATCTGCTCTGAAGTAAATGCCAACATGCTCACATCTTCATTGGCTAGCTTCATGTCAATCCGAATGATCTAGACCACCAGACATTTCATTTGGATAATATGGTTCCAAAAATTAAAGACATTGACAACGATAATAATTTTTCGTTAGTAATCAAATGAAATGTTCCAAAAATTAAATAAAGAGACTGACATTCTCTTGAGAATGGAAAAGTCGGGTTCTCTCCTGCCTCTCTTGAGCTGGTCTTCGTTCCCATTCCACAGTGTTAGACATCTCAGCTTCTAGCTCTTTGAGTTCAAGAATTTTGTTAAGACTTTCATCAAGAAGAAAGATGCTATCATTGATCAGGAAGTTTAAGAAGTTCAAATATACACCCTTCTCCTCTTCCTTAGCAATCTGAAAAGGAATATAGATTTATGAAGAACAGAATTCCAGCAGACAAAAAGTTAAATTCTATGCAAAACAGTGATGGAGGAAGGGTCTACCTGTCTCCATGTATTGCGGTGACTAGGAACCTGCCATAGGTATTCGAGAAGTTCAGCGATGTTATGGCGGATGTTAAACTTATCATAGAACTGCATCAGATGTGAAACAAGGTATGTCAGTCTGCCCATACTTTGTTAACAATAGGAAACTGCTTCAAATATTCTTCGTCGAAGGGGACAACTTAGTCACAAATATTGTAAAAGAGGAAATAAAAAAGACTTCATGAGGTATCCTATTTCAAAAAATGCAAAAACACGCGAACGATTTGGATATCACAATGCCCGAAAATGTTATACAGTGTAATGTCTTGAAGAACTACTCAAATCAAGCAGCTTATGTGAGAAACCGGATTATGTAGCCAAACGCCCAACTCAAAAGGCACCCAAAAATGGCTCATAATTAACTAGATCCAGAAAAAAAAAATTAACTAGATCCAGAAACTTTAAAACAGATAATTCTATTGCACTAGGCAATAAAGGCAAACATAAACATTCTTCCAGTAAGAAGTATGCACTTAAAATGGGATGGACGGAATCTTACGAATAGTTTGAAAGATGTAAGACATTACAAGACCTAAGTAAACCAGCCAACTCAAAATGCCCTAATGCCACCTTTCTGTTTACTATAACCTTGGTCCAGAAAAGATAGACTGATACAATGGATCAAGAAAACAAAGGAGAATGAAGAAAGTAAAGTTTTAAGCATTGCTCAGGAAAGGGCCAAGAATTTGGAATATCTAAAGAAGCCTATAAGATTATTGTTAGAACAGAAAAGAGCATCAAAATGTAGAATAATACTACTGCAATGAGAGCAGCAAAAGAAGGGCTGTGTTTCTCAAGAACTCAATGTTAAATCTGTGTCACAATCACCTGCGTGTGGGAACCTGTGAACTCAATATCAACATAAAGCTTCAGAAGGTGCCTCACAAGATATTCTAAAGACAGCTGGTGTCCTTCAAATAGAGTAGACGTAATAGATGAGCCACTGCAACAAAGATTCGATTAGAGGCATTACTGCCTAAATATTTAGCTTGCAAAATTAAGAAAGTAAAAAAAAAAAAACATATATTCAATTCATTTAAATCGGACGATCTCAAATCACCTTCTGCGGGGCATCCAGCAGTTCAGTACTTCAACCATCTTCGCTCTTAGATATGGGTTTCTAATAAACTCTGGACTTGCCATGAACATGATAATGAAGTTCATAAAATCATCCTGTAAGAAAGAACAAGGCGATAATTATTTTGTACGACAAAGGGATGATGGAGACTAAGAATGCAAATAACAGTTGGAGAAAGCTTTAGTACCAGGGAGACCCCATCCAAAGCTTTAGGAATCCGAGATGCAAAAATAAGCAATTCCATGGCATCTTCCACGAAATGCTCTGGCATAGATGCAAATTCCATGGGGCATGTTGATGGCAGAGGCATTTTAAAACCCCCTACGAGGCCAACTAACCAAACCACCATCAACCGGTAGAAAGAGAACGCACGCTGAAGAAGTCCTCCATCCTAAGAATTAAATATAAAGTTGTACATTCTCTTACTTGAAAAAAAAAAAAAAGAAAAACGAATGCAGGCAATTGAAAGGATATGGGTCAATCAAATTTTACGATGTTTTTAGCCTTGATTAATCCATGGTGAGAGGGTAGCTAGATCTTTAATCCCTATGGGAGTGCCACTCCACTGCATAAGTATAACATTATAAATGATCAAGAAAAGGAATATTAAATTTCTATTGCATGGCATATGAAGATCCTGCATAGGGATAACATTATTCGCCAAAAATAAACGGCACAGCACACATACGTGCAAGCACATACGCAGGATCCAAACTAACATACCCTGAGTATCTGAGCTTCACTGCATAGCTTTTCTTGTGAATATATCTCAATTTCCTTCTCAAGGCGAGCTATATCTCGCTCCAGTTGTGACGAAGGTGATTGCTCCTGCATGGCTTTGAAAGTTCGCAGAGTATCTTCACATCTTGAAATGTCCTGAATAAAAAATTCATTCAAAAAACAAAATAAATTTTATCAATCAAAACAAATGCACTCACTCAAAGAAATAATCCAATCAAGGAAACAATTAGAATGAAGCATTGGTACAAGAAGCAAAATATCAAAAAGATGAAATAACTCCATTGATCCTTTGCATCTGCACTCATAGCACTATTTTCACTACCTGAACAAGATGCTTGAAGTCGGAAAATGCTTTTAACAGGCCCAGATTGAGCACCCTTGCAGTCATAAAGAAGCACTCAGAAATAAATGAGAATTTAGCTTTCTCACTACAGCTTGACATAGGCTTGTTATTATGAAGGAGAGAAGGTCTGCCAGCATTGCTGCCAGAACTGATAGTTTCTTGAGATTGTAGCAAGAAATTTTCTCCATCACTACCCTGTCTAGAGATGTCAATATTCCCAGGAGTATTCTTGTTTATCCAATCCGCAACTTCTTCAGATGATGCATGTAGAGCAGTCAATTCTCTGGTACAAGTTGAAACCGAAATTAAGGATAACAGAAAGATGTCATGAAAACCATAGCAAAGCGTCCAATGAACTGAAGGTTCCCACCTTAAATCTAATCGGATACTGTTAAATACGTATTTGGTGTCAATTTTATCTCTTTTTGATAGATTTGCATCTAAGAATGGTTCGCAGAGCCGAAGCATAACAGCACTGAGATTCACAAACATGCCTGAACTTGCGCAAGATAATGGATCGACCTGCAACCAAATCACTTATAGCTCGAGATTAAACTAGAAAATATGTATGGAATTCAATACGTGAAGTAGAGATCAAATGTTAGACCAACCATGGTGTCAATTTTTCCTATAAAAAAAATTAAGGCAAACAACATCAACGACAAAGTACAAGGATGCCATTCAGGCTCTGATGAGCAGCCAAGACTAAGACTAAATAAGTTCTTATACACAGTAATATTAATTTGAACAATGCTAAGCTCAGATAAAAATCACCTGTATGTGAGCCCTAGACGAATTTTTGTTGATCACCTCTGCGAGATACTCAAGAACATTCTCACGGGTATTTGTATTTTTAAGTAGACATTTCAGAACTTCCGTCAGGCCATCGTATAAATTGTTCAAGACAGTTTTAATTGTTGTGAACGAAGATAACAGATCAGCTGGATGGCGGGTTGATGCTTCTGAGAAGCATTGCTGGCTGTTGTATCAAGAGACAAACACACTTTCAGTATGATAAACACATTAAGCAGTACCTATCTTCTTTAAAAGCGTGACTAAGTGACTGATTCGAATTTGAGAATGTGCATAATATCAATGTCTAGGTCAAAATCTCAATAGGACTTCCCCGCCTTTTTGCCTGCCTCACCACCTGCTTTTTCTTTTCGTTGGGGGGGGGGGGGGGGGGAGAACGGGGGATTTAGGGATATACCAACAATCAACTAAAACATTATTATTTATTCCATTTACAGAGAATTTTTTTATTTATTCTATTATAGGCCACACAATTTGTAATACAAGGAAAAAAGAGAGGTGCTGCATGCATCAAGCAAAACTAGCTTATGTGATATGTCTTACTTTCCAAACACCCTACTAGTTACTACTGAGCTCAGGGCCTTGTGGTTCCCGAAGGTCAAATCACGAAAATCTCTGATGACCCCGCTTGAATTTTCAATACATACGGTTGAAGTAACAACACAGAAAGAGAACCATCTCCCATATAAAATTTTCGGCGAGTTTTGCAAATCTTTTGCACTAACACTCGACGCTAACAATGCCGAATAACACATTCAATGAAGTACAATGAAGGGACACTAACAGTTGACCTCTACAAGGGAAGGACAAGAACTTCAAATCCACTTAATTAACTGAAGTCGAGTACTAAGAGACAATGAAACAGTCTAGCAGTAAAACAAAAAAGTTCATGCGAATATACAAAACAGGGAAACCAATTTTGAACTCAGAGCAGCATGAGATAAATTGCAACCTATTAAAGTAAATGCCAACCAGAGTTAAGAACAAAACGGAAACCAGGAAAGAAAAACATCAAACTCACCCAACATCAGGCTGACCCCTGAAAATGGCATGATCAGGCAAAGCACTAACATGAAAGAAAGGACCCAAAATGCTAGTCATCTCAATAACCCTTCCATTCAAATACACCCCCTTGGGAATCCACCAAGGATGATTCACCAAACACTTTGCACCAATGGGATAAGTGACCAACAACAACAGAGCCCTCAAAGGCTGCTGAAAATTCCCAAGAGCTGAAACCTTAAGCACACTCTCCCTCAAACCTTCGTACAACTGCTTCAAGATTGGTTCCATACTATCAAAATCTCCATCCATAAGAAACTCCTCCAGAAACCCAGGTGGACACGAAACCCCACCACTACTATTCCCCCCTCCAAACCTATCAACCAAACTCGAAACCTCCGAAAAAACCAATGGCAACAAAGGAGAAACATTGTTTTTATTCGTATCCAAATTCGGAAACATATCAGGATTCCCCAAATGAATTCTACAATACGAAACTGCCAAACTTTTAGCCTGCTTAACCACCAATTCCATTTCAGACCTCACATTCTTATCTTTCATGGAAGTAATTTTCTTCCCCTCATCATATGCTCGACGATAACAGTTAATCAAATACTGAAACGGTGGTTCCGCCGATGGAAAATTACCCGAAAGCCTATCGATTAAAATTCTTTCCATAACATCCCTGGAAAGCCTCAATTCCTTTCCCTCACTGAGAATTTCAGCTGCTGTCATCTCCAAGTACACAATTCGGGAATCGTTTTCCATCGAATCAACTAGTGAAACCAGAAAAATTTTCCTGAGGATTATGTCCTCTATTTCCTCTCTCGACCTTTGAGGTTTTTGGGTCGCCATAACTCACAATAAAATGCAAAAATAAATAAATATGTACAAAGAAAATCGAACTTACAGTGCGTAAGAGTAGTGAGTGATGGTGATCATATCAAAGAATAGATAGGGGTGATTTTACTATTCAGAAGAGTGTGGCACACATAATACAGATCTGGGGTTTGGGAATTATCGGAGGTTTCTTTCCTGTTATACAAGGAAGGTGACCTTACAAACTGCGGTAGTTTGTTCAAGAAGAAATTGACCAGGAGGAGCGAGAGAGAGGGGGAAGAGTTGTAATTAATGGGTTCTATTTGGAGTTTGTTAACGAAGAAATCGAAGACCACACCACTGACAGAGAGAGATATCAAGTGAATCAAAGATTAAACACGCAGTCGTAGGTTGAATTAAGAACGAGAAAGGTAAAAACGGAACTTTCTCATAAACTTGGGACTTTCCTTCTAGTCTTCTACCAAACCTAGGACTGACATTGACGGACTGAAAACTTTTCCATTTCTAAACCAGAATTATCACTTACTACGGACGGATTAGGTTATTTTTTCTTTTTATTCCCGAGATTGGTTAATTGATTGCACCTCACGCAAATGATTTTATGGAAATATAGTGAGTGATAAATGATTTGGGTTAATCCAAATTGTACCCTCAAAATATGATTTAAATTTAAAAAGTTTAGGTTAGTTATAATTTGCACCTTCAAATTTAAATATTTTACGTTGGTGATCCAAAAAAAAAAAAATCAGCAATTAATACTCATTAAATACTTTTGAATTTTTTTGTATCATAACATTTTCATGTCGTGATATTTTGTGTTATGTCGTATTACTTTCAAGTCAATAAAAAGTTATTTTTAACACAAAAAATATTTTTTTATCGAGTCAAATTACATTGTGTCGAATATTTCATATGTACGATAATTTATATAATACTATTTAAAAAATATTAAAACACCTATTTTTTGCCAAAAAATTCTCATTAAATAGATACTTTTTGATTAAAGTTAGACACGATACGACACAGTTGAAAATTATTTAATAAGCATTAATGAATATAATTTTTTTGGATCATAAATGTGAAAACATTTAAAACTTTGAGGGTGTAATTTATAGGTAACCCAATCTTTTTTAACGAAAAAATGGACGTCGGATAGCTCCAGATGCACATTTATACAAATTTATGTCTTTTAAGGTGAAAATTGATATTTTTAAATTTTGAGGGTATAAATTGATATTCGAGTGATATTCGAACGTTGTAAATTAAGACTAACCCAAATGATTTTATGAAAATTACCTAAAAAAATTTTTCCCCTGCTTTTTTTATGCTAAAAATTGACCAATTTTTGGTCAATTATTTTCATGAACCATCCAAGCTCAGTCAAATTAACTTATAATTTTCGAGCATTTGGAGATTGCTTTCAATGACATTACATTATTTATGATGCCATGGGATTGTAGCTGAGATCGCCAACAAATCTTGGCCATTCGTTGGATCCTTGAAACAGGTTGATGTCGACATAGTTTTTTCGCCTTTGAATATTTGATTTCCACTCTTATTTCCCATCGCACATTCAATGTTTTACTAAAAAATAACAAAGTAGATAAAAGAATCAAACTTGTAGTGAAGATGCCGATGATGGTGATGACAACGACAACAAAACCTGTATGCGCCAGAGAAAAATTGATATAATGCAACTTAGCAGCAAAGTGGCAAGTTACAAAATAATGTAAAAAGAGTGATGGAAACTAGCACAGCTTCAATATTATCCCTTTGCGACTATTTCTAAGTACAAAACTTTTCTTCATTCCTCATGCCTTCCGTCCATGAAAAACTAGACGGGTGAGGCATCTCGATTTACAAGATTGAGCACCTGTTAGAAAGAGTAAGAGATTGACCTCCTTTTGAAAAGATCTATACGGAGTAGACATGCAAAACACGACCCAAAATGAAACTCTTCAAACAAGTCTTAAGGGTTTAACAGTCACTAATATCGTTAGCATCAGGTGGAGCAGAGTGCAAGCAGTTAGCATTAGCAGGACCAAACAACAACTCCAAAGAGAATGCAGGGCCACATATTGACCTGCCCTTTTTTCCAACTTTGTCCAAATCACGAACAGAAAACTGCAAGGTTTCATAACGTATTTATTAGGAAATCGAATTGAATGGGTGTGTCATATATTGCTGCAAAAGCATAATGCGTGCAGAAAAAATTTCTGTCATGATCAATGACCTTGAAGCATAAAATGAAGTACAGAGGGTCTATCAAAGTAGTCCACATTATCCTTTTTAAAAAAGAAAGTAGTTCATTGTGAAGATCTGTTTGCTGCATAGCATTCTGAATGATTTCATTTTCAGGTGGGGGATCTTAATCAGCTTGAAGCATAAAATGAAATGAAAAAAGTTTATCAAACTAGTCCAAAGTGTCGTTTCATCAGTTCCAATTCGTCTCTAGTCCCATAGTTTCATAATGAGTAAGTATACGTTGATATTCCACGCATAAGGAATGCTAAAGAAGCATTTGGGTCACAATAAAGCTGGTGGCTCTGTCAGGTTTGGTCTTAGACTCCGAGAGTTGAAGAACCTTCTCGACAAGTCAATTTCCCACTCTCATATTCCTAGGCAAGCATTTGTCATTCTATTGTAGACAGCTGATGCAGCAGAACAAAATGAACCAAGCACGGCAAATAAAACCATTAAATTACCTGTAGCAAGCTGTTCCTAATGAAAGCTGTGTTGAAACAAGCATAGAAGAGACGTCCACCAATTAGCTTTTCATAGAATATGACACGCACATCTCCAGTGACCTATTCAAGAAAAAATGACCCATTTCAAACATGTTATAGTGGAGGCTGGGCAAGGACCAACACACACAAAACGTAAAAAATTGTGAAAATTTGCTTAGCATATGGACTAGCACCCAAATTATACAATTTTTCTAAATGAAGTAACTACTCAAACACATACTAATCCTATCATGAGATTTCCAAAAAAAATGTCACAATGTCCAATATTAGATTTTCTTAGTAACGATTAACTCTTGTCATGAACTCAATTTGATTTTAAATTCATGCCACGTTATTCTAGATATTTTTTCTGACTTCTGTAATTACCTTGGTTTTCCTAAATATTTCACAATGACTTACCATATTATTCCAAATTGTGAATTGATGCCTGGATTCTAAATTTACACTATGAATAATATGCAAGAGACAAAAAAATATGTGAACATATGGCAGCTGTCTTACCTGCACTGGTTTTTCATAATAATGATCGAGACATGTTTTTTGGTAGAGTATAGAACTCTCTGTGTCCATTTGGACTACCAAATGAGGTTCCTCCCGTGCTGGTTTCTTCCCTTCGTCTCTCTCAATGAAGGAGTAATAATATCGAGGGCTATTTGCTCTTTGATAGCCCTTTTCAATTTGTCTGCACCAACTCTTGGAAACTTCAGCATGTGGACAATACCGCTGACCAGGTATCTGTGTGAACTTTAGAGTAAGTGCGATGAAACTCTTGTAAATGATAAAGAAAAGAAGATAATGAAGCTAGGGCTCAAAAAAAAAAAGAATATAGTGATTTACTTAATATGGATGAAAACAATTCAAAAGGGTCATAATACAACAGGAGATCCAGTTATCTCATTGAATCCAATTTCTATTGGACACTTGAAACAGCATTGTTTGGCAAAAAAATTGAGAAAGTTTTCGGCTTCTGAAACTCTAACATCACTCAAATTTTTCAAGAGATGAGAAAAGGCTGTGCCGCCACCAATGTGCATTTAGGCACATAGTTTTTGCAACACAGACAACCACTGATAATGAGCTAAAAACTCCAGTTCCTATAATAACCAACCAAATGACACAATGAAGCGTCTCTGTTGTTTCTCATTAAGGAATTCTGAATTTTCCAGCCGCCTCATATATATTCTCAAAAATATTATGGTTCTATTTTAGATGTATGAGATGGCTTACATTTTGCAACTCAGATACCACACAAAATACAGAGTCAATGTTAACTGTGTCATAAAGTCGAACTCGCCGTAATTCTCTGCTACATGGTTCAGGCAAATTCACATCAGGAGGACCATGATGAACTCCCTTAGGAAATGAAAGTACTCTCTCCCAGTAGCCCACATAACGACGTTGGCTTGGTATTGAGACCTGTTCAGATCATGCACATTAGTACGCTAGTTCATAGACACACACACACCCCTATGAACTAAATCAACTGGTGTGAGTTCTCATTATATCTGATAATGATAATCACTTGAGAAGATTTCTCGTAGATTTAGATATTTGTTTCCAGTTTATTCTTTTCAAAAAATTATTTTAGCTAAACAATTTGTCATTTTATTAAATTTGGCAATTGCTAACTTAAGGTTTGCATAATGCTATCTAATTTATTGAAAGAAAGTAAGAAGCACAGCTATTGATAATATCTACTACATGATACTCAATGTGTAGTGAACAATGCAAGCATATCATGAAAAGGATTGATATCCCAACTAACATTGGAACTATTTTACCCTACATTATATCGGATTCGACTCCCAAACCAGTAGCTGATGATTCAGTTGTATCAAATTTGTCAATCACAAGGTCACCAAGCTTACTGTGGATAAAAAAGAGTTAATTTTCCAAGTGGCAAGCTCTTAAAATTAAGTAATAGTCACCTGATTTCACAGACCATGAATGCCTTGTTATACCTAATATGACTTACCCCTTCATTATTGGTGGTCCGTTCTTGAGCATACACCTGAAGAGCCTCCTCTGCTGACAAACCATTGTAAACTAGGTAGGAAGAAACCATTAATCCTGTCCGACCTTTGCCCGCCTGCAAGTTAAAAACCATTACTACATGAATTTTAGGATAATTGAACGAATAAGACTAAATCCAACACATCTTGCTTGTCATTAAGGATGCTGAACAGACACATTAAAACTCTTGTTCAACCAATCAGGATTAAGCTTGATCAAAAAATATTAAAGCAACCACATTCAGCTTTTCATTGTACAAATGATTTCACTGCTCACTTGCTTGAACACACACATACACAAACACTTTTGCTACCTCATGTTGGTATAATGAACAAGACACCAAAGAGGAACCAAACTCTAGCAAGGAAACAACAGACAGGGAGGAATGAGTTGATAAATGGTAGGATTTTAATTAAGTCAGATAATGTGCTAGATTTGTCCAAGCTGTTGGTACTTATTTTAAGTCAATACCAAAGATCGCAGGACAGACAAATAGTGTCAAAATAAAAAAAAGTAAGACAAAAAATAAATTGAAATGGCAAGTTTACCATGCAATGTATAACTGCTACGTTTTTCGGGTCACTTGAAATCCATGCATCCACATCTTCACAAAAATCCTTCATCATTTGGAGAGGTGGAACATGGTTGTCATCAAATGGAAATCTCTCCACACGGCCATGAAAATGTGATGGATTGTAAGCTTGTTCTGTACATAAGTTGTAGACCTACAAGGTATTGCACAATTTAAAGGAATATATACTCACAAACACACACACACACACACAGAAGGAGAGAGAGTAGTAAAAAAGATTATCACTGTAAAATGGATATTTCAAACAGATATTGCATAGGATGAATTCAGACATTTTGGAAGTCATTTAACAAAATGTACCAAAATAGAGAGGAAGGTGTGCATAGAATCTATATTTACACAAATGTTTTGAAGTAATATCAATTAAAATCAACCACAAGAGATGTGAGATATAAAGAGTAGGCCAGTCAATGGATCACATTTTGATCTGAATCCGATTAGTGAAATATAGATTGATATTTTTTTATAATTTGAATCCTTTAGGATCAATCAATATAGAATATTATAAAGGATAAGAGAGACTCTGTTCAACCTAATAGTGCTGATAAGGAATCTAAAATGCAACCAAGTCCAAGCTATTATATTATCAAGGAGAGAAGCATCTTACTGTCATTCACCTATTACCTATCAAATGATCCCTCATTGCAACAGCTTCAAGCCAATGGTAATCCTGATTTAGCAATATCAAGGTTGCCACAACCTTTTATCGTATTCCGTAGATCAATTCTGATCTTGTCAACAGGCTACATGGATAAAATCAAAATAATGGGGAAAATAAAAAGTTCGAACTTCTTGTTGAAGACCGACAGGTTCAGTAAGAAACAGAAAATTTCCTTATGTACTGGAAACAATTTAGAGAAGATAGAAGTAACTGGAAGAGCACAAAATCTAAAAACAAAGAGGGGACAACCACAGCATATAAAGTAAAGAATTAATGGGTCAGAGTTGCTCAAGCACACCTTATAGTGGCCCTCATGTCTCATGTCTAGAACAGACTTGACCTGCCAGAGAGGATTACGATACATGGCTCGCATATGTTCTGCAGGAAATGACATTGCCAGTACACGATCTGTGATATATGACATATCAAGATCATAACCATCAACTAGCATTCGCCTTCTTTTCTTGGATACCAAGTTGCGTACAAAGAAACTTCTGGAAAGATAATTGATAAATTGAAGTTGGACATGGAGTAAACTCTGATTATCAGCCTTCGCTGGCCCCTGTTTTGATAATTCCAAACCCATTTGCTCGATATGCTATGCTTACCTGCATTTGAAAAAGTACCTATAAAACATAATGGAACTATAGATTTAAATTTCATTGCAAAACTTTAAATGTCAAACTTTTAAAAAATATGCTACACTAGCATATGTTGTATGAGCAACTGAAGATATGTAATCAATTTCACGTACATGAAAGAACCCCTTAGCTTATTTTCAGAAATAGCTTTGGAAGAAATAAACTTTTAAATTTGAACCTTCGAAAAATATGCTAACACTACTGTGTACTGAATGAGCAAAGGAAGATGTGAAATCAATTTTGGGTACATGACAGAACTCCTTAGGTTATTTTCAGAAACAGCATTGCAAGAACTAAATTTATAATTTGCTTACGCATCCAAAACAAATGTTGAGCAGGCGTGCCACGTAATTTTCTTCTTCTTATAAAAATGATACAGCTCTTCAAATCACTGTGTTCAGTATTTCCTGATGGCTACTTCATTTAAGCTGTATTTATTGTCTAGAGCATGAAAACTGTCATAGAAAAGCACAACTGCAAAGCAAAAAACAAGTATAGTCCAATAATCTCTCTCTCTCTCTCTCTCTCTCTCTCTCTCACACACACACACACACACGCACACAAGGGCTCTACTGCCATGAAGGTATTGATAACATGGATCCATTCAGCAGTACTTTGTTGATAAAGCCTTAATTTCTTTCAATCAGTGGCTCGTTTAAGTTTTCTGTCTTTTTTTTTTTCTCTTCAATCGAACCATTGAGTTTCGCCGTATTGTAACAGAGACATGAATGATATAGTGGGGTAGTTCATGAATTGAATCAAATGAACCCTTTTAACCGAGGCTATCCAACGCCAACAACTCCAAATTGTGATAAAAGTTCAGCCGAAAAGATATAGAAATAGGGGACATACCTAAACTTTTCAAAAACCTCTTACCACAAAAGACACAATTTTTTTGCTTTACAAGATACATATCAACATAGTTGAACCTTTTTTTTCCCTATCTTAATGCACCACCGTGCTTTAAAAAACTCATACATTGAATTGAACCAAACATCATTAACAATCTCACTTCCATTTCGTTTTCGCCAAATTCACCCATTTTGAAGCAGACGCGGTTAAACCTTATTCAGCAGCGAGCCGACATTATATGCGTACAAACATTGATAAAAAAAATAGAAAATTTACCAGGTAAGCTGAACATGGAATCAGGTGCTTTGATCATATAAACTGAGAAAATCCGAATTCGCCGTCTTTACTTTTCTTCTCGTCTTTTTTGAATCTTGGCAATATTGGACATCACATTGGTCCAAGAACCAGTAAGTTTTGATTCTTGGACCAATTTTGAAGATGGGTTAACCTAGAAAACCTTGCAGAACCTAAAAAATTCGGATTAGCTGTTTCTAAGGTGGCCAAAAGGAGGAGGATGTGATTGTGTCCATGTTCGGATTAAGACAGAGAGAAGTAGTTGGTTTCTTTACACATTGATGAATCCTCAAAAAGCGGTGACCTTTTAGCCACATTTTTGAACCTCAAATATGGAGCAAAAGAAGCCGGAAGGGTAGGAATGGCCGTCTATCTGATCTGTGTTGATGATGTTATGTCATGCCATTCCATGGCATGACATTGAGCGAGTTATGAAAGAGATTACGACCTTTCTTTAGAAACAACTTTGTTAGTGGTTAGACAAGCCTCTTCTTTTATTTTCATTTTCTTTCATTCCCATATTTTAAAGATATTTATAGACGAAATTTATAATTTCAGATGAATCATAATGAAAAATTGGATTGATAATACGTCTAATATCAATTGACATTTATTATCAATTTATTGATTATAATGTATTATTTTAATAAATATGGTTTAAATAGTATTTTTCTTAAAATATATGTTAAGAATTAACTCACGAGTTTTTTTTAGTGGGATTTGAGATTAAACTTACCTTCCCCCTAATTTGATCATACTTCTGGACTAAGGAGACAAAAATTAAGAATTCAAATCCTTTTTAGCATATTTTTGTTCAATTTTACGTTTGGTAAATTGTTTAACGTACAAGATATAAGTGAGCTTGATCTATTTTCATTGAAAATGTAATAGAACTATAATCATATTCGTTGAATTACTAGACTATTTATATGTCATTATAAAGTCAAGATCTTAGTAATTTTACTAATTTTTAGGATTGTAATGACATGGAGCTATAATCATTTTCACTGTTTCAATGTTTTAGTAGTTTTGTAATCGATCGGGATCAGACAATCAATTGGGTACAATTGTGCAGTCAATATTTTACGCATGAATAAATTAATTGGAGTCTTAAAGAGAAAGCAAAAGAGTTAGTGATAAAGACAAAGAGATAATAAATTAATTTGATTTAAAGCGAAAACAAAAGAGTTTGAGTCTTAAAGAGAAAACAAAAGAGTTAGAGATAAAGACAAATAGAGAATAAATTAATTTGATTTAAAGAGAGAACAAAAGAGTTGGAGATAAAAATAAAATGAGAGCAAGACAATTAGAGTGGGAAAGAGATAAAGATTTGGAGAGAGACGATAAGAGTAGAGGAAAAAAGTGTGAAACAAATTTGAGAAATAATATTCCTTATAGCGCTAGAAGTCATTATTTTTAGGCTTCTTAGAAAGTTTTATTATATCTTAAGGTATTCTTTAAAGTTTTACATACACTTGTGAAAATTTTTTTATATTTTAGGCTTTTTATAAGATTTTATTTAGACTTGTGAAATATATTAAGCCTTTAACTTAGCCAATTTAAAATGGTCTCAAAATATGAAGTTGAAGTAAGGGTTAAAAATTAAATTGAGGTCCTAAATTTTTGAGGCTCTAGGAAACTATTTTAGCAGTTAGGCCTTAAAGCCGATCGTGCTTTCTCTCATTCAAAAGATTAAAGTATCAGCTCATCTCACAACGTTCATAATCTGTGCGAGTTCCTCACTGTCGAGTATATTTAATAGATTAATGTTTTTTGTTTTTAGTTATTTTAAAAATTACTGCACTCATAATAGATAAAAAATAGAAAGTGGGGTTAAAAGAGACCGATGATGAAAATAAATAATTTGATTTGTATTTTAATTTTAATTTTATATATATAACACAAAAATATAGCTAAAAGGAGAACGTGGGTGTGAGAGAGAGATAGAGAAAAAATAACTAGCGATGTCTAATATACACTACTTTTTGTACCTTTTTAACCTTATTGATTTTTTTTTGCCAAATTTAATTTTATGTGTTATTGGATTAGACTTTTAGACTTAAATTATTTACCCAAGATTTTTTTTTTTTTAAGTGAACTGTGATTTCATTCAAGTAAAAAAAATGTTGATTACAGTTATTAGAAAGAAAAGTATCAAGCTCATTAGGGGGACATTTGGCCCAAATCACAGCAAGTGAACCAGACAATGCTACTGCTGTCATCCAATAATAAGCTGCCCTATTAAGGGCTCTTGGCTTGCGTAAAAAATTAAGTTCAAGATTTTTTTTGTAAGACTCAATTTTTATAGATTTAAATTTTTAGTATAATCTATGTTATATAGATCTATAAATTTGAGATCTCTTATTTAATTGGGGCACTAAAGCCCGTTCCTTAGTGCCCTTTGTGCATGGGCCGACCTAGGAAATTCCACCTAGACTGGTTTGAAACTTGCTCCTACAGCTGAATAGACACAGAAGAATCACTCTTTCTTTGTCACAGGAAACAAGTTCATGAAATTCAAGCAGCAATAAAACAGAATATATGTTGAAAACCAAGTCCACATTGGCCTTTATTCCAGGTGGTCATGTGGCCTTAATGACATGAACATTGCAGCACACTGCCGCAGCCGACGCTCACTATCTCCATTTTCAATCACAAGATTCTCTGAACCCTTAGTCCTCATCATGTAACGCTGCCAAGCAAATTGAATGGTCACAGCTGCCCAGCTTCTCCAATTGGACGAGTAATATCTCGCTGTTTGCTTGAGCTTCTTGCTAGCAAAATCGTGGCGAAATTGATCTGTGATATAGCGAAGATGGTGTGCATCAAGACCAAATGCCTCTGTTGGTTCAACACAAGTAAATGTTGCTGATGAGGCTGGTAGCTGGTCGACACTTGGACGACAAAGGCACTGTGAGAGGAGCTCATCGCCCACAAAGCCTCCGGTTTCTAACATGCTCGTGCCTACCATCCCTTTGCTGAGGTTTTGACTTCTTTTTATGCGTCCACTGACGATGAATACCATCCGTTGCACAGGGTCTCCTTCTCTAATAATCTGTAACAACATGAAAACATTGGTCACTCTTCACTTGTATGTTGGCAGGACTTGACATGGGTTGTATCGAACCATAAATGAGACCTTTTCATTTTTGGAGTAGACTAGGGGCGTCACTCTGTCACAGATGTTGTCGATGATAACATCACCCAAGCTGTGGAACATCGGTACCTGAATAGGAAGTATGAGACACCAATAAAGAAAGTTTACCATATAGAGTGAACTCCACGAGAATAGACTCTTCATATTCTCAAAAAGTGAAGAGAGTAATAACAAGAACTATTCTTCGATATACTACATTCCTTTTTAAGCTTGGATTAAGTACTTGGGGATCAACAAATAATACTTATGCTAATCAAACTTCTAGAAGCTATCTGTGTCATCCTTCAAAATACTTAAACAACAAATGTGTGATTGCTACCTTTTTAATCAGATCTAAGCAAAGATAACACTTAATATCCCTTTGCAGCCCTTGAGGTAGGTCTTTGGTCAGTTCTCTCTCATCTTGTCCTCCCGTGGTTGCCCATCTTTGACTTGCAAAATGACGAACTCTTCGTCTCAGGTGAGAAGGCAACTGTCTCCGCTTCATCCACCATTCCACTTCTCGATATATCAGCTGCATTTTTCTTCTTCTTACCATGACCGCATGCAAAAATACCTTTTTAGCAAGTTTAATGCTCCTTTAGTACATCAGGTTTTACATCCATAATTGTATGTCATGCTAAATCTTTTGCATACATAACCTAGCTAGATATAATGCACAATGAAAACTAGGAGTTACCTGAATATTCCCAATCAACAAAGTGAATAGCATTAATCCAGCTAGCACTACACATGTGGCAAATATCACTTCTAAACATTGGGATGTCGGTTGAAGGTTGTTGCCCATTGTGCTATCATTAAAGGCCAATAAATGTTAGCAAGATTTTCAACTTCAGTAAATTTGTCAGAACTATGTTTAGTAACTCTGCATTAGAAGTTAGCAAATTTATAACATGCTTTGGCCAAAAAAGGAGCATCTCACACTGGAGAACAGCTAGGTGCCTTTTACTTGCAAATATGTTATAATCGCTACACAACAGTGCGAAAGGTGGCCTCGTGTGTTTAATTAGAAGCTTGCAGGTAAAGTCCACTGTTGGCAAATATGGTTGTTGGTAGACTTCAAGCACTCATGATCTCAATATTGTTACTCTGTTTACCTGAGAGAATAGAGACCCCAAAGATTGGAATAAAGAATCTTAGTTGTGACTGAGTTGCTAGAAATGAGTGGAAGAGCAAACTGATATATCCCATAACGAAATGGTCCACTGTCGTTGAAGCACAATGGCTTCTTCACCATGGTTGTGGAGTTACCACCACAGGAATTCCCAAACGAGCAATAAAAAACCTCCCTTGCGCAAGGCAATGAGAGATTACACTTCTCACTTCTGCCACACTGTTGTCCAAGGCACGATACCATACGCTGTATCGCGAGGATATACCAGTATCCTCCAGATGCCTGAAAGCATAATAAACAGAATGGTCATGTGAAACTGTGGAAACCAAAGTATGTGTGCAATTAAGGCTAACATTATAGCCTATATATGTATATGCATAGCTAACATTATAGCACATATATGTATATGCATACAAGTGTGTATGGAGAGAGAGAGAGGGGGGGGGGGAATGATTAACATACATGAGAAGCGAGGAAGTAAGCAATGAGATTAAGGCCGAAACCCCACCAAATGGTACCAAAGATGTAACCTGTAACCTTCCGCATTCCTCGCATTAAGCAAACGCTGTGATAGACCTTAGGGAGGAACTGGAGCCAGAAAATGAACTGAAGTATTGCCATCATCAGCTTTATTCTATTTTCTTTTAAAAACTTTGGTACCAACACTGAATATACAGCCTGCCAACAAGGAAGAATATGATCACCAATAGAAGAATAGGTACATGAGAGCAAAACTGAAGTTGAATGAAGTTTTTAGAAAGAAAGGTGTAGAAATTAGTTCTAGGGTGCATTACAGCCACACCCCTCACATATCATCCTTTGCAACCATTGCCATGAGGGTAAATTGGATGTTTTGAAACAAATTCTTCATGCCTATCATGCAGCCCCTGTTTACCATATCAGTAACAGCTAGTCATGGTGCCACTATCTGTTAGTTTTCAAACATTAAATACAAGAGGTGTGGTTGTAATTAGGATAGTCTACAAGGAGCATAACTGTGATTCACCGTCCACTTATTATATTTTCTATAAAAATAGAGCATCCACGTAGTCCATCATTAAGGATGCAATTTGGACAGATTGGATGGTTTGAGAAGTCAACCAGCGCTAATCAAACTTACAAAACTCTTCACTCAAGCTAAACCAAACTCGACTTTTACCTAGCTGAACTTACATTATTCGACTCAGCTCAAAAATTCAGATTCAATTAATCGAATTGAAATTAAATTAAATTCATGTTGAAATTTGGATTGAATTACAGGATTACAAAATTTGAACCGAAGTTGGGTTGGATTCGAGATAGTGAACTTCTTAGGTCTGTTTCGTTTAATATTAAGGGGCAGATTGGATTAATTTAATTAAGTAATAATATAATACTAAGTTTGGATGAGGTTTTAACAACCTGGTATTAATTTTAATTAATCCCAACCTGATTCAATATTGTCATTTAATACATAATATTAGATAATAATGAAAACCATGTAGTAGGTGGTATTATTTTTAACAAGTTAAAGTATTAAAAAGGTAATAATTTTATTATCCTTGCAAACTTAGAATCACACTTAAGAGTATCTATGGGTTAGGTTGGCCCATTAATCCCGTTATCCAGTCCGAAGTTCGATAGACTTGATAGTTGAACCGCCCAAGTCCGAGTCCAAAATTTTTCAAGTGAGGGCTTGACTTGCCCTCAAACCCGTTACCTAGCCAAAACCCGACCCCTGAGCTCGCATACAAAAGTCCGTTAAAATCAGTCCAAGAGCTCACCCAGTCCGTCTGCTCTTCCACCAAATTGTTTGAAAAAAATTGACCAATAAAACTTGGAAAATTTGGTGACAATATATGACTCTACTCTACTTAAATTATTCATTATTTATTTTTTATTCATTTTGACTTTAATTTTAATTCAAAAATATAATTTATAGAAATATTAAGTTGAAAACTTTTTAAATGAGTGGCGAGTTGGGTTAGGGGTAGCCTACCCCTGCTCAAAATCCGATCCTACCTTGTCGATAACCCGTTTGAATAAGAGCTTGAGACTACCCTATCTAAGCTTAGCCCAAAAAAAAATTCACGGGTTTAGCTTGACTTGTCCCATGGACACCCCTAGTTACAACTTCATATAAAAATTACACATTATGCAAATTGTTATCCTTAATTTTTATTTTATCATTTTTAGTTTAATATCATACATTATTACCTAATCCAAACATAAATTTAATATTATAATTTTAAATTTATATATTATCTCAACTTTGATCCAAACTTATCATACAAATATTAAATTAAATAATATTTTTATTAATACCATTTTATAAATCAAATGAAAACTAATTATCCAATCTTACTCTTTATTTGTGCCAGAACTAAGCATCCCCTTCAGGTTTGCCCACCTTACCATGCAGAAACGTGCCATTTTTCCTTCTAAAATATCTCTGATGGGACTCTCCTGAAAAGCCCTAAGATGATGACACGTGTCCTCGGGGTTTTGGGAACAGTGTTGCCCGGATGTAAGCACCATCGGCGAAGAGCGTCCTTTACCCCGAGGTACCTCTCATATAGGATCACTCATTCGGTATGTTATACAACAAACACGTGTCCTCGGTCACACGTGTACCTCGGGGACACACCACCCCCCTTGGTCCCGAGGTGAGCCTTTCCTCGGCGCCGAGAGTCACTCCATCCTGGACGCTTCCTCTACTCCCGGATAAGGCTACTGACATACTGGACATCAGCCTATGCCAGTATGGATTAAGTCATCATGACCTCTTCTTACACAAGTAATGTCAGAACGTGCTGGGATACCGACGTAACAGCCAATAAGGGATGGACGCGTGGCAAATAATGTCACATCCGAAGCAGACAAACCGCATGCCGCTGCTGACACGCGACTTGGGAAAGCAAACAATTAATTACACCCTTCTGTTGACGAGACCGCATTTAATGCGGTAAGGTTCGGATATGAAAGGCAATAAATGCTCCTATTACAGAGCATTTATTACATCCTTCCCGAAAGGAGCATGTTGTACCGTCGGCGTTCCGACAACTCACCATTGATTGCTCGGGACCCCGAGCAATCAATTAGAGAAGACATTCCTCATCAAATGATTACACACGCTACCTATGCCTGATGATTACCTACTGACCACACTGACAGCAATCATGATCTTCTAAGGTATAAATACCCCTCCCAAAAGACAAAGCGGGTATGCAATCTCAAACTCTCAACTACGAACTATCCTTCTCAGTGTTTTCTCCTTCCTCTCTCTCATTCAAAGACTGACTAGACCGTCGGAGGGGATACGCCGGAAAACACTCCGGCGCCCTTCTAACTTGTTCTCTTTTGTCCCAGGAAATACCTTTCGCACGTACAGGATCGTCCTTCCTTTCCCAAGGCCTTCCTTTGCCGTTCCAGGTTGCCACCGTACCTCGAAGGTTGTTTCCAGCAGCGTGTTTGGCCACTCAACCGGCTCACTCAGAGTTCACCAGGGGAGAGATCTGTTCCCAATATTTTATATATATCGTGCAGGATCGAGCCCGCACAATCTGGCGCCGTCTGTGGGAAACGAGTAGTTTTCCTAATCTTTTCTCTAAAAAGAACAGTGACCATGGTGAACACCAGACAGAAAGGGAAAGGACCCCACCAACGGAGTCATGAGTTGCAGGCTCCCTGCCATCACGGGGGGAGGGATCGGACCAGTACGGTTAAAAGTGCCTCTACTCGGTCAAGGGGGGTAACCCCCCAAACCAGTATGGGGATCAGGTCAGGAGGAACAGCCCCCTTGGCCCGTCAGCTGGCAGAGGTGATAGAAGAGAAATTTGGCGATAGATTACGTCAGCTGGAGAAGGACAATGTAAACGTCCTTAGCCGGCTCGACGAGTTTGCTGCCTCAGGCGGAGGGTCGAAGGACTCATTCCTCTCCCGAGGACTCCCCGTCCATGAGGCGGAGACGAAGGATCTAAGGAACCGCCTGGATCACAAAGCAGAGAGCTCCAGGGCCCCGAAGCGACCTAATGCCGGCGAACGCCATCTTGACAACCATTCCAGGAAGGCAAGGCCCTTGGCCCTGGACGACCTCCGGCGAGGTTTATCCAGACGGAGGAGGGGAGATGAATCCGAGGAGGACTCAACCCAATCTACACGACGCCCAGGAAACGAGGGGCTTACCGACGAACCCAGAGACTTCAGGAGGCATCCCGTAAGGGAAGTAGATCTCAGAGCCCGATTGGACTCCAGAAGAAAGGGCAAGACAATCCAGGACGAGGCCGAGGATGAAGACATGCAAACACCCTTCACGAGGGAAATCAGTGAGATGGACGTCTCAAGAAAGTTCGTCGTGCCACGGTTCAAGACCTATGATGGGCGCTCTGATCCCGATGCCCATATCAGACAGTATAAGCAGATGATGT